AAAACTAAGAGGTGCGGAAACGAACATGCGAGATCACGATATATGTTCTCAAAACTGATTCTGATTCTACCGCTCATCAATCAAGGTCGTTTCAATATAACGATACGAACATCGTCTTCCCCAGCGCGAGTTGGCATCGGAACTTAAGAGATCCTTGCGTGTCTTGTATCGCTACATCGTTCGTCTTCTTTACTCGACGGCTTAAATCAGATTTCTGATGCATCGCCTGGAACGAAAGTCGCTGTATCGGCCTGCCGATACAGGCGTTAAATCGATATGTCGCAATATATCGATTTATAGCCCAGTCCTAATTATCACCTTTAAATTATCCTCTTTTTCCTCCAGCAGTCAAACAATATTTTATGGTTTCTGTCCAAAATTTTTGAATTGCGATTCGTTAAATTTCAATAGCGTTTTGTTTTTACTCGCTTGAATATTGCATATTGCATTGTAAGTCCTGACGAGTATACTATTTTTTACTTCAATTTTGATAAGTAAATTTTTTTAAAAAGAAGATAGTAAGGGTGGTCATTACAGAACACCTTGTATCGTCAATTAGGATTATTTTATACATCTTTCAAATACAAGTTTGGGGCGAAAATATCAGTCTCTCAAACGGCCACTGAAGGCTCTGCAAAGAATCAGGACTCTTCTTTAAGATTTGGCAAGAGTTCTCTAATTAAAAATATATAATTTAATATTACTCTTTATTTCAATATAACATTTTAACTATTTTAGGCATTTTCAAATGAATTCTTTTTAACTTTGTTTTCACTTCGCTCAAGATGTACTATTGTACCTTACTATAATTTCTCTGCTTTATTTCTTAGAAGTGTATTTGAGGGAAGAACTTTCTCAAATCGAACAGAAAAAGATATGCTCAACAAAGCAGAATTTTTTTTTCTTTGGCATTTCCTAAAAAAATAAACAACAGAATTCGCATGACTACTGTTGTTACTACGGTAAATTTACTGAAGTATTAGGAGACAAATAATTCTCTCACGAGAAAACTGTTTCAAATAAAAAAAATAACAAAAAAAGAGAAAAAAAATTTGGCATCGCTATTAAATTTGGTCGCTTGATTGCTCATTCGCAAATTTAAATTGTTCCTACAAATGTTTTATGATTTTTCTTTATCAATCAAGGACAATATTTTAATACCTGTTTTTTGCTCAATTACTTTCTGAATTTTTGGATTTTATTTATTATCAGTCATTATTACATTATAAAAATTAGAAAAATCACTTCAATTTTGAATTGTGCCACATATTTTGTTTTAATCATTATTTGAATAGTACTCACATTGTTTTTAGTTTATGTAAGCCTTGAAATATGTTTCTTTGTGATGTTTGATCAGTATTCACTTATTTATCTCAATCTCAAACTATTTCACATTGTTTTACACTTTTGCTGTTATTGAAATTAATAATTCATGATTTTAACAAGTAACTTTTTGATGAAATCTTCTGAATTGCAACTCACATTGTCTTAATATATAATTGCATATTTTGATATATTTGAAGTGTATATTGCTATTCAGCCTATTTTAAATATTTCTAAATATCAGATTTGATTTCTTGCCTTGTTGAAACATGTGATCAATTTTTTGCTTTTTTTCTACTTGTCCTAAATTTTATTAGTTTGTTATTCTGATTTTTTTAAAATTTTACGCTATTTGAAATTGTTAATTCACATTGTTTTAAATTTTCTATAATCACGAATTTAAATTTTTATTCGATATAGATCGACATTATTTATTGAATTTAATTTTACATTATTTAAAATTCTGATTCTGGCTCATTTGATATATCAACAAGCTTTCATAAGTTTTTATCAATAAATTGGTTGATTAATTGGTCAAAATTTCGATATTAAGACTCAACCCTGCATACTTGAAAGTTTGAGTGAGTTTTATGCCTGTAGTAATAAAAAAAATTGGGGTACTTTTTGAAAGTTTATTAAAAATCCATTTATTAAATCCAGTGATCCATTTATTAAAAATCATCAGTTGCTTAAAATTGGTAGTTCATTTCATTATTAATAGTTCTATTTATAATCATTAATAGTTCATTTTTCATTCTAAACTAAGACACAACTGCAACAACAAGAGTTGACTGTTTTTTCCCCCTATTCATGTTTTTGTTGCCGTCCATTTACCTTTTGGCGTTCAAAATAATTTCTCTAAAGAAAACGACAAATTACTTCTTACCAAATTTAGCAACTGCTGTGCCATGCTTCGCAGTTGCAAGAGATGTGTGATGCTCCCATTTTGTTATTTCAGGATTAAAAACGAACACGGTGTTGGTGCTGAGCAAATAGCCGTCTTCATTCAGCGCATCTCTGACGCCACACCATAGCCATATTTCTCGTTTTAAACTCGCTGCACTGCTAAAAGCACGAGCCTCTGGCAGCGAAGGCTTATGGAACCAGCTGAAAATAATAAACAGCTAAATGGTGTAAATACATTAAAGTAAAAGATTGCAGAATCCTCAAAGGACACTCTTTTCGTTAATTAATAACTATTTATCCATTGTAGAAGAAACTATTATTTCTCTCTCGAGAACTTCTTGTTATAAGCTCATACTTGACTGAAAAAAATTAATAAGTAAAATAGAAAATGTAAGAGAGTGATCAGACGTTGAAAGATATAAATCTTAACACTCATATCGAAATTTACTAAGATATATGTAAAAATGAAGGTTGTTTCCAATGTGAACTGTTATATGATAAATGGTTATTGTTATATGGGTGATTTTTTTTAAACTTGACAATTCGGACCAAAAAATTCCTTCAAATTTAAGGTCTTCAAAATAATCTAAAATTTTTTTGGCATACTTCCTTAGTTACACTTATTAATATCTTACAGACAGCAGTGTAGTTTATTGACATTTGCTCGAGAGAAAAAATAAAATAGAAATTCACCAAATCTTGAATGCCAGGAAAATTACATATTAGCTTAGAAGTTTAAAAAACAGTCATTTTAAGATAATAGTAAGTAACTCAACTTAAGTCTTTATGTTAGATGGACCATAAATTGCTTAAATTAATTCTTTTTATCCACTGTAGAAAGAATCAAAATTTTTTTTGTTGCTGATATGTACAGAATAAAATTGTGTATAATAATCAATCATTAAATAAATATATAACTTTGATTACATCCAAACATATTATAATCATACATAAACTTCGTATTAGGTTAATATTTGCTTTCCCTCCTTACAGTATTAGCAGTTAAATAAAAATTCTGGTAACACTTCAATGTCTTGGTATTCATAAGCCAGGATAATGGCAAATTCGCCATTTTATAGCATATAACTTGACTTTAATTTAACATTTTGACCTACGGCGTTTATATTCTGCAGAAAACAACATGATTTCATAAAATAACTCAGATAAATCTAAGTAGTTTATGTTATTAATGATTTCAAGAAGCCAGGAAAATGACAACACAAAAACCTACTCACCCTGAAAAAATTTTTGAAATAGATTTTGAACCAGAAAATTGATTCTTTATTTATGCAACAAGACATGTTCATATAGGAAGGTGTCTAATCAATCTATTAACATAAGATATTGATTGCTGGCTCTATCTATTTTGGTCATAAACCACTAAATAAAAGTAGCCAGGAAAATGACAGATTTTCTTGGGACAAATGAATTATTGACAGAAAAAATTATTTTAAACGAGTTTTTTGTAAATAATACCCCCTGCGTATATTTTAGAAATGCTTAGATAAAAAAAGTTAAATATTGAAAAATTTCTGGGAAGTTTTGAAGCTAGTTATAACTGGAAACATTGTTTGGAAAAAAAAAGGAAGGAGATGAAATATCTATAAGTGAAATTAATTTCCAGAGACGTTCCTTAACTAGTTTTAACTATTCCTTGAGTTTCTGTTTTAATGAGGGTAATCTTTTATTGTATTATTGTAATTACCTGTGCCTTTTTCACTAAACACCTAATAGAAATTGTTTCTTTGCACTTTTGAAAATAAACCTGTATAGTGATTGATATTGTAAGCTAATCGACCTAGTCAAATTATCCCAGACAATAGGTAAGATGACAAAAATTACCTTTTTTTGGATGGAGGACTTACTTTGTTGTTGCCTTCAAAAAGGACATGTAATCGTTAGATTTGTTAAAATTTTTTAATATAAAATGTTTGGGAAGGACTAGTCATCTCATCCCTTTTTAATTATTTTGTATATGTATTATTTAACTTGCAAGCTTGAGTAAAAATATAGATTGCTCTGATTCAATCTCAGATGCTTTACAAAAATTTAATAAAACGTCTGGGAAAATGGGCTACTCACTCATTCCGTTTTAATTATTCTGTAAATGCATTATTTAACTTAACAGCTAGAGTTATAATATAGATTGCTCTGATTGTTTTCCTTTTNCTTTATTTATGTAACAAGACATGTTCATATAGGAGGGTATCTAATTAATCTATTAACATAAGATATTGATTGCTGGCTGTATCTATTTTGGTTATAAACCACTAAATAAAAGTAGCCAGGAAAATGACAGATTTTCTTGGGACAAATAAATTATTGACAGAAAAAATTATTTAAAACGAGATTTTTGTAAATAATACCCCCTGCGTATATTTTAGAAATGCCTACACCTGTTGAGATAAAAAAAGTTAGATATTGAAAAATTTCTGGGAAGTTTTGAAGCTAGTTATAACTGGAAACATTGTTTGGGACATGCCAGGAAAATGACATTTTGAAATTAAGTTAAATTTTTTAACTATACAAAACAGTCAATGCTAGTGCAAAGTCATTTTAAAATGCTAACAGCAATGCTATTTATTAAATTTTTTTTAAAAAAGTTCTTTTAGTATTATAGTATTAGATCTTGGTGCAAGGGGCAGTGAATTGTCATATTTCGTGAGAATCACCCATATGTTTAACAATTAAAAATTACTTTTGATATTTTTTTTTTCGTTTTGTGTTACACATTCCATATTTCTAAATTTAAGTATGTTTGTTTAAGTACTGTTGATTATTTTTAAATTCCAGGGAATATTTCATTTCATTTAATTGCTATTAACGTAGTCGCGAAATGCAAAGTAGCAAAGTAGTCTTTCCTTTATGAGCAAAGTAGTCTTTTTTTTTCCTCTAAAGAATATTGACTTTTGAGGAGGAAAACTGAAATATGAGAAGCAACCATTGTTGAGCGAAGCCTCATAATTTCATTTTAAACATTATATTTTCATTAAGCTTTTCAATTTATAGTAATAAGTAGTATTGAAATAATAGTTCGTAAAGTTGTTTTAGATACTTCCAGTATTAATACCTTTGTTGCTGAATGTCAAATACATAAACTCGATTGGATACAGCATATCTTGATGAATGGCCTTCGTTTACTATGCCTCCAATAACCCATACGCAGTGATCTAATACAGCGCACGCCATACCCATAATCGCTTCAGGCATGGGCTTTACTAATACCCACTGGTCTTTTTTCGTGTAATATAGTTCAACAGTAGATAATAATCTAGGAGTAAATGGGAAAAAATATAAGTTTTATAATATTCATATTCAACATAATGCATTTTATATATATTTTATGATTAAGATCTAAAAAAAAACTCAAAATCGGATTCCTTACTTGTCAATCATAAAAAAAAAAAAAAAAAAAAAAAAAAAAAAAAAAAAAAAAACGTGCGTATGTTCAAATGTTTACACATCTTCTTTGAAGGCGATTTTTTCAAGTAAGGAATTGTCTCAACGTTCTGTTTAAATTTATACTTAAAACGTTCTGTTTAAATTTATACTTAAAATACCTGCTCATTGCAAGGAAGATATTTTTTTTTAAATCTAAAGAATAACTGATGATTTGAAAAGTTTGTTAAAGAGAAACTAAAGAAAACAGAGATAGAAATATTTGGTTTTCTACATTCTATTTAGAAAAATTATATATATTCATTTTCATAAAATTTCAAAAATAATAACAAAGTTTCTCAGCAGATGGCACTATTGTCTGAAAAAAGGCAATTGAATGTGGCATGTTATAGCGGAAAATGGTGTTTATTTTTGAAGCAATGTTTTATATATTTTTCTTTTAACACTATATAATTTTGAAATCTGATGAGATCAATGAGACTCGATGAGATTAATCAGATTTGATACGACTCGTTTCCTATACAGAACGCAGCAAACCGTTTAAACGTTACCAAACCTAAACAGAACACGTCACCTTCCGTTCTTTTTAAATTGATTTTTCAAATCATCGGCTATCATGAGATACTTGCCTAACGATTTTTATAACCCTCGTTGAACAACCGACCCAATTTCTGGGGTTTATGACTACTAATGAGTATCGATAATTGCTAAGCAACCTATGAAAGGCGGATATGTCTCTAAGGGCTCTTCCTTTTCATGAACTGGTAGCTGGTTCACATTTGAACCAGTGCTTTTACTTATTTAAATTATCGTAATTTTAAGTTTTCTTATAAATCTTGCCAAAAATTGCGTGCAAATAGGTATAGAAATAGCTGTTTGATCGTAGTTTACTTATTTGTCAATTAAATTCTACAGTCTGCCAAGTTGGTTGCCAAACCAATAAATTGTGACATAACGATGAAATATGGAGCCACTTGAATTCACTTTTCGAAAAGAATAATTGGAAAGCATAAAGATAGTTTAGACAAAAACAGCTGTTCTAAATAGCACTTTTTCTGTTGAGTAGGTGCTGTTTTTTAGGGAAAAAAACGTGCATAAAATATAACCGGAACAAAAGTTGTTATGAAGAAAAAAATCAGTGATTGACAGTATTTTGGCACAGAAATTCAATGTTGTATGTGAGTGACTCTTCAAGTGCTAATTGCAATCTATATAAAATGTTATGTTGTTAAACCTTAAAAGTAGACTCTTATAAAAGAAACTGACACTATTTCAAATTTAATAATGATCGATTTTCAAAAATGTTGAGAAAGACATATTTCTCAACTTTTTTCTTTTAATTTAAAACGAAGCTTCCAAAACACATTTTACTCTGCAATAGAAATATGCAGGGTGTTAAGTAATGACCGCTTTTAATATATATTTTTAGTATAATTTCTAAAAATGGCATTGTAAAAAAGGTATGCACATTAGGGATTGCGAATAAATATTAGAGAGCCTTTGCATAGCATTTGTCTTATCATAACCGAAACGCTAACCTCATTTTCGACCCCTTAGTGGCATATTGATTTGTAAGGAAATTTTCGAACATTCGCTGTTAAACTCATATAGCGTCAACGTTACAGTTAGGGAAAACATAACGCTTTGCAAAATCTCTCTATTAATGTGAGGAGAGAAAACGAAAACTTCATCAAAATACATCGAATAGCTTCTGGGCAATGCGGGATTGAAAATACAAAAATACGTTTGATTGCCGAAGGAAACAAAGCAGCTTTAAATAATTAAAAGCACCCCCACGTTTATAGATGATCAATCTGGTTTGAATTTTTTTTCACCCCACCCTCCTTACTATAGTGATTAGATAGATTTATATATTATTTTTTTTACTTCTTTTTCAATAATAATTAATAAAATACAGATTAGAGGTTCATATTGAGGGTGCAGATTAAGGAACATCTTAAATGCAAAATTAGTTTTCTACCCTAAGAATATGATCCATCAAGAGGGAAAAATATCAACACATAATCTAGTGCAATAAAATGCAATTACATAGTATATGCCATTACTTTCCAAAATTGTCTCTTCCTCCCATAACCATGATATTTTCATCAATGACGCAAGTTCCGTGACATGCTCGTGCCTGATGCATATCAGCTCTTATCCGCCACCTCTGAGAACGAACTGTCAACTGAAAGAGACTTTGAGTCGACAACATTTGTCCATTACTCACTTGCAAAGGACTATAACCACCTGAGGAAAAGATTATTAATTGGGGAAATTACAGTCCTTAAAATAATTAATTTTTGATTTATTTTTTGTATGTCAAAGAACACAGAATTTCATAGAGTAATATGAAATATTTTTATAGAATTTTATAATTTTGATGTTTTAATAAACTCCTGTTTGTGAAAATTGCAACACCATGAAGGAATCGTCATAATTGAATGAAATTTAGTACACAGTTGAGTGGTAGTGGTATAAATAAATGATTAAACTTTTAAAGCAAACAAATAATAACAAGAGATCGAAATCAGTATTTTGTGTAGCCACACCACGCACCGCAATAAGTGCTGCTACACGACATAGCATGGAGTCAAGCAAACTTTGAAAGTATGTCTGAGGTAGAGAATTCCATATTGTTTGTGTGCGTACCCAAAGTTCGTCTGTAGAAGCAACAGGACGAGGATCAGGAGCAAGACGCCGACCAACGAAATCCCACACATGTTCAATCGGCGACATATCCGGGGAATACGCCGGCCAAGGAAGAAGTTGTACCTGTCGCGATGCAAGGAAGGATTGAACAGTCCTAGCAATATGAGGGCGGGCATTGTCTTGTTGAAATACAGCGCCTGGCAAGGCTTGAAGGAAGGGAACAGCTTGGGGCTGTAAAACTTCACTGATGTACCGGTTGTTGTTCAGATTACCCACAATTCGTAGCAATTGAGATCGTCCATGATATGCTATGGCACCCCAGACCATAACTCCGGGTGTTCGTCCACTGTGGCTTTCGATAATGCACTCCGGAAGGTGGCGTTCACCGGCATAGCGTCTGACACGAATGCGGCCATCATGGTACCACAAATTAAAGCGGGATTCGTCAGAAAACACGACACGCTGCCAATCAGCACGCCAGTCCCTATGCTGATTGGCCCATTGTAGCCGCAGGCGGCAATGGTTTAGCATGAGGAGGGTCCTGTATAAAGGAGTCCTTGCGCGCAGTCCACGCTGCAGCAGACATCTACGAATTGATGAAGCACACAATGAAGCACCTGTAGCTATTGACCACCGTGCTGTGAGTTGTCTAGAGGGAGCCGTGCGGTCCGTTAGCGCAATGCGGAACAGGGGTCTATCATCGCGAGCTAACGTGACATTTCGGGATTCACTCCAAAATTTCCGAGTTGTCCGACACTTGTCCATCCACTGTTTTCAAACACGCATCACTGTGCTGCTGTTACGCTGTACACGAGCCGGCTACTGCACGATAAGACAATCCAGCTTCACGAAGGCCAATGATTCACCCCCGTTTAAATTCCGTAAGTTGTTGAAATCTCGCTCTCTTTCGTGGAAGAGGCATAAGTAATGATTAAGCTAACGTTTACCACTAGCAGATAACCACCGATAACCATACACGCCTGGCTACAGCCGTCTATTTATTCGGATCCATCCGCCGTTCAGAGGGCGCTGCTCAGCATACGCATGAGCTACGGGTCTGAAATTCTAATCATTTGCATATCATGTTCTGCTTTGCATTTCCTGAAAATTTCAGCTCACTCGCGTAAGTCCTTCATGGTGTTGCAATTTTCACAAACATGAGTTTATTTTTTAAAAATCTAATTACTTAAATGTCAATACGTAGCTTTTCACCTGCAAATGACTTAGTGTGGGTATCTCGATCCTAATTGATTGTTAAAATGTGGCATATGTTTACCCTTCCATTTTATTTAGTAAGCCAAGTTTGCCAAGATTCAATTCTCTTAAGTATACGTATTAATTCTTAAGTAATAAGTTTTAGTACATTCTATATTTTTTCGCTCAGATTTCAGTTCTTTCTCTATCTATTTCTTACTTAACACAAAGACAGGCACGACGAAAATAAGCAAACTTATTAGGCATTGAAGTTGTCATAAACACGAAATAAAAATATATCATGGTTACAATTAAATACATAGACAAATAATAAATTTCAGTTATGTAAAAGATCCAGACGAGAGAGAATTATGTTTCAACAAATTTGATATTCGATACGGTAGTTAATTAACATTTTAACTTATGTGGAGAAACTTAGCTTAATTTTAATACGCCATTTCGCTTATTAAAGATCAGCTAGCGTTCACGTCGTTGGTCGCGTGTGATTTTCTTTTTCTTATTGAAGTGCAAGTACCCAATTATTGCGACTTGCAGAAAAAAAAATTTTTTTCAATGTTTTTAAATCAATTTATTTAAAAATCCTTTAACTTAAATATCAATATTTTTATTAATCTAAAAAAAAATTTAATATCTAACATAGATTTGTTACCGGAATGCTTCATCTACAGAATGCTTCATCTATTTAGAATTCATCTATAGTAAATACCATCTGTAAATTTCTATCAAATATTTTTATGATTTCTTTAAATATTTGAAAACAGTCAGAAAAGTATATTATTTTTATAGTCTAAAAATAAACTAGCTTTTAATAAGAGACGAATTTTCATATCACTTTTCTTCTTCAAATGGCGAATATATTTGAGCAAAAAATATGCATTAAATTTTGTTTTATAATTGAAATGTCTGCTAAAAAATCCTTCGAAAAGTTGAAAAAAGCTTTTAAGAATTACTTTTTATCAACAACAGTAATTCGTATAATAAAAGGTAAAAAAATGGTAGGGAGTCCGTCGAAGATGATCCGTGATATAGCAAACCACTCACTTGGATTAATGATAATCATATTAAGTCTCTCTCTGGTAAAAGTGACAATAATTAACTCTCGGTGATAACATTTGACAATAAGAGACGTAATTAAACACTTTCTAATATCATTTGATTCTTGACAAGCAATTTTTAAAGAAAATTTAAGGTATCAACCCGTCGCATCTCAAGTTGACACAAGAACTTTTAATTTGCTCCAGGAACAACAACGTGTTAAAGTGGCATGAGAAATGCTTCCACAAATTAATTCCGTTTTAAAATACATAATTACCGATGATAAAACATGGACTTAAAGCAGAAACATCTCAACAATCAGTTGAATGGTTCTTGAAAAATAAGGCAAGACCGAAATGGCTCCGTCAAAGTCGCTTAAAAATCAAAGCAAAGTTGTATGTTTTCTGTGTTTGTCACGGTATTGATCATAATGGATTTCTAAAGACCTACCATACAGTCAATAAAGATTATTATTTCTGTGTTCTGCAACTTTTGCATGAACAATCTGTCGAAAGAAGCCAAACATGTAGCGGGAAACCACATGACATTTGCATCATGATAACACACATTATCTCCCTGCAGTTCTTATCGTCAGTTTTTGACAAAATATCCAACAATTACGGCCTCAAAAGCATCATATTCTATTCCCATGGCAATTCGTGATTATCGTTTTGAGTACATTAATTCAATAACAAAAAATCGCTAATAACTCTGAAAGGCATTCGAAAACTATTTTAAGGCAGGATTTGATGATTGAGAAAAACTGGCAAAAATTCATTGAAGTCGGAGGAGAGTAATTTGATAAATGAAATAAATGTAGGCCAATAAATTGATACCTTTCGTTTTATGCAACAATTTCGTGTATTTTTTAAGCACGGAAGTCTGCTAGAAACACTGAACATCATTCGATAATACGGCTTGCTATCCCTGGTGTGATCTTTAATGTATTTTCAAAATTAACTGAAATTTTGCACAATGGTGTCTAATTTTCTACTTTACGACTTTTTGCACAAAACGGAGCAGTTAGCATCCTTGCATGAAGCGCAAAACTACTTTGATCCCAAGTCTGCATTGTGGTAAAGTAATTTCCCCAGATGGATGGAAATGTTTTCCATGATCTATGACTGGGCTTTAATCATAAAAAAAAAACTATTTTTTATTGTGGCTTTTGACTTTCATCATTGTATAACAGCATTATGATATTTAATTTCAAACATAACTTTTTGAACAAAGAAAATCTTTTAATAAAATTGAATTTCTGAATTGTATTCATTTATCTAAAAATGACACCATGTTATCTAAAAATCACACCATGTTACCGAAAAATCATACCATGTTACCTAAAAATCTCACCATGTTTTCTGAAAGTTACACCACGTTACCATGTTTTTAATCATTTGCAGTTAACTTCAACTATTTCCTTATATGAATTCTATACAAGAGAGTCTTGGAATATAATTTCAGTGAAGCAAAGTGGATAGGTTTAAATTAATCCCAACTTAGAATTACGTTGACTCAACATTTCAAAACTTTGTCTTTTTTATAATGGCCTTTAAAAATTTTAAATTAATGAAATAGCATTAGCAATTCATTAACTTCATTTCATTTATTTACTAAAAACAGACATTTTTGAAGAAGAAAAATTGAAACGCCTTTCAAGAATATTTCCCATTTTTCTAACCTGATTGTTATAAAAATTTTCTTTCATGTTAAGCGCAGAAATAAGAAATGAAATACCATTGTTTCTTAATCATTTTATATACGCTTTTTCACGCAGTAACAATTTTTTTTTTACAATTATAATTTAATCAGATTGTTTGATGATGCTAACATACCTGTTATATAAATCTTTCCGTTCAAGTAAACGGCTCCGTGATAATTTCGGGGTTCAAGCATTGTGCCTCCAAAATACCATTTATCTTTTTTGACATTATATACAAACATAGAACCTCCTAAATATTGAAACAAATATTTATATAAGTAATCACATGAATTGGATTAAATGTAGAAAATTAGATTAAATGTAGGTTAAATGGATTACATGTAGGTTAGAAAATGGAATGAAGTTTTACGTACCGAGCAGATAGTCTCTCGGTTCGTAGGGGTTCAGTCCTCCAAAAATCACGACAGTGGGTGAAAATTCTGACTGAAGTTGAAAAACGCTTGAAATTTCCTCGGAAAAATTTAATCTGGATTTCAAATCTCTAATCACTCGGCTCCTAAGTAACGAAATTATTATTTATAACTTTATAAAAACACAAACTACCAATACATAAAAAGCTTTGAAAGCTTTGATTGCTTAAATAGCCTTTAAAAAAACTCAGGAATATAGTTAGTATAAATAATTCTACATTATTTCGCAATTGTTGTTGTTGTTGTTAATTTATGTCGCACTAGAGCTGCACAATGGGCTCTTGGCGACGGTCTGGGAAACATCCCGGAGGATGATCCGAAGACATGCCATCACAATTTCGATCCTCTGCGGAGGGGATGGCACCCCCGCTTCGGTAGCCCGACGACCTACGCGCGAATTTCGCAATTGTAATGCAAGTAATTGTGACAGCAGTTATGAGTTGTGCGAAAAACATGTGTTCTCACTCAATATTTCAACTTATTCTGTTATGGATATTGAGACAACCAGGTCCTCTCATTCTTTTGGAAAAAAATAACTCACCAACACGCTAATTTTTTTTCATTTAATAGCAATCGTTGAATAGCCTATCCAATTTTGAGTTTACGAATTCCAATGTTCATCACCGTATCATCAGCCTTGTAATTTTGAACCCAATCCAGAAGACAAGGGAACTCATGGATCAAGTATCGGGAGAAATTAGCCTTCTAGGAGGACTTTTTTAATGGAACTAACCCGTATTTGCGTTACATAGGAGAAAAACAACGAAATCCTCCCACGGTTAGACGGACGGGAAAGGGACTCTAACCCATGATCTGTCAACTACTAAGGATATTTTACGTTATTACTCTGGTCGGTGAAAGCGGGATGCGGAATCACATCATTTTGAGTCAAATGCTTTATATCCTGACTCACCATGACTCAACAACGCGCTATTGTTAAAAAATTTGTTACTAAATCAGACTAAATCAGACTTGTTATAAAATCAGACTAAATCAGACTTGTTATAAAATCAGACACAAAACCGCAATCTGAAAAATATGGCCCCCACTGTTGATCGGGAGAGAGGTCCTAACTTTGGAACCCTTAATGCTAATTTTACTTTTTGCGTACTTCACCGTATGTCGAGAACTTTTTAAACAAATTAAAAACTTTTTACACACAAATATAAAATTCGTTTATCCAAAGATAATTGAAAAAAAATTATTTTTAATAAATATTTATTATTTTACTTAAAAGTAATCGAAAGCATTTTTTTATTGAAAGGTAAACAATTTCCTACATTTTAAAGTATATAGTTTTACATGAAAAAATACAAAATTTGAGCGAAATCGGTCGAATAGTCCCTGAAAAATCGAATTTTAAATATATTACTTTTTTAAAACTCGATTTCTCCGGAACTCAAATTTCCGGAGTTCAAACTCCGGAGTTCAAATTTCGTATTTTGCTATGCGAAACTACATTTTTAGTGCACCTTACAATTCAAAATTTTTTCGACTATTATTACATTAAATAATAAAAAGATAGTCCGATTTTCTTCTTTTTACATCTTTACTTTTCACATTACTGAACACATTTATTCAAGTTAACAGTTGTATGATAAAACTCGCACGCTTCGTAAAAAAGTTTGATACATGGCGTTAATTTAAGCATTCTAATGACGAACAAATAATTCGCTATAAAAGATTATTTTTCAATTAAAAATAATTTTCAAATACTTTATAGAACTAACTAAATTTTATTTGTTTTGCTTGCCAATTTATAATTTGAAAGCTATCAAAATTAATAATATATAGATGTCCCAAAAATTACCCAGGAGAATTTTTTACGGGGAAAACGCAGATATTTAACTAAAATTTTAGGCATAACAACGAAATGAAGCCAATAATTTTCGGGACACATATGCAGCCTCCTTTGTTGAAATTTTCAATGCCTGTTTAGCAATTTTTGTTGACATAGTTCTAAATTTCCTTTTTCAAAGGTTGGTGAGTTTAAGAGTTTATTGACACACTCCTTATATGAAATGAAAAGAATAAAGAAAAAGGAGAGAGAAACCAAAGCAAAGGTTTGTATTATTTGAAATCGCATGATCTGGGCAGTTCGTTCCAATAAAGCGGGAGATTATACTTGTCAAAGAATGATTTAGCATTGCCTAACAATAAAAACGCATTGTTCTTTCGAGTAGTGGTCGATCTTTAATAATCCTGCTCCGTTTTTTTCCCCGACATTTTATTCCACAAATGCTGTAAAATTTCACATTTGAGTGAACTCTTTGCAGTGCACAGAACGTCTAAATAAACAGTACTTAAGCAACTTGTTTTTCCTTAACTATTATTATTTGTTGCTGTTACGTTATTTGTTGAAACACGAGTGTATATTTTACACACAAGTATGACACACGCTCATTATACACCGAAGAGCCATTACATTATGACCACTCTGCTAATAACATGTAGGACCACCTTTAACCCTCAAAACTGCTAGCACCCGCCGTGGCATTGATTCCACAAGGTGCTGAAAGGTAGTCTGAGGTATCTGGTACCAAGCACTCACCAACTGGTCCTGCAATTCCCTCACATTGCGAGGGGGTAGCGTGGCAGCACGAATTTGGTTTTCCAAGTAGGACCACAAATGCTCTATTGGATTAAGGTCAGGTGAATTTGGGGGCCAAGACATGACTTGAAAGTCACTGGAATGTTCCTCGAACCAATCCATGACGATTCGACCCTTATGACATGGTGCATTATCCTGTTGGTAAACACCATCCCCCGCAGGAAAAACTGTTGCCATGAATGGGTGAACCTGGTCTGCAACTATGTTCAAGTAGCTTACAGACGTCAGGGATTGTTCTATGAGGATTATGGGTCCTAATGTGCCCCATGAAAACATTGTTCCTGGGCGAGAAACCATGAAAACCTGGACGAGCCCATTGTTACAGATGGAGGGTGGTCATAATGTAATGGCTCTTCGGTGTATATTGTTGTATAAAGAATTGTACAAATTGTTGAACGTAATTCTAAAAGTTAAAGTTCAATTGATCTTTTTCCTTAACTAAAAATATAGTTACACGAAACATTTTAGATTATAATAAAATTCAGAAGAATCTGGAAAATTCATTTACTTTTGTGAATGGTCAAGCGTAGGCAAAGGTGCAGTCAAACCTAAATTTGGATCAGCATTGGCAGCCAAACCAATTAAACTAGAACTACCAACGACTGAAGTTTCACTTGGTATACTAATCTCATCTGCCTTATAAGAATGAATGCTGTTTTGCAACCCTCGATGACGTTCCTGAAAATAAAAATAATTTATTCATTATTAAAATACTTTGAAATCCTGACCAACCGGCACTCAAGTTTTCATCAACCTATTCAGCTGTCAAGTCCTATTCTATCAGTGCATGAATAAGTGTTCTGTAATCACTACCTTTAATGTATATTTTTAGAATCTTTTCCAAAAAATGCACATTAGACGACGCAAACTCAAATTTAAGTGAGAAAGAATTTATCATTGTATAACATTGTATAATTACGATTGAGGAAGTTGAGATGTAAAACATCAAAACCAGTTCCATTATCAGAGGAACTTGTAGGCAGTTTTAATTAACGCCTTTAAACTCCTCTGGTCTTTTCTCATGTGACCAAAAAGTTGTCGATGCTTTCAATTCCTCTTTCTTCGGTGCTGATTCCTTAGATTTTGATAGCGTTTTTCCCATCTATTAAATGCTATTTTGATACTCGTATTGTGCAACTCCATTTTTGGAAAAAGATTCTAAAAGCAAAAACTTTTAAAGGTAATTTTTATAGGGCATTGACTAATTATTATATATGCAAGATAATTACTACACTGTAATTGCATATGGTAATTACTGAATAGCCTACATAAAGTTTTAATCAATGCAACTACTATACTGCCGTGCATTCGAAAAAATCAACGTAAGCGACAAAAAATTCCCGACAAATTTAACGTGCACCAGTCACCTTTTAATACACGGGAATTCTTCTGCCTGCACGATTCGAACATGATTCCAGCGTCCTACCAACCAGGCTATCCTGGCCCTCTCTTTACATTCTCTAGCAATATGCTTATTCAAGCCACTCGCACAAAAATTAATCGGTATCGCAAATCGCGAAAACTTGATGCATTAATTTTTTTACTTCAATTGATGTCTTTAATTTCACGATTCACTTAAATTCTTCTTTAGTTTTATTCCTCTAATTAGTCTACCGTAAGCTAGTCATCAATAGGGAGACACGAAACGTTGATTCCGGTTTGGAAGAACAAAAAATTCAGACAATAGCTGCCGAAAACAGAAAGATCAATTAGGAGCCTCGAAGCAGTGAGTCCGCATAAATGGAATAAATAAAAGGAACTGGCGGGAATAGAACAAAAGGAGAAAAGAAAAAAAAACTGCCACTGCGCCACTAGAGTGTTACCGTTGCAACCAAACTAACTAATGAAACAATAAAGTTACCTATCACAAGTACAAAATTGTAGAAAATTAAAAGTTTACATTACACTTGGTGCCATTTACTTGTGAGATTTTCCTCCCACTAAAATCTTTATTCGGGAATGCTTTTGATTTATACAAAATCGTATGGCTTCAATGGTTCTATTATCTGAATTGTAGTGAATTAGTATAATTACTGTGCACTACTTTGAAACTATTTTGGAACTCCGGGATTACTCGTAAACTTTTCAGATAGAAGAGCTCTTACATTAAAACTTCCTAAAACATATTTTAACTATTATAAATTTGCTTCAAAGCCTTCCATGTGGTATTTGATTTGAGGTGTGCATTAGTTTCAATTTAGACGAAAAATATATTTTTCCCCAATTAAAGGAATCTACTTTAAAATTACTACGGTAATGTAATTAAAGTACAAAATTGTTAATAGGAAAACAAGAAAAAAATCTTTTAAAAAAAATGCTTACCAGTTCCCTCCAGTAATGTTTCCTCGCCACATGTCCTTTAAATGCAGCTTGAATTTTTGTTGCTGCTAAATTTAACATTGCTTGTTCACGATTAATTTCTCTGTGACTTGATCCTGATGCACCTTGCTGTTAATTTAAAAGTATACGTCTACATATAGTAATTAAAATAGTAAAGAAAAAGAATCTTAGCAACAATGGAAAAGAACAGTTTGCGTGTCTCTTATAACTCCAAAACCATTTGTGCTGGCTTCCTGGAATTAAGACAGCGGTGGAAAGACAAAATTTAGCCCCCGATCATATAATTTGTTAAAAAAAAATTTAAATTAGAGCGTTGGGGAGATTCGTTTGAAAAATGGAATTTCCTCATAGGTTTAGCTTTCCCCTATGTTAAATTAGATTGCAGACAAGTCTGTTTTTCAAATGTTTAAAAGATCATATCAGTAGTGTTTCTCAGTTTTAAGTTCTATTTAATCAAAAAAGGAGTTTTTTCCCACGTTCTTTAAAATTTATTTTTATTCATAATGTCAGTTGAGACCAATAATCGACGTAGGTGACATGTGAAGAAAAAAGGTGTCAACGAAAGGTTTTTTTTAATGTTATTTGAATCCATGTGTTCATTTGGCTTATAGTTACGCTCTTAAAACGTGTTTCCTTCCTTTCAAAGAATTTAAAATCAATAAAAAAACAAAAAAAGTTAGGCTCTATTAAGCAAAGATATTAGAGAAAAGATAGTAATTTGGTTATTCGATGATTTATATGATGCGTTGGAACAAACACGGTTAAAATACTGTTTGTGACGGTAATGACTAGTTGCTTCCACTTTACATAAAATGTGGTTCAAGCGTAATAAAATGCCCACAGGGGTGGACGAACCATGGTCTATGGAGAACAATTTCCATTAGGCTAATCGTGGAAATTTTCCCTTTCCTTGAAACGCAAATGTGTATTAATTTTACTCAAAAACTCTTTTTAACAAAGAATTCTTAACCCAACAACTACTACAATTGAAAGCCTCCACACAGTTTCCGAAAACCACTGCACTCTGTCCATCAGACAGCACAAAAAAGTGTACCAGTTTGGATCTTAGCCTATTTCATAGAAAAGCGTAAAAAACAAGAAAAATAGAGTTTCAGCGAATATTATACATACATAAACGATCCATCATCCACCTACTTCACTTTAGGAAGGGAAGAAAAAAATTTCTCGCGTCATTTATGCCACAAATTATTTCAAATGAGTGGTCTAAGCAGATTTTTTTTTAAAGAAACATTATCGTGCATCCAGTTATAGTTGATGGAAATAGGGTGGCAGTTCGAAATTCTTAATCTCCCTTGAGTGCCATCTGCAGATTTAAGACTTAATGGAACGGACAACCAGAATCGAAAGGGTGCGAAATTGATGATTTTGATGGAAATATTTCCATTGCCGTAAAGAACAAAGATGATAAATTGTCAAATTTAGAATTCAGAAAGCCCTCTCAAACACGAATACAGTAGAGACAGTAATACACCAAAACTCTATTTGAACCAAGAAGTACTCAGTTAACTTCTCTATGTGTGAGACCCTCCCAAGGAAAAAGAGATATCCAACACAACAAAAAAAAAAAAAAAAGGTTTCTCCCAAATAATCGCCGACTACGAAGCAAAAGATCGAATTTCGAAATTACAGAGGAATAAAGAAGCTCTTAAAAATTTAAGACATACAGGTACTAATAATAAAATAGCCACTGATTGAACTTCTTACTGATGATCGCCAAAGATTCTGCGGCTTGTCAGTTTAGGAAGATTTTCATTTGCACGTGCGGTGTGATGCAATTTCCCATTAAGAAATCATGAAAACAAATTAAAAGATAAGATTTCCTCAACTTATTCTAAGTCACGTATTCTATCAACTCTTCGCCCCTCCCCTTCATGCACCCTTCGAGTGGTCTTCTCATCCTACAGGCCTTTATCTTCTAACATCGATAACGGAAAAGGGGACAATCTCAACCTATTTGTACTTACAAATCGAAACTAATCACCTCCCTAATTGATACATATCACCAAATCATGTCCAAGAACCTAGCCTCATTTTTAGGGTAAATTTTGAACCTGGCCAGACAACGTGGACAGCGCCTGAGCTGACACTCCACTCTCCAAATTTCCCACACTCAACCCATATTGATGCCGAGAAAATTTCAAGCAAAAGTGACCTGTGGCCGCGTAACAAATGGAAAAGTTGCTTATGATCCTTCACACATTTGAACATGCGTCAAGTTTACTTCGATTCCATCAAGATTAGAGAAAGACAATGAATTGTTTACTTAGCGCAGCACGTATGTGCCCTAGAAATTTAGACAGAGAATATAATTGCAAATGACCCTTTCTCGATGTAGAATTGTTCAGGAGTGGTAGTTTTTTCTTTAGTAACCGAACAATATTTGGAAAGTCTGCTTATCAATGGTGATTAAAAAAATAAGTTTTTTTTTTCTTGGATTAAACTTATATTTGAGCAGACAAAAGCATTTTGGTATTCCATAGCAATTCCTTTCTAATTTTCTTTTTTAGCTAATACGCGAATAATTTTTGTTAAACATAATTATTTATTATATTACAGGTAGTGATTTGGGAACCAAAATGAACACATATGCTTGTTCCGATCCATCAGAATAAAAACAGAGGTTTTCTGAAAATCGACATTTTTGATTTATTGAAAGGGGAGGGACATAAACTTTTAGATACTCGTATTAACAATTTGATACCTCTGCAAATGACGACCTCGTAGGCGTTTGTTGATTCAGAAAACCAATTAAGTTCGACACACACGCGTGACGTCACTAACAAGTATTCAATTAAATGTGATTTAAATCACATGGGTTGGCATAGTCACTTCGCTTCTTCTTGAGTTGCTAGTACCCAATCGGTAAAAGCTAACAACCTTGAGTTATAAAATAATTTAAACTATACCTCCATTAGTTATAAAATAGTAAAATTTTCAATGAAAAAGTCACCGTATAATTAGAGATTATTCATCGAATACTATATTGGTAAGAAATTTGATCCCAATCAAATACCTGTCGAAATTAATTATCTGGTAGTGACAGTGACGACTAAACTACAGCGCAGTGACAAATAAACTACCAGCTAAAGTGTATTAGGCGCTCCATAACGGACACCCTTATCATATACATTAAGAATCCTTGTGAGCAAGTAAACACATTAGGGAACAGTAAAGAAGAAAAAAAACAATATTGTTTTCTAACTCCGTCGAATAATCGTGATTGAATTCACTATAACAAAGGATGGTTTAAAACAGCCAAAAACCAGTTTATTTGCCTAGTGAATTTCGAAAATGTTCGCTTTTCATTAAGAATAACCTTTAAGCTTTATCCTCAAATAAATTGCTTTTAGATCATTTTAATCACCCTCTTACTCTTTTCGTACTCAATTGATCAGAGTTCGAGAACATTTTCGTTCGTAGTCCCTCAGATAATAATTTCCTATCCTTAGTATGCATAATTTTTTTACTTTAAATTTTATAAAGATTGTTAACATATATACAAAGGGTGGACATGACGAAGACTCTTGGCCAACTAAGAGGCTTTTTAACGATTCCTTTACACATTCCCAATGAGAACGTCCAAATCATATGGACTGGCTAATGAGGATGTTAGTGCGGGGCCATATAAGTTGATTCCATTGTTTAAATGCTGTTCTGTCAATAAATACTCCATTTATGAAATAATTCCCGTGAAGAAGAACTGACACAGTATGAAAGCGAGTCTGCCAAAGCGGATTACAGTAAGAAACAGGATACTAAATTCTATATAGGATGTAAGATAGTCAATAGTCAAAAGTTGATAGAGCTTTCCAAAACAAACTACTTTTACGATAAAATATTGAATTGCAATGCAAAAGATAAACTCTATGAGGAAGCTGTGAGGAGTGGACGAAACATCCAATATTCGAATACTGAGAAGGGTTGATATGTACTAATGCTTTCTTCTGAGCCACGGTGGCTCAGGAGATATTGCACTCAACTCTCAATGAGGCGCCCTCAAACTCTCAATGAGATATTACACTCAATTCAAATTCTGCTCACAGCGACTACAGTGTTAACGTAAAATATCCTCAGTGATAGGCGAATAATGAGTTCAAATCCTTTAGTCGTCGGGCAAACCGGGGTAGGTTTTTCTCCTCCCTGTAACCTCCATCAAGAAGTTCTCCACGAAAGCTAGTTTACAAGATTATGGAATTGAACATTGATACCTGTAAACCCAAAAATGCTTCGGCTGTTCAACAATGGTTATAAAATGTACTATGCTGCAATCGGTAATTTCGTAGAAGTAGTAAGGTTTTATGAAGAGGTATTTCCAAACAGGGCGCTACTCGATCGAAATTAGCGCCATAGCGGAAAACGTTGGAGCAATGCCATAAATCTTACAAAATTTGAGCATTCCCTCCGTTGTGGTGTATTGTAACTGGTGGTCATTCATTTGATGTAAAGTATACAATGACAAAGATGCTTTTTCTCTATTATCCGTCTCGATTGTACTCTCTATAGTTAGCTCCTTTATATGCTAAACCTTTGTCTTGCAACTTCACATTGTATTGTGAATGTTGTTTGTTTTGGCAAGTTTAATTACCCCTTATAATTGTGACTAATAGTTTTATTACACGCTATAAAGTATCAGAAGGCCTTCTGAACTTACATTATATGTTCGTCCTGTACGCCACGGCTGAGCTCTTTCTGGAAAGTGATGCTTTTGTGGAGATGTCCTTGTTCTGCTGTCTCTCCCTCTAGGACTGCTTTTATCTTGATATTCGTAAGCATACGTTTCGTAGTCATTCCTTTCATCATCTTCGCGGTGAGTTTTACCTTTCTTTGGGCTTTTTTCATTGTCTTTGTCAGCCGCACGCCGCCACCTGCTGCCAAAATCTGCTGCCAATTGATCGGAATCTTTAGGTTTTTTGTCCTTCCGATACATTTGAAAGATATCCTAAGTAAGAATGCCTAAAACAATTCTTGAAAAAAGCAAAAATAGAAAAATTTAGACTTTTTAGAATTGGAACGCCTGAAACAACTCTTAAAATTTGAAAATAAAAAAAATTAACTTTTTATGCAACAAAATGCGTTTTAGTAAAAGATTTTAAAAATTATTAAATTAAGGAAGGAAGAAACGAAAAATAGTCTCATTAAAAAATTTTTAAACTATGTGGTGAATACTTAATATATATTCATATAATCATACTTAAATATAGATTCAACACATTGCTATTTATAGTCGACGCCTTTTGAGCTTAGAATTTATTATAAAACGAAATATCGTTTTTAGGAAAATTAAATGCAAATTAAGAGCTACTAAATTTTGCTGCATTGTTACCCTGAAATCAATCTTTTGACATTAAAATAATTGTCATCCAAGTTAAATATTTATTAAATGATTATAAATATTCTTGAAAGAAACAGCAACATAAAAATTATAATTGTCATTTTCATGCCAAGAACATATTAATCTAAGCGATGTATTGTGATCATATGAAATTATATCTTAATGCAAACTCATTCGGGTATTTAAGTCATTTAGAATTTTAATAATAAGAAATATATTCAAAAGACATAACTATTAATTAGAGATAACTCACAACTTTTATAAAATGCAAAACAACAAATGGGTAAAATACAAAACTTACTTGAATAAACTATTTGAACTTAGTCATAGACATAGAAAAAGTATTTAATAATTCAAAAAAACAAAAACATTTACTTGCGTTAATTTATTTAAATCAAACGAGATAAGAAAACAAGTCCTGCTTCTGTTAACCTTTCGTTTCTAAAAACAATTCACTCAAAGCATATCTTCCTCAGATAAACACATGATTTCAGAATCTGAGAAAAATCAGAACAGTTTGTTGCTATTTTGACAAAATTATAGCATACCATGACAGTTAAGTACCAGCAACGCTAGAAGAGGAAGATCATTGAAATCAGCCGATTCTGCATAAACAAGATGGCATTTTAGCGTAACAGTTATTTGCCTTAGTGTATAATCACGCTAAGTCTTACGATGGACAGATCTTGAGACACGGTTCTCAGTAAATTACCGAAATCAAGTATCACTGCTGTCAAGTAGACTGCGGACAGCGAGCGAGTGACCACTTTAATCAGCCTGCAAAGAAGAATCTTTGTTAAACTGTTCTACCGTAAAGTGATCAACTTCGAGAGCGGGTCGTCAGGCTACAAAAGCGAAGAAGCCATTGGATAAAAATGGCGATGGCCTGCTTCGAATCATCCTCAAGGATGTTTCCCGCGCAGTCGCCAATACCCCATTTGTGTAGCTCTAGTGAGACTTAAAAAAAATACTATTATTTATCAGGCTGAATCACTTTTCGGATCAAATTTAATTGAGTACCTGTAAGCGAAGTCAGTTTTGACTGCTTAATCGTGGTATAAACAAATACCACTGAACCACAAGTCCATGGCAACTTTCGAGAACCGGCACGCCAGGAATGTAAAAGAACATCATAGAAACAAACCAAATTGAAGAGTATAACTCGTAGCCACCCCCAGCAAACTTCTACATAAAATAAATAATTCAAGAAACTGAATAGTTAAGATATAACTTGATTAAAAACTTCGTTCGACCTAAGATATATATTGCGAAAGACAATCCACGCAACCCGCAGACAATACTGAAACGAAATTTGCATTAGCGCTTGCCAATCTAAATCCATCTACAAAATTCTCCTTTGAATATTAAGTTATCCCGAGACCCTTAATGCAACCTCAAACATTATCACATTGAACTTCACAGCTCTTTGATACAATCAAACGCATTCGCAGCCTTTTACTCTAAACCACCAACCAAAAATGTGGACTTCAGCGGAGCAGACCAGGAATTCAATCAATTCTTCACTTTACAGGAACTTCACGATGCCCTCTCATCCTCCAAATGTAAATCATCAGGACCAAATAAAATTCCTTAAAGGTACTTCGCTCTCTCTCGGAAGCAGCTCTGCAGAAACTCCTGAAGGAGTTGAACTCTATTTGGGTTTCAGGACAAATCCCAGAGTCCTGGAAACTAGCACATGTCATCTCCATCCATAAGAAAGGGAAACATAGAGAGCTTGTGTCATCTTATGGACCTATATCTTTAACATCAACTCTAAGCAAAACGTATGCTTCTAAAACGACACACTGATTTTTCACTAAGGACAAGAGTCTTCCACCCCTATTACTGCTGTTTCCTCCCATTTAAAAGAGTAGATTCAGTACTCACCATCCTCCATCACGAAGTCCTTCGGACTCGGTACGAAAAGAAAAGTGTAATTTACTGCTATCTTGACATCAACGCAGCGCACGACAATGTCAACCAGGATGCTTTAATCCTCAAACACTTAAAATCCGTTATAACTGGTAGAGCTCCCCTTTTCATCCACAATTTTGTCAAATACAGAAAGACAGCCGTGTGATGGCGGAGAGTGCTACCAGAATTTTTTAATGAACAGAGGCGTTCCACAGGGGTCAATTCTTTTCCCATTCCTCTTCACGATTTACAGGTTACACTCCATCTTGTTCTCCCTGGCAACATATTATCTTGCATCTTAGGTAATGATATCTACCTGATTGCAGTCACTGAAACCATTTACGAAGTAAAACATAAAATGCACTTTTCCCACCACCAAATTCAGAAATGTTGTAAGGATTGGAACCTGGAGACAGTCCTGGAAAAGAAAGCTGCCATTAATATCTCTAGAAGACGAGTTGCTGGCAATTTCAGGCACATTTTTAACAAACCCATCCCCTGGGTCCAAAATCTGCGGATTGTCGACCTATATTTCTCTAGCCACATGACTTTTCACCATCACTTCAGAGTGATAAAACAAAAAATCCTGAAGAAACTCTCTGTTTTCATTGCATCTTTCGCACACGCTGGGGTGCTCAATCAGATCACCTGCTCCAAATTATCAACTCTTGTATCAGGAGTATCCTTGGCTACGGAAGCCACATTTTTACTTTCTCCAGACAATCCAGTCTGTCAAGAGATCGGTCCAAAGTTTGAACACCTTAATATTAATAATAACTTTTGCATATTTCGAAATTAGCTAAGCTAGTCAAAAAAAATTTGCACACAGTAATAAATTTCATTTATGCAAACATAATTCTAAGCGAAAAATGTATTTTATTAAATATAATTTATTTTTTTCATTTTTCAAAAATTGTTTTAAATTGTTAGGTATACAAATTTTTACATCATTTCAAAAAACTTAATTTTATAAGGCAAAAAAAAAATACAAAATTAAGAATCGGCCAGAGTACCAGCTTGTGCGTTGATATTCTGATACCTGCGTTGTTGTTGTAGTTCATTTACGTCGCACTAGAGCTGCACAATGAGCTATTGGCGATGGTCTGGGAAACATCCCTGAGGAAGATCCGAAGACATGTCATCACAATTTTGATCCTCTGAGTAAGCGATGCAATCGCGATATTGGATTATATAAATCGCGATTGGATAATATAAATCGCGAGATTGGATAATATAAATCGCGATATTGGATTTTAAAAAAGCGAAATTACAAATTGTGATATTGAATTTTTAAATCACGTAAATACGAATCACGATGCACGATGTATAATTTTTAGATCGCGTGAATACGAATGGTAAATTAGGAGTTTTCCAAAACGCGTATAGATAAGAAAATCAACCACGTGAATACGATTCACAATATCAGAGATTTTAAAAACGCGTAAATACAAATCGCGATATTGGATTTTTAAATAGCGTGAATACGAATCGCAACGCGTAACTTTCAAAACAGGTAAATACGAAAATCTATGTCTGATATTAAAATCGCGATATTAGCAGATTCCAGTACTGTTCCAAATATTTGAAAGGTCGAAAATCCACCAAAACCAGAAGAATCAAATTAGGGGAAGAATCACATGCAAGTAAAAGTGTCGTTAACGGGATTTAACAAAAGTTTAAAAATTTCGTCGGATTATAAATTTTTGATTCGAGGAGTGCAAGTCCAAGAACCAATGGTCTTGAGATACTAGCAGATAACTAACTTGATTCTCATGCCCCGCTTCTAGTTATTATTCCCTGAAGAATGATACAAAAAAAAACTGAATCCGGGGTACACCCGAAATACAATCTTTTTGCTGCTCGTGCATTCCCCTCTGTCAATACGTAGATCATGCGCTACAAAAGATAAGTTCAAATACTGGTCTTATTCCTACAGTGCTCTTGTGAACACCACCACTAAGCGGCGAACAAAGACGATTTCGACCATGGGTTACTATACAAATCTTAATCCCTATGATGTCCCCTACTTTCCCTTAAAATTTGTTCCAAAAGTGCTGGGAGATCCGTGGTGGCTCAGGGGATAGATCTTTTGCCATCCAATGAGGTAAGCCGGGTTTGAATCTCAGAGATGGCTGGTCGATACGAATTCCGCACCCAGCTGATACAGGGATAAGTTAAGAGCTGAAAATAGAAAATTTTATGTGCAAAACACATTTTAATTAGTTGAAAAAATATCATAAATTTGAGCAAGAAAAAAAGTACTTGTAGAAAGCATATATCAATATTCATCAATATTTTAATATTGAACATGGCTGAACGGTTTTTAAAAAATTGTACGAATCTCAATTGGTGCTTTTGGAATAGTATCAATATGAATGTAGAGCGTAATTTTAAATTGGGAGAATACAGATCACGATGTGAAATTTGAAATTGCGTAAACACGATTTACAATATGCAATTTGAAATTCCGCGAATACGAATTGCAATGTGCAATTTGAAATCAAGTCAATACAAATCGTGATGCGTGATTTCTAAATAACGTGAATATGAATGCAGTACATAATTTTAAATCTGCAACATACAAATCATGATGTGCAATTTTAAATTGCGTAAATAGGATTCGCAATATGTGATTTGAATTCACATGAATATAAATCACAATATGTAATTGTAAATCACATGAATACAAATTGCAATTTTGAACTACATGAATGTAATTTTAAATATCATTTATATTGGCAGGAAAGCGTAGCGGGATGAGTAGTTTGAAATCTTGTCTACACAAATAACAATGTGCAATTTGAAACTGAGTGAACATAGTTTTAAATCTCCTTTAAATAAGTAGGAAAAATATTTTAAAAAAAATTTTTTTTTTTAAATTTGAAATTTTCCCAAGAATAGGAAACATTTTTCTTTTTATTTAATAAAAAAGTAAAATTTCACTAATAAGCTGGAAAATAACATCCCTGCTTCTATATTTCGAGGGTCAGAAATCCAAATGTATCGGGGAGATATGCTTATTCAAAGAAAGTAAGTTTTTGTGTCTGATTTTGTAACTTAAAAATATAGTCTGTACTAATTAATTAGCACATTTGAAGTCAACCCCTTTAAACCATTAAGGTTAGTACTGTGCAGATTTGATCACTAGTTCAAAAATCACTCTGGGTATCCCTTTCTTTATTTTTTTGCACACTGTATATCAAAGTTGAAAATATAATTTTGAGACACCGAATATATTAGAAAGAGAAAATAAAATACAATAAGATGACAAACATTTTATTGCTGGACAAAATAAAATTTCACTATTCTGTTGTTTGGAAGTTTACTTTTGCAAGCTATTACAGTAACAAATTATACCACAAAACAACTTAACAGATGTGGAGTGAAAAACATGACTCAAATCCAGTGCAAAACTACATTTTACAAAGTAAAGACAAACTTAATGAAAACACCAAAGATACAATTATTAAAACATAATTGATTTTACGTTGTCAAATCTGCATAATTTTAAATAATTTTTTTTTCATTTTTTACATTGAGTAGATATGTAAGGGTTTATGTACAAAAAGGCTTCATTTCATTAACATGCTTTTTGAAGAGTCAAATTTAGGTTTTTATATATATATATATATATGTATATATAAAAAGAGAAATAAAAGATAAAACATATTCACAAAATAATAGTGATCTTTAAAAATTTATTTGGCAAACACAGGAAAACAAATGCTTCTATTTGAATGCTAAATTTTCCGGTAAAAAGACTGATGTCCTAGTTTTGTCATTTACATTTTTGTATTCACAATTCATCTACATATATTATCGCATTTGAATGTTAATGAACTGTTCTTAGTGGACCAACCTAAGAAATGTACAATGAAGCACATGCCTCGAGCGATGCAACCATGCAGTTCATTTTAACAGGAGCAGCAGTGTTGAGGTCTGTGCAGTCCAACAGTGAAAATAGAGCTAGGAACACTGGATCATTTCATATATTTTCCTTTACTGTACACAACTTCTTGCACAAGGCAGATTAAATTCAGTTCGATCCAGAGAAGCCAAGGCAATTCTAAAAAGTTTTTTTTTCTTTCTCTTTTTTGATAATATACACACTTGGCAAATTCACACAGGAAGGTGTTGCTGGGTGTAACACTTAAATGTTCAACACACTGAGTCTGTCAGAAGGTGGTGCTACGATTTGTCTGCATTTGCTTGACGACTGTGTTTTGGATAATTTGGTTTCAAATAATCTTCATTGGAAAGACTAAAAACATCAATGCGATCCTCTTTACGGTATTGCAGGCATTTTCTGATGAATTGCTGAAAATAAAATAACACTATAAGACAAAATTTTAACACCTTGCATAGCATCAATAATATGAAAAAAAACTCTCCAATGCATAATTTAAAATACTTTTCATTGAGATTTATTGGATTGTTATTAGTTAGGTTACAAAGTAAATGTTTTTTAGGCAATAAAATAGCACAAAAAACAGTGACAGAATTTAAAATACATTATGAAGTGAAGTGCCAAAGTAAACAATAATTATTATACAATAATCTGGGGCATTATTTTTTTATTTTTGAATTTAAAAAGCGGATCAATATAAGTTTAATAAAAAAACGGGTAAAGAAAACATAGTTTTTGAAAAATATTCAAATTATCTCCTAATAATGAAATATTAGTTATAATTAAATGAGTTTAAATTAGTATGTAAAAATAAATTTAAGTGAAAATAAAAAGGAAATAACTAGAGGGCAAAACCGATCATGGAATAAACTGTTTTTAGTACCAGTGGTACACAGATTTATAATAGTAATATCTTATTTTTCTTTAATTGCTCTCATTTGCAATTAATAGAAAATTTTAATTCTTTGATGAGAATTTACAATAAATTTACAATAGTTACAATTTATAATAATTGACTGACACAACTGAGAAAAATGTGGAAATTAGTGAATTGAAGAATAATTAGCACATCTAAAATATTAAAAGAAAAACCATAGACACTTTTGAAACATTATAGTAATTAAGTAATACAAAATAAAAAATTAGGAGCGTAGAACAAATATAAGAAGTCATGATGAATTAAACACAAGAATCTAAAATAATTACATATAATTGAACACAAGTAAATGTAATATTAATGCTTCTTATAAATTCACTACCTTAGCTTCATTGCTAACGACTGGCTTGGGAGGAAACTCAACTTCTTTTGCTTTGAGAATAGTATTTTCTTCTAATATAGTTGCTTGGGATTGATTGTGCCCAAATGGCTAAAAATAATAATAGTAATTAGTTACAAAATATTTTGACAGAATAATGATAACACTGAATCACTGTAATTTACGGAAACTAAGGCATATATTTAAAAAACAATATGAAACAACAATTTTCTTAAAATTTAAATGCTTCTTCATCTATTGAAATATTCATAGTTCACTGTAGATAGTTCATATAAATTGTTTTCAGAAAAAAATACAATTTATTTTAAAGAAGTTTGCCTATCGTTCTGTTCAGTAATAATAAAATACACATGAAAACTTTTTTCTCTCCAAAAAATAGGAAATAAAACAATAAGTTAAGTATCGTTTGAAGCTTAATATCAATTCTAATTAAAAGATAACATTAAATTAAGATATTAAACGGAGGCAAGTGGCCTGAGATATAACTTTTTAAACAACACAGAGGCTCTGCTTCCTACTTGCTTCTCTCCCCAATTCCCAGGATTGCTTTGTAGTAACCTTTGAATCAGAAACATTTCATTCAGAAACAAAGATTCATTGTTTCATTCAGAAACAATGTTTCATGTTGAAGATTCATTGTTTCATTCAGAAACAAAGTTTAATCCAATTTTTTTTTCCAATGGCAGGGAATACAAACAATAACACAGAGGAATAATAAAATTTAATCGAAATTATCTATTTTATTTTATTGACATAAGTATATTCTCACGCTCTTCTTTATAATTTTGAATTCAACTTACAAAACAACTATTGTTAAAGAAACAAACTTGCTTTTGAGAAGTATTTTTCAAATAATTTTAACAAGCTAAGCTAATTAAGAAAAGAGGAAGACCATGAAAATCTCACGCGTTTCCTCAGCAACAAATGGTTTCTAATCTCTGATCAAATTATCACTTAAGTTAATTTCTTCCAGGATTGTGGACATGCAAAAACAATAATAATAATAAAATAAAATAAAAATACTATTTCTTGCTTAGCATGCTGTTTTTACTACTTTTTTTAAATGCATATTTAATAATTTTTTAAGCTTTTTCTGGAATACCTTTCTTCTGAAAAAAAATAATAAAATAATAATAAAAATCACCAGCATTTATCACGTTTGGTAATATGTTTTGTACAAAAACAAGCCAAAGCAATTTAGAAGTTAAAAAATAAAAATTTTGATAAAACTTAATATATTGTAGTAACAAATTCCACTTTTTTTTATTTTAAGTTTTAAACTGATAAAATAAAAATATTGAGAGATAATTAAATATTCCCACTTTTCTTTAAAAAATATATAGACATTGTTTTAAGTAAAAAGTGGGAAAGTTTCATGAAAAAAATTCCAATAACTTTCAAACAGATAGGAATTGTGAATAAAGTTGAAACAAAACACAAATGTTGACATTTAAGCAGACATAAATTATTACCATCCTTCAATGGATCACAATCTTCAGTGTCTAAACATAAAATGGTAGATAAACACTGAGATATTACAAATAAATAAATAATTGGAGAAGGTTTAGAGATTTTGGGAGAAAAATATTAAAATTACCTTAAGCTTGAACCAGACGCATATCTAATGCTACACAATGTTATGGAACAGGTATAAAAATAATTTAAGTTTTGTATGACAGCTTTCTTTTTGTTGCAGATAATTCTTTAAAAACTATTTTAATTTTAAAAAAATTCTATTTAATTGTTAAAAATGGTAATAAAAAAATATATTATTACCTTTTTTCCATATAAACATTGGTAAAATATCACACCTACACTCCAAACATCAACTTTTGAGGAAATTTTCGGAGGATTCTTTCCTACAACAAAACATTCAGGTGGCAAATACCTAAAATAAATAAACAAAACATATAAAAAAATAGGTTTATTACAAAAACATAACATCTTTAAACAGCATTTTAAAACTTAAGAGTATATATTTTTTTATAATCTGCACACAAATATCAAATAAAATTACAGGATTTAATAAAAACCATTAGATAGGTCGCATAGGGAAATAACTATTTCTAATCTTGAGTGTAATACAAAGGATCCCGTGGATTAATTTTAAACTAACAGTAACATTTGAAAATTATTGCATTACATACTTATTTGTAGATGCAGAATTGGCATAGAAAACAAAATTCTTACCTCAACAAAAAAGTTGACAGACAGTTTTTTTAAGATTTTGAAAATTTTATTCTTCATTTTAATTTCAGAAAATTAATAATTATCTAGAAAAAGAAATGTTGCAAATCAAGATATAATCAAATGTAGTGGCAAGAATAAGTTGAATAAATTAACAAAATTATTTTTCGATACTAAAATGCCCCTTTATCAGGGTTGGGTTTTTGACGTCAAAAAGTTTTTTTTGACATGNCAAAAACCTGCCAACCCTGCCCTCTATATTAAAACAATGAAAAACAAAAATAGTTCACTACTCTAGTGAAATGAAAATTTTTAAAAAAAATTAGATATTTCTGAGAAATTAAAAAAAGAAATGTTTCATGTAGGTAATAAGAAGGGAAAAAAGAAGAAAAACTGATGTTGAACAGAAAGATAAACACTAATACATACTCAAGTTTTTAATATTATATAGTTATAATATCAATATTAGCTTAATGCCCGTTCTAACTGAATACAGATACTAGCTAAATCGTACGGGTTGGAAAAGATTAAGCCAACAATATATGAGTACTGAACGACACTATGAATTTCTGCATAAAGTTGAAAGACATATACCAACACAATTAATAAAGCTAAAATAATATTAAAAAAATTATCACTATATTTTGCCTTTCCCAGTGGCTTTACATTATTGAAATAAGCAAAACAGGTTTTTAGTAGCTCAGCCTATCAAAATAAAGATTAACTGCATTCAGAATCATTTGGCATGATGCTATTGCTTAAAACCAATCATGATAGTTCAAATTTACCACAACGATACTTACTTCCTTAGAAGGAAAGTAAAAAACCTCTTTTCACACTATCTATATCAGGGGTTTCCAACTGGTGGCCCGCGAACTAAAATATACATTTTTTGCGGGCAATTTTCGTATAAAATCTATATGGATTTAAAATACTTTTCTCGTTAACAAAAACCTAATTTCTTCGTTTCTGAGAAATTTAACATACCAATGGTGCAAAAAAATTTCTTTCTCAGGTTTTGCACCCAAGAAAATATTTATTCAAATACAAAAATAATTGCATATGTTGCTCTTTTTTATTTCATTTTTTTGTATTTTGTGAATATAATTTAGCATGTGTGTATCAGAAATATTCTCAAAGAAATTCTCAGATTTAACTCTTTGAAACCACTCATTTAGGACGAAAATATTTACACACACATTTGAAAATTTTAAATGTAAATATCTATTCTCTGGTGGTTGCAGCAGACAAACCTCAATTTTCTCATTGAACATTTTGTGTGCTACTATGTAAGTTTTAATTCTAACTTTACTTAAAGTTTAATTAATCTTAACAATTAGATATCTGTTGTACATAAATTGTTTAATACATAGGTGCATATTAAAGTTATTGTAGCCCAAATTTTTATTATCTATTTAATATTTTTAAAAATATAATTTATAACAATTAAATATTTTTAAAAATCTACTTTTTATTTTAATTTGAAATTCAATACTTTTGTTTTGTACAACTTGGTAAAAATCTGACAGTAATATTTAATGTTCCTTCAAACAGAAAAGAGCCCTACATAAAATTAAGAGTCCTACACAAAATTTTGACAAAGTTGCGGTCCGCCATTTGATTTGTGTTTTTAATTGTGGCCCCCGGCCTCATGTAAGTTGGAAACCCCTGATCTATATTAAAGCTTCCCTGAATTGATTCAGTTAATAGGTATCGAATATACTAACATAATACTATCTACCTATATTTGTACATTTGGTACCTATTAAAAATACACCAATTACGATGATACCAGTAGTGCCTATCACTAAATTTAATTAAGCATTATTGGTATCAATAATAATGTGGAGATCTTTTACATTTCTCCAAAACGAATTAGTACCATTTCTCTATTAATATTGTTTTGCAGTATTTAAGAGTATACAACTTATTTTTTTAGTACTTATCATAAAAATTAATTAAGCATTTAATTTGCATCAATAATAGCTAGGCAATTTTTTACACTTCTCTTAAATGGATTAGTAACATTACTTTTGACATTAATATTGCCTATAACATAGCTTATTTTTAATTTCAATGAGTAATTATTAACGAAATTAATTAATCATCAATAGCAAAATTAATTAATCATCAATTAATTAATCATCAATAATATGGTGATTTTTTTGTATCTCTTAAACAAACTAGTATTATTTCTTCATTAATTTTTCTTTATAGAAGATAGATTATTTTTATTATTTCAATTTGTACACAGTACCAAAATTAATTAAGTCTTATTGAGTCAACAAAAGTGTGACAATTTTTCATGGTTCCCCTAAAAGAATAGTTACCTTTTCACTATTAGTTTTGCTTTCTAGGACATACCTTATTTTTTATTTCAATTAAAACCTATTACCAAATGTAATTAAGCATCATTGGTGTCTATAATAGTATAGCGGTTTTTTATGCTATAGTGTTACGAATTAGTGCCATTTTCCCATAAATGTTAGTTTTCAATATGTTGTTTATTTATTTTTCTGTTTCAATTACTATTGATTTTAAATCATTTACTTTTATAGATTCAGATTTGAAAATCATAACTATAAATAAAATAATTATGTGTTTTTAGATAGTCTTAGAAACATTAGAGTTGGTGATGTAATTCACCAATGCTATCATATTCATGCTGATATCAGGAAATTTTTTTGACCTAAGTAAAAAATAGTTAAGTATTAAAGAACGTGAAGGAAAAAAAACTTTTTTTAATGAGATCTCTAAGCTTGTAAATATCACTGATGAAATCTTTAAAATATTTGAAAGGAAGAAAATCATCTGCAGCAGTCTCATTTTTATCAATGGAGATGCCAATGAAAAATTCCATTTTTTATACAGCTCTATTGAACAAACTAATTGAAAATTTTAAACAAATTTCAGGCTTGGGCACTAAATTAGTCCCTAGCAGCTTCTGTGAAAATTTCACAGTGATAGTATAAGTGGTTCTACAATTATAAGATGGACAAATACAAATTCTTCATTATATTATTATAGATATAAATTTTATTATAAATTTTTTGACCAAAGAAAGACTCACCAATAGGTCCCAGCACCTTGAGATGTAAGATCCATGCCAATTTCTGGCACATAGCTTTCATCATCCATTATTTTACTTAAACCAAAATCTGTTATTTTTATTTCATTACTAACAGTACCACTTCCGAGTAGGATATTGCCTGCAGAAAATGATTTGAGTTAGTATACACATAAATGGATTTACAAAGAGAGATTCCGGATTAGGATATATTTTATAATTAAAAAAAAAAAGAACTGGAAAAAAATACTTTAAATTAGTGTTTACGTAAAAAGAACTATACTTTTAAAAATCTGATATATTTATGCAAATTAACCATTTTTATAACGAAAATTATAAATGGATCTACGAATTGAGGATTAAACTATGATATATTTTGTAATTAAAACAGAAATATTTAACAAAGATTTTTTTCTAAGCAAAACAAAAATATTTTTTTTCTAAAAAAAAAAGAAAGAAAGAAAAACTTACAGTATGGGAGGAAAAAATTTTTTTTTTAATAATTTTCAATAAAATAAAGGTTTTAAAAAAAAGTGAGGCCAAAAGTTTTCAATATTAATTTTGGTCTCTCCAATCTCAATGTGAAGACATGAATTTACAACACTTATTTCACTTATGTATTTAAAACAATTTTTAAATTGCAAACCCAGCAGCATTTAATAAAAGAAATTTAGAATTTATACAGATTTTAATTGCTGGCATTTATTCCTTTCAAAATAAATATAGAATAAAATAATTTGTATTCATTAGCATTTTAATGTTGATTTCATTAACTCTGCATAAATTTCTTTTTAGATATATGTGTGAAATAATATTGCGAGACTCACTGACTCTTTTTATTCTCTATAAGAGGCAGAGCAAGTGGGAGGGAGGAATTACCGCTATTTATCTTTCTATTATTGTGATGAATTCTGTCCATTACTTTTAAGCCTTTCTTTTATAAAAATGTCTTTTACAAATAATTTTCTCTTACCTAAAAAAATAATCAAAATTGTACAAAAAGAAAAAAATTTGAAAAAGGAAAAGATTTTTGCTTTCAATCGAAAAACGGGTCAGAAATTTGGAAGTTTTTTCTCGAAACAGGAAGAGTTGACTGGTATGATTAGGAAAGCTATTCTTTTCCTATCTTTATTATATTCTCATTGATAAGTAAAGAGAGAACAAACAGATACCAACCTGGTTTTAAATCATAATGAATCACAGGAGGCTTTATTTCATTTAAATATTTAAGTGCATGAACAACTTGCATTATAATACAACGAGCTTCTCTTTCTGGAATGCTCTTGTGCTGCTTTAAGTAAAAATCTAAATCATGACCATCACAATACTCTAATACTGTACAAAATCTAAAAACAAAAACAATATTAAGTATACATTTCATGATAAATAAATAATATAGCTAGTTGAAAATGAAGTAGACATTAAAAAACAATTGATGCAAACAATATCGTAATGCAAGCAAAGTCGAAAACAAAAATTTTTCTAGATTTTTACAGAAAATATCTCTGAAACTGATAATATTAACTTAAGATAGCATAACACAATCACTTTGAACAAGACCAATTACATTTTTAAAAATTAGTTTTTTTTTTTTTAATTTTTTGTCTTCTTAAATATGTAATTTATTTTAAATACATAAATATATACTTTTTTTAAAATTTAGATGCAAAGGAAATAATGATTAGTCAAGTGATAAAAATTCAATTTCAGTTTTTATACTAGAAAAACTAACTTAAACACAAAATAAAATATTTAAAGATAAAAAGTGGGAAAAAAAGAAAAACGCAATTGAAATACCAAAATATCACCCCCTATTACCAAAATACAAATTAAGACAAGTAATTATCATTGATCACAAAAATAGTTTGCTGAAAATAGAAGCTCGCATTTCGGTCAATATTAAGCAACAGACACCGCACAATGGCACTTAGCCTTAAAAAAGCCTCAGTTACTATTGAATTAAAATGTAACTTATTTTAAACATTTTTTAATGTAAGATTAGTTAATAAATGAAAAATACTGCAGATATAGCAAGTCACTTTTGTAAAGCATGTGAGAAAATTTTCAGTAAATTTAACGTAACTTCTTTTATAACATTCCATAAATGAAAAATACTGCAGATCAATATCGAATCATTATTTTTAGGCAACAGTTTTTTAATACAGTTGCAGAAAATTTTTATAAATCTAACATTATTTACTAAAAAATAGAAACTTGCTGTAAATTTCTATTCTAATTAAAACTCCCCCAAAAAATATTTTTAAAAAATCACTTCCCACCCCCTAACCCTGTAAATGCCTAAACATACTAAAAAAGCATTAATTGTGGCAAAAACAATTAATTTATACATCTTTTCTAAATTAAAAACTTCTTAATCTACTTAATCTTAATTCAGCTTTGATTCATTGCTTAGATCTCCAATAACTCACCTCAAAAAACCACAACAAACCATCAAACTCAAATTAAAACGCAACTTTGACTCAAAATCACTTTACAAAATCCAATTATGCCCACTAACACACTTATTGCACAGGAAAAAAAAAACTTCACACAAAATTCAAATCTAAAACCAAAATTTAATAATTGAATTTCTGCAGAAAATGTTGCATAGAAAACAAAACACCAATAAATCATTCAACACAATATTTTTCTCACACAATCATCATGCCCACATCCAAATTAATCTCGCGTACATCATTCGATTCTCTTATAATTCCATTAACATCTTCACGATCTCTGCTTTATTACTCATGCCACATTATTACCAGCTATCGCCGAACTAGGTGGGGGGAAAATCAACAAACATCAGGTGCTGATGCACAACAAATCTGTTCCTAAATAGCAATCACAAAATACTTCAAGTCAAATTACTGATTTTTATTTACTTTTTACAATAGCCTTCAGTTACTTTATAAAATAGGATAAAAAATAGCAATAAGGTAAAAACATTTTCTTTTACTTACGAGTTAGGATCAATTTCAAATACATCATACAATTTTACAACACGAGGGTGATCTAGAGACTTGTGAATGTTATATTCCCTAAGAGCATGCCTGTAAAACAGTTAAAACATTATTGTTTCGATTTCAAAAAAGCACTTCGTAATAATTTACCATCAAAATACAATACATAGCATTGTAACAATAAATATATTTTTATTTTCATTTTAGCAATACATCTAAATTAACTTTAGTCTTTTTAAAAGAAATAAGTACACATAAGACTATAAACCTGCTCTTGAAACTCATTATAAATCAAAATAAAGGTATCAAATTTTTTAATAATTCCTAAAATTCTATTGAGTTGAGTGAACTTTAAAAACAAGTCATGGCTTCACTAAGAGAATATTTTGTGTCACCCTTAAAATTCATTAATATTTGTTGGAGAATTAAATATATGGGAGAAGGAATAAGAGATAATAAATAAAATTTAAACATAATTAATGCAATTCATATTTAAAATCCACACAAATAATTTAAAGGAATTTAACATTACTTTTCCCCTTGTTGTGGAAAATCTATACAAATAAATAAAACTTCTAACAAAAAGCTTGATGCTTCTTAGTAAAATAACTAGAGTAGCAAAGTAATAGAAATATTTGCATTCCCTCTTTAAATGATAATCTATCTTAGAAAGCATGATTCCATTTCGAACAATATTTATTATTTAAAATAAAAACTTCAGAAAATAGAGCTTTGACTTGATATAAAATTGCAAAAAGACTAAAAACTCTTGCAGCTTTTGCATTAAAAATGAGTTATTGAAAAAATGAACTTAAAATTCTAGATATTATTGAAGCTTTTCTTAAGAACTGACAATGAACACTTTAAATTATACATTAAAACTGACTACATTAATAAATATTGGAAAGCACATAAGAGTTACACATCATAAAAATATAATAGTATGACACAACTATGCTCTTGAGTTAACTAAATTCAGCTTGGTAGTATTCCTGATGTTTAACACCTTTTATTTATGCATAATGCATTCATAAGCTAACACTTACATATTTTATTGATAACAAAATATTAAAATAGCTAAAAAATAACTTACTTAATATAATTTGCTTTCTTGTCGTCTTTCCAGTCCTTGTTTAATTGATGTATTTTGCAGGCAACATACCTTTGTTCTTTTAGATCAAAAGCCTAAAAATGTAATTCTATTTAAGCAATTATTTTTTAAATAATGGGATATGACAATAATTCACATGTCAAACAAAATTTAAACAAAAAGTCATAATATTGTTTTCCAATTAAACATTCAACTTTACTAATGTACTTAAATTGAGTGATAAAAAAAATACATAAGTGATAAAAAAATAGACCTGAAATTATGAAATTCCAACTTAATTTCTCTAGCTCACAATGCAAATGATGTAAAAGTGCTATCTATATAACATCATTGTCACTTTAATGGGCATGTGTGTTAGTCCAATCATGCATTATGGTAAAATTTAGAGTACAATCTTATATTTTAATTTCAATTGCAATTCTGAGTTTTAAGGAAAATACATATCTATTTCAGTAATTAAAGAAAGTAAATGGTAGAATTAAAAAATAGAAGAAATTTAAAAATTCATGAAAATGTTTTTGATCATTGATGTCAGCATCTCAATGTATTGCATCCTGAGCACAAGGACTTGAGCTTAAGGTAGCATTTTGAAAAACTGAACTTTGTCCTTGTGTAAAAGACCTATTACGCTGAGAGATTTATGTTAGCTCTTACCACTATTAATAAAAAAATGTCTGAAGTAGAGAACAATGGTTAATGCATTTAAATTTAAAACTAGCTTAACTAAATTAAAATATTACACTTAATTTTTTTTGACTTAATTTCAATATTCACAATATACATATGGAGAGGTTGTCTATAACGAGTAAAACTAGTTAAGATATCTTAGAGGATAGTAAAGATGTCTAAAATATCCCTTATTTCTCTCTAAGAAGAATAGTTAACATATTTAAATGTATAACATGCTAAATTAAATCTGAAAAAATAAAGGAGTTAATAATTGTAATGTTTCGATTTTAAAATTTTTTTAGTTATCCTAGCAATGAGATTTACAAAACAGTGGCAAAGAAACAATATATATATACATTCAGTCTTCAACTACAAAAAAGACTATAAAAATGTTTGCTTTAAAAAACTTAGGAAATGAAAGCACTCATTCCATTTTGTTACATAATCTGTAACATAAAAATTTTCATGTCTTAACTTACTTTATGTACTTCACTAAAACCTCCTTTACCAAGGAGAATTAATAATAGGTAGCGGTCATTCAAAACAGCATGATTATTAAACCTAGGAAAAAATAAATATGTTAATTATGGAAAATCTTATTACTTTGATTGGTTACAGAGAGAAAATAGAAAATTATCAATGAAAAATAAATAAATTAAATTTACCTAGATTGATCTTCGTTGTGTATACGCTTTAATTCCCTAATATGCAGATTCCTTTCTCGTTCTAGCTTTTCCAACTCTACTTGTAGATCAGTGTCTTCCTTTTTTAATGATGCTTGTCGAAGTTTTAATATTTCTTCATGTTCATAATATTCTAACCATGTCAATTTTTGAAGAGAACTGAAAAGAAAAACATATTTTATTTAATATACAAAAAAGAAATGGAATAAATTTAACTTTCAAGAATTCTAACCTTTATTTTTAAGATCATGATTAAGATTTTAATAAGTTTCAGAGTTAAAATTTATATATCATTCGGCAGAAAATTAAAAATACAAAACTCAACCAAATTCTGAAACTACGTAGAAAACTATATAAGAAAATTGAAAAACGATCAAGGAAACTTTATATTAGTGATTAATTATAAAATTATCCAACCGGCAATATCAAAAATTTAGAAAAATAAGAAAGTTGGAAGAAAACTAAAGATTTCGCTGAAGTTTATTCAAACATGATCTCAATTGACATGAATTTCATAAGTCAATAATTTTTATAAAAAATTCTATGAAATATTTTCTACTTAAGTAAACATATAGAAAACAAGTTTTCAGTAATTTAGTTAAAATTAAGATATGAACCATCTTAAAGGCATTGGTTTAAAAAATTAGTAGTTTTTTGTTATATTGCACATGTAAAGACAAGAAAAATGAGGGATCTAAAATTTTTTTTGTTCATTTTAGACAAACAAAGAGCCCAAAAAATAAAGCAATTTACAACTGATTATTTTATAACAACTCAAGACCGATAAAGTCAATGCATGGAGTTAAATGATGCTCTGTGTACAACTTTTTTTCTGTGGCAAAATCTTAAAGCTATTGTGAATAACGAGTTTAAATGGAGCTTTGCTACAATTAAAGAAAATGCTTGCATGTTCCACAAGTGTTAACAGTGTTTTAACAGCATTTAGATTCAGAAAATTAACTATCTAAAAGAAAGTGCAAAGAAATATTATTACGTCATTTAAAAAAACTCACTCTTTAGGAGGATCTGGTTTAGCAAAATCACCATTTGCTATTGCGACAGATGAAGGGCCATTATTAGCTCTTCCTTTAGGCTGTGCTGTACTAGGTTTTCTTTTACCAAGTAGTTTTCTCTGTCTTTCTATTTCTTCCCGTTCAGTGGCAATCTGTTCTTGCTTCCTATAAATTGCAAAAAATAAAAAAAAATAGTTAATTTTTTCTTAAATAAATACTATTTAATGCAAACTGTTTTAACTTGCAAATAGGTTTTAAGTTCAAATAGTCTTAATTATACAAACTTACAAATTTTTTTTTCTTCTTTTTTTTATATTTAGTTTTAAAAATTTGTTTCAACTCTTATAACGAAGTAAACTATATCCAGAATTAAAGTTTAAAAAAAAATTCATTGCTTTCAAAATAATCAAATTACTTAAAAAGTGCACTTGGCAGTCCGAAATGTCGAAAATCAATGGAATATATATATTTATATGCATACATAATACTACATATCTTAAAACAAATAATAATTTATTTCTCATAGTCTGTCTTTAAATTATGAGTAAAACTAAAGAAAGAACACGTATTTGAAACATAAATTTGAATTAAAGTAATCATTATTTAAAATTCACACAATAGATCAAATAGCAATTCTTGTAATACAAAATTCTTAAGCACATTTAAAGCTGCCATTTTAAAAGAAAAAATATTTGTTTTAAAATTATACACAATTATTGAATTTGTATCAGTTATATTATTGACAAAAATGTAAACTTTAAAAATGTTTAGAGCAGGCAATAAAAACTAATTAAAATGAAAAAGTTGATTAAAACTTACTTTATAAGTTCTGTAAAGGCATAGCCATCTACCCAGTTTTCTACAAAAGACGCTCCTTGCCTTTGTGTAATAAACTGACCTAAACGTAGCCTATTCTGCATACACTTTTGTCTGGCAGCTTTTTTCTCCATTGTGCTCTGAAATAAATATATATTTAACTCTCCAGTGCCAAAAAAAAAAGTTTTTCCAGCATTTTTTATGCAAGCTAAATTATAACAAAACTTTAAATATAAAAATTCCTTTCATTAATTACTAGCTAAAAGGAAGGGGAAAAAAATTTAGAATAATTCTGAGTATCAAACTACATTGTTGCTTTTCCTTGATACAGGTGTTTGATCAGTCTTAATTAAAGCACTGATAGCTCAAATATAACTCTTTTCTCGTTTAGAAATTCTTTGTTTTGTCTATTAATAGAAATAATTATGAATATATATTTTAACAGATGGATAAACAGGTAGAAAATTCATACTTTAAATAGGGGCTTTAATACATTATTTTGGAACAGAGTCAGAGATGATTGGAGTTAATAACTTTATCTAAGCTCCTCATCACTTAATGAAATTCAGGATACTTCATTAATACAAGGTTTAGAGAGAAAATAATAACTTTTACAAAGACGTTGAAAAAAAATGAAATAATCTAGAAAATGCATTATTATACTATATAATCTTGGGAATAATTTCATATTTAACACTTTCAAATTATTTCAATAAATAGGTAAATAAGTTAAATACAGAAATATTTTTTTAAAAACATTTCTAAGGTCGAGGTGTGCATTTGCAGAAAAAAAAACTTCCCTAGCATTATTTAACCATTTAACAAGAAAAGAATTGAGATAAAGCTTATAACTGTAAATAAAAATAACTATTTAAATAAAATTTTCAATAGTTACAGTAATAACAAAGTTAACACTTGTTTAGAGTTTTGCAGTAAGCAGTTTGAATACTTTGAATGTATTACCAGTCCTATAGTTTTTTTTTTTTTTTTTTAGCTNTCGTTTAGTTTTTTTTTTTTTAAGCTATATATAAAAGTGACCAAATTGAACAAGTTAAAAAGAAGAAAAACATTTTAAAAATGTCATAACTACCATAGATAAAAAGCTAATTTGTATAAAAAACAGATGAAAGAAAACAAAATAAAAAGTGTTATTTTTTTTTTTTTACTTTTTAGGCTTTTACATTGCCCAGAAGACCAAATTTTTTCCTTATTGTTTTACAATAATGTCTCAATTGCTGTAATTTGACTAAACATTGAATATTACATTATTATAATTTACAATACTTTAGTCATGGAAAGAAGAAAAAAAACATTTATTCTTCTGATTATAAGAAAGATAGATACAAACAAGATAATCATTTCAATATCCAAGAATTGAATAATCATAAATAAACAAATCATTTGCAGAAATACAGAAAATTTGAAGTTAAATCTGAAGATTTTAAAACAAGCAAACATTTGATAAATGGAATGCTTTTAAATCATGCAGATAAAAAGAACTTTATAAGGATAATTTGTAAAGCTAACACAATTGTAATATTTACATATTTTATAATGCAGTTTTTTGTAATATACGTAGATAATTTAACTTCAAACACAAAAAAAGGAATATTTACAAGGTAGATAAGTATAACTTGTAGTTATTCAAGAAATGTATACCTTTTCAATTAATAACTGTTTTGTTACTGCTAGACACTTGCTTTGCTGTTCTTTTTGTTTGTCTAAGAGCTTTTGTTGTGTACTGACTTGTCTTTTATATTCCTCTCCAGCCTATAAAGTCATTAGAATTTAAGTGGAACAACAATGAAATTTTTTTTGACATACATACAATTAAGTTTGAAATAATATGTAAGAAGTACAATATTTTAGAGGTAGAAACATTAGATCACAGCTGATATTCACTACTTCTTTTTTACACTTTCTTTCAATGTTTGCTTTCATGCCAGCAAACAGGAAGCCACGTGATAAAGGTGAGCGATTTAGCAGAAAAAGTTGAATTTTTTCCCTCATTGGTAGATGAGAGAAGAAATCCATAACATCACACCTTAAAGGGAGAATCACTGCAAGCGGGCTCCCCAAGGCGGAGATCATTACAAGAGGTGCAGCAACTTCTGAATTAAAGAAAATATAAACTATGAGGCGGGTGGGTAAAAATGCAAAAAATATTATCCTTTGCAAGTAAAAACAAGATGAAAAAAAAAAGTTAAAATAAATAAATATGCAGAAAGCTGCTACAAAATGCAAAAGGGTTGGCAGCTATGGAACATTCTAATAGTACAGACATGCCATATCTAAAACAATAAATTATCTAGAAAAAAATTTAGAAACTTATGGTTTTACTTTTGAATGAATTTCGGTACAATAAAATGAAAAAAACAAATATGAACTAACTCCTTTTTATATGCTAAAATAACATTCATAAAATTCAAAGTGAGGAAGAATAATTTTCTTTTTGATCAACATATAAAAGAAAATATAAAAATTCTAATATTATAGACAAAATTATTTTTGCTATTTGAAAAAAGAAATTTTTGAACTTCATTGCAATATGAAAATAACTGTAGAACTGCGGAGAAAAAAATCAACACTAGAACTTATTATAACAAAGAAAATTGTTGTAAATAATATTGCATTAAAAATATCAGAATTTTATTTTAAAATGCTTGCAGAAATCAGAAGCAATAACTGTCAAAAAATCGGTGGGATCGTCACATCAAAAAGTGTAGACTAAATTCAAATTTTACTTGTCATAATAATAAATAAAAAATTTCAGGATAAAAAAATATTATTAAGTATAAAAAATACCAGAAAGCGATGGAATCCCAACATGGATTTACAATGGAATTGAAGTAAATCCAGTACAAGTGGCAAAAAGTGGTTACGCAAATGTACAATTCGAATTTTGTGTGTCAGAATAGGATACATCATATAAAAAAATATTGGAGTTGTAAAAACCATAAGCAAATCAATGCCAATTTATTGTAAAAATGGAATCTTCACATCAGGAAGTCAATGATAATATGCGCAAAACAATATACAAGTATTGAATTAATATTGTATAAAAAAATTAAAAGATCTTTTAAAAAAAACATGAGAAAATTTTTAGCAATATTCTCCTTAAAAAAAAAATCTGCATGAATTTACGTGGGAATTAGATGAAACAAGAAGTGATTACTCAAATCAGTGCTACGTTACATGTTGTAATAATATATTAAAAATAATTTTGTTGACTTTATTTTAATTTTATATTAGGGAAAAAATTTGTAAAGTGAAAAATTTTTTACAATAAAAAATTTATAGAATTTTGTTTATTAGACCAAAAATTTCCCCAGGGCTTCTGCATTCTAGCACATTCAACACCACTGCTTTGGCATTCCTAATTTTTGCCTTCTCTACCTGCCACAACGAGTTTTACATTGTCATTCTAATTTTTTTACCAGGTCGGACAGTACAGAAGCTAGATAGTCACAATCCCGATAATCGAGGGCCAACTGTACTCATACCTTAATTGTATAGAAAACATTACCACTAAAAACTCTCAGCAAGGGCAAATAAATAATTTACCCTTTGTAATTCATCTATTCTATTGTCTCTTATTTCTAGGTCCATTGCAGATTTGCTTTCCAGTTCTTTAATTTTATTTATCGTCAGATCTGTTTGTACTGCACGGTGAAACATCTGTGAACTTCGCTGCATAGGAGCCATTAATTGAGAATAGTCCAAATTTCCACTCATTGTGGAAAGAGGAGATTGCAGAGGATTAGCTTGAGGAGAAGGAGGATACTAAAAGAAAAATTAAAACTTTATGAATAACTAATAAAAAAAAACATATAAATAACAATTTCAATTTTTTAATATCTGTTTTAAAGGATAATTTAAGGATTTGTGTCACTTATTTTATTAAAATCTTAAATTTTTAGTAAAGTGATCTTTCTTTAATTATCATAACTTTGAATTTTTTAAAGAAAGAATATTAAAATATTCCCTTATTTAACATTAAAGAGCATTAATTTTCAACCAATTTGCATTACAAATAAGAAAGAGAAAAGAAAATAAAACAGTTGAGAAAAGGAAATAAAACAAAACAAAACTATTATGATGATTAGGACTGGGCTATAAATCGATATATCGCGACATATCGATTTAACGCCTATATCGGCAAACCGATACAGCAACTTTCATTCCAAGCGATGCATCAGAANTATTTATTATTTATAATTACTTTCAATTTCATTTTTAATTTTAGCTGTAGTTTTAATATTAATTTGAACTTCAGGATTATTTTTATATGCACCTCTGTGCAAGCTATAAGCTAACCAACTTATTTTTTATATCTTCCAGCAGTAGTTCTAAGACCATCACCAGATTTTTGGATGTATAGAAACTAGAGGCCGTATCACCAGCCAAATGCTATGAAGCAGCAAAGTACTGGTTCAGAATTTCACAAAACCCTGGATGTACCTTTGAGCTGCCCTTCGATAATTTGTGGTTTATGTCCTTTTATGTGCCTTGTCTTGGGTTTATAAGCCACTACATTGTATAAGTTTGTAAAATAAGAAAAATAATAATAAATAAATAAACTAACCGTATTTCCATTGTAAAATGTACTAGTCATTTCTATATTAGAACACTCTTTTATCTATAAATTAGGGATAGAAGAAAAGATGAGATAAAAATTAAAACATGATTTTGATTAGAAATGATACAGAAGTAGCTTTATATTTATTTGTTAATTTCATATGATTTTCTTTTGAATGCAGTTGCTGTAAAGCTAATTTTAGTTTTTAAGAAGCTTTGATGAGCATGCCTTGGGCAATGTGTTATCTCCTGCTTGTGAAATATATAAATTGTGGATTCTCAACATTTTTTTAAAATTTAAACTATACTTTAATTTATGTAGTTCAGATTTAAATTTTTTGCATAAATATAAGTTTTTTTCTTCTTTATTTTAAGTGACACATTCCTTTAACTAGAGTAAAAAAACATAAGCTACTATCCATGATTATTTTTGCTGCAAAGAAAATTTTTTCTCTTGCTGTAAACATCAATAATAACAGTAATTAATACATCCAAGCATAAAAAATAAAAGAATGTGACCAAAATTTCCAAAAATACCAATTAACACCAAATAAAATTTGTTATTAATATTCCATGATGATTGAATTCTTAGCTTGTAATTGGACTGAATTATTCCTTTTTTACAATTTTTCATTAAATTTTTTGTATAAAATTCTTTTTTTTTAATACAACAATTAAAGAGTAGTTTCAATGATTTTGATCCAAAAGAAGTGTGGGCTGCTCAACGTCTTTGAACTTTAGTATATTAATATATAACCCTTTTTGTGGTTAATTTCAAAATTCTTGGATGGTGCAATTGCTAATTGAGTTGTACTGTATTTAAATCAAATCAATTTTAAAAAGTTGTAAGGTATAATTGAAATTGCTGAAAACAGTTTTAAGTAAATGGTTCCTCGATTCACAATTTCAATTTTTGCAGTCATGGATTTGATATGAGATTTTACTTTCTTTCATAAGAAGACCTTAATTGTCCTAAATTTTTTTAAAAGAATAAAAAAATAATAGGTACAATAAAGAGAGCTTAAAACAGTTATGTACAATAACTGTTTTAAGGCCACTTAGGCCAATAACAATGCAGCTTATAGTTCTATGGTTTAAATTTTAATGACATCAATAAAATTTTTTTGTCAAGTCAATAAAAGCATGTGAATGAATTTAGACAAAAAGTTTTTACACAACTAAGTCCTTTCTAAGTACTATAATTAAGTACTATAATCAAATAAATTAATCGAAAAATTAAATTAGTAATTGCCCTCTGGGCTAAACAATATCCTATCCTAATTGTTAATTAAATGGAGATTAGATTATAATAGCCTTAATTTATATTTTTATGCAAATCAGTTTATAAATTTTCAGAAATGAATACTAACATCTGGTATTTATGGCAATGTCACAGGATTTGATAGGTGGTAATATCTAAGTTGAAAGTAAGAAAAAAATATGTGTACATATTTTTCTAAAAAAGGAAATAACATAGATAAAAGTTTATTAATCACAGTAGAAACGAAATTTGAAACAGTTATAAAATAAAAATACAAAAATTAACTTACATTACAGTAACTTACTTTAAAATATTCGTTTATTTTCTTTGATGTTTCTGGTCTTGGGGTTTTTCCTGTATATACCAAGTCTGAAAAAAATAATCATTGATTAGTGGAAATTTTTCAATCGAAAAAAAGAAATTAACTTAAGTAATTTTATGGTCAATTTATTATTTTTTTTAAGAAAGATGGTATTAAACTCTTATAAATAACCTTAAACCATTATATTCCAGCTACAAAATTGCTGTAGTTGCTATGGAACTTAATAGTAAACTACGGGATTACAGATGACAGATTATGGATCGAACCAGAAAATATTCCTTAACCAAACATAATATTCAAACGGGTACATCAAACCCAAAAATAAGTACTTGCTCTCTCATACGTGTCATAAGAAGGCAAGTAAATAAATTTTCTATCATAAAGCGACAACAAAGTCAGTTCAGAAGGGTAGACGAATTAGCAATTGAAATCGGCTAGTAATTGATAAACAGAAATTTTGATGTACTGATACTATGACAAAAACCATCATCCATCATATTTATCAGCATAGAGTGGACTAAGGATTTTTGTTTAAGAATTTAGAGCTTATTTTTACCAGAAAAACCAAATTTTTTTTTTTAATTTTACTTGAATTACCAGTTTTTTACCCCAATCACTCTAAAATCTGATTTTCCTGCAACCAATTTTCAAGTCTTAAGTACACATTACAGGCTATTTCCCTCAGACAGTCCGGCAAAGTTTCTTTAATAGATTTTGTAACAAGGATTTTTTTACTGGGTGGAGTACCAGTACCCCAACCTGGAGTACCAAGAAGGTTCTCTTTGTTTGGTGCATCACCAATGACCAATTCCAATGTGAAGCTCTACCAGTAACAAGGCTACTGCAGACATAGCTTACTGGCTACTTGACACACACAAACCTGCCCACCACAGCAAAGTGGTAGCACCAGTCAAGGAATTAAGATACTTGCTTAAATCCTTTCTGCAAGCATGCATGCAACGAAGTATATTCTTTCACAGAAATGCACATTATTTTAAAATGAAAAGTTGACAAATATTTACCAGACGCAACTGCCTCCTCTTTTCTTTTTCTCTTCCTTTCAGAGGATTGCGCTCTTAGAGGAGGAGGATATTTATCTGGTGACTAAAAAAGACAATTTTATTTTCATATCACATTTAGAAAAAATATTAAAATAGGCACGAAATTAAATGACAGGAAATAAATAAAAACTAAAATATTTTTTTAAACATATTAATATCCATTTTAATAAAATTCTTTCTAGATTCTAATTATAAAGCTTTTGGTTTTCTTTGAGTTTAAAAAAAATTGTTTTTCAGAATCAATTTTTCAACCTGTCAGTATCACAGCTGAGAATATCATAACTTCAGCAAAGTATACTTTTTATGAGACTATGATATTTCCCTTAAGGACACAGCTTTGAAATTAGCACTTGCAATATCCAAAATTAAATTTCCCCCCCCATTCTTTTCAGATAACATTTTCCTTGTCTTCGGAGACAAATACTTATTTAGACATGTGACTATAGCCTGATCAAAATCATAAAAAATAGATCAAGTTATGGCGTTCTAAATCGTGCACTATAATTATAATAAAAACTCTTCTTTTAAATTCAACAAATGTAACTTAAATGATTGATGACATATGCTACTAGATAGATAACAGCAAATGATATAACCACTTCTAATTGTTATATTAAATATGAGTAATCTCTTTACAACAACATATAAAAGCACAAATCAAGTAGTTAGAAGACAGATAATTGTTTTGTAATATGAAAAGCACTATGATATATGTAAAGAATCATATTTGTATATCTGCTTCATTACAATACAATGAAAAAATATTCTTTGTTTTTTAAGAATACTTAGCATAACTTAAACATAGTAAAAGCCTTTATGTCTTCAACGGACCATTCCTGACCAACTTTAAGATAGATGTGGTTTCACAACAATTAAAATATTCTGAGATCACTTTGTATCAGGAAACAAATTCATGTTGATGTTAACATTGGCAATTTAACAATTACGTTGTAAATTTATCAATGTAAACATTAACACACTTAAACACAAATTTTGAGCTGTGTCCATTTTCTGAAACAGGCATTTTTCACTTTGTTCAGAATAAAAAGTTCTCCAAAAAACTTGTGCCTGTGTGCAACAATTAGTAACAAGTGTACCATTAATTGTATCTTATTCATATTGGTTAGCATTATTCAAAATAGTGCTTCTATTTAAAATAATTATTAGAAATAGGAATAAAAGAGAATATTACCTCTATTTCTTTATCACTACTCACAGAGCTGCCACTGGCAGCACTTAGATTAGAGTCTTGGTTGTTATTGCTGTTACTATTAGCACCAACTGCAAGATTCAGTCCACTTTGCATCATAGTAGCATTTTGACTAGCTTGTAATAATTGTTCTGGGACACTGTTAGAAAAACCCTAAAAAAGAAATTGTCTACTGTAGCTAATTTTATTTGTTACAGTAACTATTCATTATCAAATATCTCAATATTTCAATGTTTAGTTATCATATTTGCCACTGTGATCAATCTGCTTTGCAAGTTGACTGCCTATTGTTAGAAAAAAAGTTGAAAAATAATGTGAAAAGTGCACTAACTTCGCATAAACAGACGCACGATTGTTGGAGTACAATAACAAAACATCTTTTTTTGTGTCAGAGAACAAAATTATTTTTTGAGACTTAAGAAGGGTTTTCATTATAGCACTGAAATGCTCACACATTTGTTGGTGTGATGCTATTTATGCTCTCTTCACATTGTTTATTTGACTCACATACAACACAAAGTTAACCTTGTTTTAATCAGATGGCAATGACTTTATGATGGCAACTTTATGATGCTTATGATGGCAACTTTAAATTCACAGATTTTTTATGTATGAGGTATACAAAGTCCCAAATTCAATGCTTGTTAAAAATAAAATTTTAATTTCTAAAATAAGAAACAAATTTTAAATGTAAAAAAAAAGAAAGAAAAATAGGAAAATTTAAGTATTTTTCTTTCTTAATAGAGAAAAAAAGGTTACTATGAGAGGAAAGAGAATTATGAGGCATCAATTCAGCAGGGAAAGAATATTGCTAATGATGTTATTCAAAGATAATTATGTTGGTTCACTTCTACGAAAGTTAGAATATAGATTGGGAAAAGTGGAAGAGAGTGTAAAAAAGAAAGAATCAAATGTGAAACAAATAGTTAAGTGTGATTAATATGAGCCCTAATTAAATATCAAACAGACCTTGATTTTACAAATGACCTATGCTTACTGGTTAACCCTTTAAGACAGGCAAACAAACAGAAACATTTTAAACATAGAGGTCAAGAAAATTAATCTTTTTTTTTTAGCTAACGCTTTTTTGAAAAAAAATTATGTTAAGAGATTGTCTTTTAAAATGCCTTTAATTATCTTTTATAAACTACAAATTTTTCTCTTGCTTTCATAATTTGTAAGAATTACTTTTTGAAATGCATAAATGAAATAGAATAACAGGGTAATTTAAAAATTGTTATTGATCAAATTCAATTACGTAATATTACTCATTTTGATAAGTTTTCACGGTGTTAAATTCAAAGTGCCCTTTTCCGTGAGGGAGCAGAAAGAATTTTTTTCTTTATATGCTTCCAAAACTTGAGAAAACAGAAAATTCTAATTATTCTCACAAGAAGAAATAGTTTTAATTTTATAAAACAATAACGATTTACACATTGATTTTATAAACGGATGGTTTTATCTGTTATGGTATTATAATATCAATCTTGCAAATTTGATTTTATAAAGCAGCCGATTTCTTAATCCAATAATTTTATAAGTGATGGTCCGCGTACAAATGTACAATCTGCCCAACTTTATATATTAGAAACATGGCACAATAAAGATAACATGAAAAACTTAAAAATCTTTATAACAACAGTTTAAGAAAAATCTTATAAATCAAACGGTTCCATAAAATTTGTAACCGTAGAAATTCTTAGAACTACAAAATAGAAACCAATTGAACTTGAAGCTAAGAAACATAGATGGAAATGGAATGGTCACATTTTCTGCAAACCTAAATGCTTAAAGTAAAACAAATTTTTGATTAGGACTCTTGAAGCAACAGGAAAGAGAGAAAGCAACAGCAAAAGAGAAAGTAACATGAAAAGATTTATCATAGTTACTTAAAATAAGAACTAAAATAAATGGACCGAAAACATTTAGAAAAACATGGAAAGAGGCGAAATACCTGACCACAAATAGAACTAGATGGAAAGCAATGCTAGAGGCCCTATGCTTCCATTTGGAGAGAGAAGAAACATGGATATCGAAGTGTGATTAATGTATAAATATTAATCTTGTGAAAGTTGCCAGTACAAGAGGAAGAAGCGTGTGGAACAGAAAGAATAAAATATGATGCTACATTATGAACTGAATACAAAGGATAAGATTGGTTGGTAGGGCAGGTGTCCAACCTGATAACTATAATGTTCATACTAAATCATAAACCAATACATAAAACTAGTCTTAATACTTGAGTTAATAATATAAATCTTATTTTGCTTTGCTTAATTTATTAACTTATTTAAAATATAAATAACCTTTACTTAAAAAATTTCAGCATAAAAACAACCAAAATAGATACGTCCAGCAGGTCTCATAGTGATCAACAGAAAAAATCGGGACACTTCTTCAAAAAATTCAGAAAATTTTTTTTGCCTTTTGCATACATATATTAGAGAACTTTTTAAAAAAGGCATTACTAAAAAAAGCATAACTTGTTTTACTTAAATACAATAAACAAATTTTATTGTAAAATAATAAATTTAACTTACTATAAATAGAAAGTATTTAAATTTTCCAGCATAATTTTATTAATTAAGTACTGAACAACTCATATTAGTTTGAGATCAATGAATAAAATTTTTTTTTGTAGAATTCAAAAATAAATAAATAACCAGAATCAATGAGTTAAGATTTTTTCAAACTAATATTTAATTAAAATTTATAGTCAACTTTGCTTTTTTTAATCTAATTAAATTGTAATATAATCTAATTATTTATATCTATCTAATTTAAAACTAATTATTAACCTTACCAATAAAACCTATGTAGAGTTTCAATAATATTGAAAAGAGCCATTATCACTGATATGAGAGGGACTAAAATAAACCAAGTAAAGTAATTCCTTAATTCAGTTAATTAGGCACAATACCTTTAAGATAAGAATACCTTTTTACAAGTATGTGACATAATCATAATATACAAAAAGGAAAAAGAATCCAACATTCAACAAAAACAATTTAATGTTACTCTTAAATATATTAATATTCTAAGTTAAATTTTTGATATACATCAGCTATTAATTTAACATAAATCAAAAAACTATTTTTTAACAAAATGATCTAACTTAATCCAAGATTAAGCCTAAACACCTTTTGTGCAAATATTAACTACCTAATAATATTGTAGATTTGGGTAAAAGATATTTTATAACAAATGTTCATGCAAATTAAGATCGGAAAATGTAATAGGATAAACTCCAGTTAATGTTTTGACTCAGTAGGACCACCTGAATGACTCAAATACACAGCAATCAAACTAGTGTCACATACTGATAATGATAAATATCATATCATAGGTAGAGATTATTTAATTTTTGTATAGTTTTTTATTAAAATTATGAAATATTTCATTTAATTGAAATGTTTGAGTAGTATTAGCTTTTAAAACCAGACATAACTCATCAACTACAAAATATTTATACTACTAAATTTATACAACTAAATTTAATCTGAAAAGCAATACTTACTCTGTTTCCAAGAAATCTAGCTTCTAATAATTCCTGTTTTCTGGGATCTAGGCTGTGTAAATTTTCCATTATGGAAACCACCACCTAAAATGAAAAACATCACATACAATGATTTTGCATTGAAAAAACTTAATTTTAAAATATGATATCTTAATAAGGAGAATAGATGTTTCAAAGAAACCTGTTAAACCTGTTGGTTATGACTGGTCCAACAGATTTATCAGAACAACAAATATTAGCATGCTAAAATAAATAACTAATGTAATAACCTAAAATATTAACAGATTTTAAAATAATTTATCTAATTTAAAATAAGCAGTATTCTGTTCCCACTGCATCTCAATTTTTATTTCAAAAACTCAAAATATGTGCAAAGAAGAAAAGAAAAAAAAAGCTAAGTTTTTAAAACTGATTTATTTTTACACAGGCCCACCCAAAACTAAATAAAACGTTTAGCGAATAGTCATTATTATAGATAGTCATTATCATTATGCGAATCGTGCATATCATGCGAATAGTCATTATTATAGATAGTCATTAGCATTATGCGAATCGTGCATATCATGCGAATAGTCACTATCATTATTCGTTAACATCAGAATCACATTCATAACAATTGTAAGAGTGAATAAAAATATTGCATATACATTTTGGTGTTTCATGTTCAAAGTTAATTTTTATTGAAGTGACTAATTGATTACATTCTTTTTAGAATGATTTATATTTACGCAAACCAGTCACTAAATATAACCTTTCCTTCAGCATTTTTTTAAGAGCCTTATTAATTTTTCAGTTTAATTCTTTTCCTTTTTTTTTGGCTATATTTCATGAATTTTGAATTATATTTCTCATATAGTGAGCATTTTGCTAGGGAATAAATATTTTTCTTTTTAAATTACTGCTTATCTTACCATAAATCTCAGTCATTTTAAATATGCTTCAATAACAAGCATTCATGTTGACTAGATAGACATATGAATTTGCTTTTCTGCAATAGCTTCTTCCATTTTAAAAATATCAAAGCACATTAAATAAAAAAATGCAATCTTGAATTTTTTGAAGATTATAATAAATGATTATTAAATTCCCGTGTATCTTTATTAAGTATATTTATTTACAAATTATTTTAATTATAAATTATTTTATTCATAAACTACATGTTTATTTCAATTACTTACTTACTTTTTTTTCATTTAATTTATAAATACAAGCTACAATCAAAAAAAAAATAATTTTTAAAGAAAAAAACAACTGATATAAAAATTTTTCTTGAAAATTTATGTTTCTTATTTTAAAGTAAATTTTATGATTTCTAGAAGTATTTAAGAATTTTTAATTTATTAACGTTCTTGCCTTAAAAATAGCAAAATTTAAATTAATTAATAGCAACAGTTTCTAACAATGACCTAGAGCAAAAGTACTTGAATACATTGTGTTTTTGATTCAAAAATTAGAAAGCAATAAATATTAAATACTTTTAGGACACATGTATAGATGCAGTTAACATATTTTTTAATTAATTTTAAAAAAAAGAGAGAGAGAGAGAGAATTCTGAACAAAAATTGTTGAAAAATAATTAAAAAGAAAAATATAAAGGAGACATATCATTATTTAGCAGAAATATTTATTCAGATACTACAGTAATAAACTGAATAACAAATCTATTTTAATAGGGATTTATTTTAGGAACTTTCTAAATTTTTCAAAATATACAAAATCTATTTTCATGTTCCATTGTACTAGATTAGAAGCACGTGAACTTTTTGAGCAGAGGACTACTGAACGAAATAACAGGGCTGTTACAAACGTAAGACTCTAAAAATAGACATTTTAGTTGCTCTAAATATGAAAAATAGTCTCCAAAACAGTTTCTACATGCATAAAATAGTAGCCAAAATATACACCCTCCTCTAACATATTTTTATATTTAANTACTATTGTGTTTTGAATATCGCCGCAGGTAGTTTTTATGCGGGTCGTCACATTACGAAGTAAGAACGCATTCAAACATTCTCACGACGGCACTCTTAAGCGGGCCGGATTAAACCTTTCCGCGGGCCGTAGTTTCCCCATCACTGATATATATAGTTGTGTGTGGATAGATAATAATACTAACGAGTTTCAAGTGTATAATTATTAATAAAAAATAATTTCGAGGGAAAAAGATTTAAGCAGTTATTTTTATAACTGATTTCAGTCGACTTTGGAAAAATTAGAATTGAAGACATAACAGAATATACAATTTGGATGGATGCATAATTTGGTTGGCAAAAAATTCAGTCAGCAGCTTTTTTCTTTTTCCAATAAGATTTTTTGCCCTTGGGAGAGAAGAAAAATACACTGGGCAAAAGATTTTATTATTTAATAATTTAATAGGCCAGTAATACTGCTAATTTTTTTCAATCTATTCAATTTTAAATTTAACATATATGAAATGAATGTTGGGCATTCTAGAAAGAAACGGATAGAGTAATGATGCAATTGAAGTTCATTATTCAAGAGATGGAGTAATTATTGAGAGGAAATATTCAGTGGAAATCTTAATATTAGAAAAAATAAATAAGACAGAGTTTCGGACATCTACCAAAAAGTGCCGCTATGTACAAGGTGATGTAAGAATTTTTAATCACGATATATCATCATTTAGAATTCACAATGTAGCGATGTAACATAACATTTGGTTTACTTTAAAAAAGTAGAAAGTTATATTTGAATCAAAATCATACAGACAGAAATCTCAAATCGATCTTTATTAAATAAAAGAAATAACCAAAAGGATAAGGTATACTTTGTACTACGTAGACTAAAATGACAAACTATGTAAATAAAGCACAAATAAAGTACGAAATTGTTCACTTTTGTACTTCATTTGAGCTTTATTCGCATTGTTTTTGACTTAAGCAAATGAAATAAACTTTTAAATAAAATCTTTTTTTAAACATCTTTATTTTTTTTAAATCAAAATAATATAGATAATCTAATGGCCAGATTCCATAAAATAAATAAATAAACTTAAGCTTTGTCTAAATATTTAAAAAAATAAAAACAGCTTAAAATTTATTAATAGCAAAACATAATGAAAAAAAATTAAACTTACAAGTATTAAAAATAACTAATTGAACAAATTAACTGATTTAAAGACTGTAAGCATTATTTTCAGTGGGAAAAGAGCGGGGAGGCACATAAGAATGGAGTAAAACATTTTGTGGAAAGATGGATGAACTATTATTTATGACTAGTAAAAAAATATGAGCAATTCTTTTTAAATATTGAGTGTCAAAATCGATAAATTCCTGTTATAGAAATAAATAAATATATTTAAAATTTTAAGTCAAAATATTTAATTAAAATGGAAAAACTCACTAACTGAATAAAGAATTATTGATGAATTTAAAATTTTAACTCACACAAAATCACGATCTTGTTAAACAAAATTGCAATCATAAACATGTCCAGACATTATTATAAGGGTAGGCCACTAAAGTCACAAATGTTTTCACAATTCAGAAGAAAGAAAGAACAAGTAGGTTTTTAAGGCTTTTCCAACTAAATTAAATTAAATCAATGTAGGGGTAGCATTTTAACAATAATATTCAAGGCAATGTTAATGTATCTATTTTATGTTTACAAAGTAACAATATTAATTTACTGCTTTAGTGTTTATTTCTTAGTTTGTTTTATTAAATTATAGTAATTACAATTTAAAAGCTTTCCTTACATTTTTTCTGAATTTAATTTCGTAATTGAAAATTTAACTTTTTTTCTGAGAAACAACACACATTACCCATACATGAAAAATAGTTAAGTAAGTCTATGAGAAGCTAATTTTTTTTATACAAGAGTTTTTTATTGTGAGAAAGTCACAATAATTCTAGAAGTTGGCTACTAAAATTTTACAGCTTTTGTCAGCTTCTGGCCATATGTCAAATGGTAACAAATATTATAACAGAAATATCCATATGAGGTACAGATACTAAGTTGTGAGAAAAATTATAGTCGATAAAATAGGTACAAAAAATGAAAACAACAGATAATATTGCTAATATTGCTAAAATCATATTTTTGTAAGTTATTTAAGATGTATGAACAGTTTATTTGCTTAGATAACATGCAATGTATAAGTTAGCCAAAAAATATGAATTTGACCCAACTAATTGAAACATTTTAGTTAAATAGAGATGCACAACCTACAGCTGTTGGCTAATTGTGGCCTTAGACTGGTTTATATGCTATAACCATCTATTCTAACAATATATATATATATATNATTAATATAATCTGTGAAAAAGTGATTTTAATAAACTCTTACAAACCCCAATTTAAAAATTAAAAAAAATCTTAATTTTATACAAAACTAAAATATTTTGTTAAAACTTTCTACATCTTTTGTTAAAATATATTAAAGCAAATCTATTTGAAGAACTTACAAAAAATCCCATTTATATTCATTTAACAATACAGAATTCTACTCTAGTTTCAATTTATTGAGAAGAAAAAAATATATGCATTAAATTGTTTTGATCTTTATCTTTCCAGAATTTTCTAATTTAATTAAAATAAAACTATTTATTCAAATTGTATTGTTTTTAGGCAAAATTTCAGATGCAATAATATAATTAAAAGTAAAAAATCCCAGTTTTTACTGTCCTGCTAAAAACTTTCCTATTCAATATCCATAGCTTGATTTTGTAAAAGTTTCTTTTAAGCAATACGGAATCATTCAGAAATTACACATTCAGCAATACGGAATCATTCAGAAATTACACATTCTTAATATTTCAATACTAACATTAAGCAAACTATTTTTAAATAAGATAGAATTTAATGTCTTTGAAATAGATTTAATTTTAAAAAATGTGAATTAATATGTTTTAGTCATTCCAAAACTAGATATTGTGTAGTTTTATATGAAAAATGCTAAACAGTTAAGAATATTTCAAGAACTACAACAGTTTAAAAAATAAAAAATATATAATTAAATAATTTTTATCTCATAATAAGTATCTCATCTTTGGAAGAAAAAACAGAAAATAGCTATTTTTGCTTTAATTATTCAAAATCATTATGAACTTTATAAAGTTATATAGATTTGAGTAGATGCAACATTATAATAATGCTATATATCATTAATATCATAAAATTTATTGATAGAATCTTAAAAGAATGGAGGCATTTTTATTAATATTAAACAAATATTTAAAACTAAATATGAGTAAAAAATATAGGTTATAGACACTTTAGCACAGTTTAAAATAAATCTGAGCTGCAAATCTCATTTGTCATGCCCAAACCTAGGATAAGCCATCCTAAGCTCCAACCTAATTAGAGATAATAAGCTATATAAGCTTAACACTCTAAATTACATATATACCCAGAAGCAGAAAGTGCCTAAAACTGTGACGTACGTCGCAGAACAAACGAAGTCCTGCAGAACAATTTGTATATTGAATAAGTGACAACGTTTTCCTTCGAAAGATTTTTAAGGCAGCCCTTATTTTAGTTTTCGGACCTTCATATCATAGGCATTTTATTAAAGGTTCGTCATTAATTCGTTCGTTAATTCATCATCGTCATTAACAAAACTTTATACTTCATAAGTGATTGAAAAAGTAACAAATCAAGAATGTTTGCCTTTGTTTAAAAAATAATGTAGTTTATCTGTGTATGATCCTCTATTTTAATAAATGAAAATATAGTATTTTAACGTGAAGTTGAGTTTTTTTCTCTGTGAAATGCTTGCAGAACATTTGTATAAATTAATAAGTCCTGTTGCAGAACATTTGAAAATATTCTGATTATGGGCATATATATATCATAAAGCTAATTCTATTACTAGTTGAGAAAGTTTCGATTACACAATTTAAATAAAAATGACTTGTATAATGATACAGACAAGGCGTAACAATGATGTACAGTGTGAAAAATAAATAAACGGATAACCATAAATAACTTTTGATCTAATAATCGGATCTTCACGTTCCAAAACTCAGTCTTAATGGTCTGAAGGGATGACTTCAAATATGCTGATTAATTAGCACAGACAATATTTTAAGTAAAGAAATCAAATGCAAAAACGTACTTTTTCTGAATAAACATGCTTTTTTTTCCCAACAGGGATTTCTGACTCTCAAAATATAGAGGGTAGCTGCAATCTAAGAAATATGGTCCAATAGTTTGGTCAGAAGAGAAGAAGTTTGGACTCCTTAATGTTAATTGTACTTTTTACGTGTTTCGCCGCATTGCAAGAACTTTTTAAGTGAATTGAAAATTTAAGTACACTATTATATAATTCATTTATCTTAAAAAATTCCATGCAAAATAAAACTTTCAGTAAGTATTTATTAATTTTTATTATATTATTTATGAATAGTCAAATAACATTTGAATTGAAAGATCAACTGTTTTTTACATCATTTTAAGGAATGCAATTTTAAATAGCAAAACACAAAATTTGAGTGAAATCAGTCAAATAGTTCCAGAGAAATTGAAATTTGAAAAAGTCTTATTTTTTTAGTACAATTTTTTAGGAAATATTAGACTGATTTAACTCAAACTTTGTATTTTACCATTTAAAGTTATGTTCTTTAAAATAATGTAAAATTTTTTTATACCTTACAATTCAAAAGTTTTTTAGACAATTAAGAAATAAAATAATAAATATTTACTAAAAGTTCTACTTTGTATGAAATTATCTTTCACTAAACAAGTTTTATAATTGTCTGCAAAATTTTCTCAAAATATGGTGAAAGACGCATAAAGTAAAATTTGATATTAAGGGGTTCAAACTCAAGACTAAACTATTGGGAACATATTTCTCAGATTGCAGCTACACCCTATATTTTTATGGTCAGTAATCTGGATTAATCATAAAAAATTGCATGTTTGTTCAGAGAAAGTACATTTTGGTGTATGATTTCGAACCTTAAAATATTGTCTGCGCTAAATAATTAGCATGTTTGTGTGAGCTAAATAACTAGCAAGTTATTCAGAGATTTCTGTTTTTTATTTTGTGCACGGTACCCTAATTATTTTAAGAAATTTCAATCATATTTAAAAAACATAAAAAGCTTGATAAGATAAACAATAATATAACTCAATACTTCAAGATTTGACACAGAAAACAAGTTAATAGAAGTTTGATTAAAATACCTTTGTTGTTGAGTTGATGAAGGCATATGGAGAATTAAAACTACACACAAGAAAAACTGGAAAATTTTCTCTAGAAAAAACAAAAATTGAAAAACATTAATCTCTATTTGATTGACAAAAGTAAGACAATATTCAATATTCATAAATAAAAAATAAATTTCAAGTATCCAATAGAGTTTTAAACTAGTTATAATGGGGAACCAATAACTAAATCATTAATAGCATTGTCTTTAGTGCACTCTTACTAAAACAAGAGGTTATCAATCTTTTTCAGAGATCATCAAAAAGAGCTATCTAACTAAATATGAGCCACTCACATATATTTTCAATACATTTGAATCTACTTATTTGTTGTGTTAACATATTTTTATTTTGATATTTTTTCGTGTTTCCTTATTTGACCTTTTCAGCATTTGGCGCAGAGGTTTGCCCGGGCGCTAGATGTTTTGATGGTCTCTCCTAAAGGTTATCTTCAATACAAAGTCAATGGAAAAAAATTCCATGCCTTCCAAAAAGGACGTAAATAAAGGAGGTCGCTACACAGAGGTGGTCATTGCTGGAGGTTTCACTGTACCTTGCTTATTTTGAAACAAACTGATTTTGTCATCTTAGATTAAGAAGTAATTAAATAACTTCATTTATGTAGAAGAGTTAAGGAACAAAACACATTTTTGCAGATTACTAATTCAAGAAATAATGAATTGAAAGAAGTTTACAATAACAGCGATTTTGCTGATGCCCTATAATGCATCAAGTAAGCCAAAAATTATAGAGGGAACTCAAAACACAAGTTAAGATGAATTCTTTAGGTTGGAGGAAAAAATTGCATACTAACAGATTTATGTAGGTAGAATATCAAACAAAGTTTAAATATCTATATGAAAAACTTCGTCTGAGCATCAAATGACACAGTGAAGGCTTTTCTTGAAACAGATGTTTGACCAGTCCTAAAATTAAGAGTCTTGATTGTTTAAATATAACTCTTCTTGTTTAAAAAATTTTTGTTTCGTCTATCAATAGTAAGAAGAATTGATTGAATGTGAGAATTTAAATTTGAAGTCAAGAATTCATATTTTAAATAGAGATGAACTTATAGAGAAAAGGGACCCAGAAATATAATAGTCCGCAATCCAAAGGACCTGCAATTTCCTAGTAGAATCACTGATAAAAATATATCAAAGTATGACAAAAAGCAATGGCACGAACCCAAGATCATTATTTAGCAATAGAGCAAGATAGTCCAAAAATGATGTAGCAAAATGGCAGTTGTGGATGGATTAAGATTGGGCATGATGGCATTGTTTGCCTCGCAATGAATTCATAGGATTGAGAGATGTTTTTAGACAGTAAATCAAAAATCTTGGGACAATAAAACCTGATCCTCCATCAAGACAGTTTTAAAACTCTGGAGGGCTTTTTGGCTTTGAAAGGGTTGGTGAGTTGCCAAGAGCATTCTACATAATGTTCGAGCAGTATCAAGAATTGGAGATCTTGCTGATCACTATATCCTCTGAATATCTTTGGCTTCAAAGTATTTCTCTATCAGCCTAGACCTGTGTGATGTTTGTTTTTTCCTATAAAAATTAACATATCACCAACAGCACTTCTAAACAATGTTACATAATACAATTACAACATTATTCTAAACGATATTCGATTCTATACCTCGTATGTAAGCTATAGGATATCAGTTTGTGACTCACTATGGTTGGTTACTTTTTTATCCCGTTTTTAAAAAAATATAACCCTTAAATCATCTCTCTGATATAATTTTCAAAATAAGTGCATTACTACTTTTAATATTAAATGGAACAAATATAACAATTAAACTTCTACACTAAGATGTTGTCATCTGAAAATTATCAAATTGGATCAGATAATAGCACATGATTTATGTAACCCAATCAGAGCAGGTTTTATAAATAAAAGAGTTACAGTCAGATATACAAAGAAAACCCAAATTTGATAAGATGGTGAATACCAAAGGAGGGGCATGACTAGATTTTTTCTCCTTACAACAAAAGTTGGTGATTACTGTTATGGATAAGATCTTAGTCCTATACCTCAACAAAGCCAGCCTGTGCAGGTCAGTAGAGCCATCTGATATCAATACATAGTACAACCATAGCTCACACCATAACAATTCAACCTCTGCAATTGCCTACTTCCGTGATATGAAGGGTGATACCAGGTTCTTGGAGGGGATATTTCCATATTAATATACCTGTTTGCACCAATTACCATTGCCAAAGAGTTTTTATGTTAGCAAAAATTAATAAAAATATAGATGCTTGCTCAGGAATGACTAACCACAAGCTGCACTCTTCAAATTAGTTCTCTTTGGTGATGTCTTTTTGGTGCAGTATCGATATGGGAATCTTCCTCCCTGGATCTTTCTGCACGAGAACATGTTGATAATCATTGCTCCAATCTCATTGGGTTCTTCTTCAATGAAAGGAACACTGGCCCACTGCATCTGTGTCCAAGGTTAATGTTATGAGCACCAGATTAGACGATTTCTGCTGATGTTATGAAATCACACATACTATGTCAAGTACAAAGCTGAAATCTTAAGAGTGCTTTGGAACATTATCTAGAGAGGTAGTGTTAGTCCTTAGTTTATTTTTATGTATGACGGCAGTCCACAGAAAATTGGGCAGGTCTTAGAATGTCTGGAAGCTCTGAAGATATTCAGAGGATAGAATGGTCAGCTAAATCTCCAAATCCCTGAATCTCATCAAGCACATCTAAGAGAAAAATTACAACCCATCCCTTTCCCAGCTACCTGCTTGAATTAAAATCTATCTTAACGGATAAGTGTTATATATTTCTTCATGACCTTAGATTTATTGTCCCCAAACATTCCTTAACAGCAATAGAGTTTTTAATGTGACACATGTGTCCCCATCAGAAGGGTTTATACTCCATATTACACTCTCTACAAGATTCATTTTTTTTTTAAACATTATTTTGAACTGTTACACTATAATATTTATTTAAAATCTTGAATTTGTACTTTTAACATTTTGTTATTAACTGTCATTATTAATGTATTTTCACAGTAAATTTCACTAGATTTGATACAATATTTCTTGAGTAATCTACAAAAATGTGTGCGTTCTGCAACTTTTAACCATTAATTAACAATATAAATTTGTCAAGACTGGTTCATTATAAAAATTATAAACACAAAATAGATATTAAAGAGTAAACAACTTTAAGTGAGAAACTTGTATCAAGCTCAAATAATTTCAAAGAACAATAGTACCATAGTTTCTTGTTAGTATGGCTTAATTTAAAGCAGGTATAGGAACTTTGATTATCTGAAGTAATTAAGACAAAACAGGTTTTTTAATAAAAAGACATTTTTAGATTGTCACTGAATGTTTGATTTATTAATTTAGACTTTCGTTAGTAAATTAAAAAATTGAAAAAGATAAAGTAGTCAATTAACTGCCAAAGAGATCATAGAATTTATGTTTCCACAAGATTATGACTAACATTATGATAGTGATATTCTGCACCAGCCGCATTTACTTCACATGCCAATTAGTATCCTTTAATTTGAAGCTGGGTGGGACCAACGTCCAAACCAGGGATTGGACTTATGTTCATACCATACATAATGATAGTCCAATACTTAAATCATTGTACACGTATGACTGTTCTGTTGAATAATTATATCAAACAATAACTAAATTGGTAACGAAGTTACACATATTTCCTCCATAGAAATTTTTCTCTTGTTTAAGCTTCTTTCATATAGTATAAATTTTGTGTTCTCATCAATAAGTAAAATAGTAATGTTATAATTCAGGTGGCAATAAAACTTATTAAAGATAATTAGATCTGCATTATGCAATGTAATATGACACTTCATGGAAACTACACCTCATCCTAAGTGAAAAAAATAAGAGTTTAAAAAAATTAGATTAACTGAGATATTTAAATAAACATATTCTGATTATCACGGTTCCACCATATATCAAAAAATTCAGAATATTAAAATTTTAATAGCTTTCAATAGTCAACATACCACACAGTATTTATTACTCACACATCAAATAATGTGAACTAATTTTCTTAATTGTATTAGTTTTGCCTGAATTGTTATCAAAAAAAATATTTCTTTAATTGTACAATACTAAAACTTAAGTAATTCTTGGGGGGTAATGCCTGCCGCCTCCACGTGGTGCCCCCTGGATANCCTTTAAGTCTAAGTCTAAGTCTAAGTAATTCTTTCAGTAATACATATTTGAATAAGAAATTTTAAAAAAAATTTCCCTTAAATATAAGAAAATCAGACACAAAATCTAACAACGTATAACATTATAACATATTATAATTATTAACATTTTATAAGCATGTTAGGGGAAAAAAATATGCATTCAAATGAATTTTAAGAACGTAACATCAGTTTTTATATAACACATAAATTTGAGTGATAATATTTCTTTACATTCTGATTACAGAAACATTAAGGTACCTATATTTTTATACGATGTCAAAGTGCAGTTAACTAATTAGAAAGTAAAGTAATAATTTAAAATAAATACTCTCACTGATTAATTATGCTATTTGAACCTCTAGGCAAAAAATTTTTATTTTTGTAACATGTAAACTAAAATATAGTAATAGATACTGTTCAAAAGATCATTCAAAGTTTATGATAGAAGCAATTTCAAAGAAAATTTATGAGGTATAAAACATTTCATAACTTAATTAACTATTGGCCTTAAATGTTACTTTTAATTTTATTTTTCATTGACAATTATTAACTCATAAAATTTTTATAAATATAAAAGGAATTAGCTTCAATTTGACGTTCTGAAAAATTTAAAATTTAAGTATCAAAAGTATTGATTTTAAATTAAGATTAGCAGTTAGAAAAACTTAAAAAGTTTTATTATCTGCATGGTTAGTATAAAATTATTTTTTTCTCCTTTAATAAAAATAAACACATAAATTTGACTTCAGAAAAATAAATTCTGATCATTTATTTAAAATAGTTACAATGTAAATTTAAATCAACACAACTTTCGTCAAATATAAACATTTAATTGAAAGAAAATGGTTACATATGTATTGTCTAACCACCATAAAATTATAACATAATCTACAATTTAGTTATTATAAGCATATTTTTATCTTTACATATTTGAATGATTTATTAAACAGTTCAATTGTTTACTTTTCATTGTAATTGATTTCGAAATAAAAAGCAAATTACTACTTTATATTTCACATCTTTAAGTCACATACATTACGTTATCATCACTAAATCACTTCAAAGTTAACTAAAAAACATCTATAAAAACGATGTAGGAATACATAGCTAATAAGTTAATGAAAAAGTTCAATTAATGTTAAATAACAAGAACAAAGTTACTTAATAATCGAGATTAATAAAAACATGTATACGAATAACACCCAATACATTAATATTAATCATACATATTTTGATACTATATACATCGAAATGTAACATATAGTAGCATCAATAATTTATAAATATTTTTGAACTAAATCTTCTCTATTGTACCAACTCATCTGCAGAATAATTCATTAATTAATAAACTGTTATGAGAAATATTATTAAATTATCTAAATGTGATTTACACCTCGTAAAAATCTCATTTACAGTCACAATATTATAATCATATGATCCCCTTCTTGTAATGAAGAATACGGATATCCACGAAAATTGACATATTTAATTCTTTTCCCATCTTTAATTAAAAATTACAATAGCCATTTAAAGTCACTTACCCTTAACGGTGGCTGGGCTTAGTCTCTTCTCACCATCTTTATCGGCTTACTTGAAAATAAATGCCTAAATGTCGCACACCTCATATATAAAATATTAATCACCAATTTAATAAACGAATAAAAATACATTAACTTGCAAATAATTTTTCAAAAAAAAACTTTGATTTGGAATATATCTTTAAATCTATCCAAGGAATTCACCCTTTAACAGCATTTTAATATATCTATTGTAGTAAACTAAATATTTTAGTGAAACACCAATCACAGAGGAAGCAATAGTTCGGAGCCGTAGCCGAAACCCCAACTTCTCTTCACGGAGACAAAAATCATTGCTTACAAAAAAAGAAAACAAAATATTTTATTATGTACAAAATTATTTTATTGTGTTAAGCTAGAGAATAATCTCAGCTGCTGAAATGTTTTACACTTATATATAGCTTAATTAGTGATGTTTTACGTTATTTCTGATTCTTTTATTGCCTGGGTTCAGAAAGATGAACATTTTCTTATTTTTCATTAGCGCCTCCTTACCTCTCAGATTAGCATTTCGCACAACTCCATTCAGTATATTTTTGTGACGTCATCAAGTTTCATTATTAAGTTTTGATGTTTTTTCCTGTTTTGTGGACGATACTCCTCTTGTTTTAATAAAATTTGCAAACAAGATCAATTTTTATATTAATAACAATGGATAAAACATGCGCCTGAAGTATTCAATACTACAAAACCATGTTTTTAGTTCTGGTATTTCACACTAGTATCTTGAAATGCTTGTAGAAAAGCACAGAAGTACCCTAGTTTAGGGGTTTTGAAATAGAAATTGACAATTTTCGATAGCACAGGTTGTAAATTGTTTCATGATTTTTAATTATAAACAATTAGCTTTTGATTTATGAGTTGATCATCAATAAAATTTCACGTTACAAAATTCTATAAATAAACAAATAAAAACTCAGGAATGTAACAACTTACACTTTCACTACTATTTGTATGGCTTCTCCTGTCTGCAATGTTTTTATTACGATTGTTTTGATTTTTGTCATAAGAATATGGGATCGTCTTTTTAGTAGACATTATGTGAAAACAATTGTTTTATAAAGTTAAATTCTATTGGCATTAGGTATTGAAATAACTTATACTATTCATATGAAAATAATAAAATTAAGTTGTCATTTATGTGTCAAATGGGACGACCACTTATCTAATAAATTTTCGGTACTGTCGTACTTATATCGATTGCGAATTTTGATGGAATTTTGAATTGATTCATTTGAAATAATTTTAAGTATCCTTTCAAATAAATCTTAATTTTTAGCAATTCCTACACTGAAATGATTATCGAAATGCGTAATTTAGTGCTAATAAATTATTTAGAAATTATCTTGTTCATAGAGTTAAAGTTGAAATACACTTAAGAAGTTGATTAATTTTGTTAATACTTTTATTGCAAAATTTTTATGAGTTGTATGTTGATTTTACAAATTAACTTGTTTTTAACATATTTTATCTGCTAATTTATGAAGCATGGTTGAAAAAATTGTCTTAGCTCTATTCAATCTTAATTTAATCATGCAGTATAACTTAACCTTACAACTTAAATATTATATTTGTTATTATTTTATTGCTGCTTTTAGAAAATTGCCGCATTTTTTTAATTTCTAAAGCTGCCTAATTGATTTTACAAAGAAATTTTCTAACCTTTAATGTAACCACACCTCAGATTTTTAAGTAAACAAAGATGAATCTTAGATCAAAACATAAGAAGTATTTTTAGAATGATAATTGCATATAGAATCATCAATGAGTTAGATACAGTACCCTTGCCTGGACTCAATGCAATGAAAATATGTGTATATATATTGATAAAGCAGGTTGAAAATGCTTTTTTTTATTTTAAAGTTTTGATCAAATCAATGTAATTTTTTGAAATGGTGGTTATGTATGTGTCACACAAATTAAAAAAGTATCCTTTATTTTGTTCCATGGGGTAGAATTTAAGAAAATTTAGTTATTGCTCTGAAGAAACTATAAAATAAAAATATTTATGACCCATACACATTTTTACTAGCCCATTTCTACATCTTTTATTAGATCTCTTTTTAAAAGTTAATAATATGAAAAATTACTCTGCGGATAATTAATAGTATTAAATGAAATATGCTATTTGCTAAATAAAATATGGAGAATATTTCCATATCATGATCTACGCAAAAGTAATTGCTAAGTCTTGGTCACTTTTGGCTAGTAGCTTACGAGAAACTGAAATAAATATTGTGGAAAGGACCAACTTGAAAGAGTCTAACGTTTAGCTATTCCACTGGCAAGGCTCTACATGTTTGTTTGTTTTTTTTTTAATTTGCAACTTTACAAATTATTCGGTATATTAGCTGTTGTTCTTGGTACAATTGATCATGATACAGAAATATTCTCTGAAATATGTTATTTTGAGATTTAAATACAAAACCAAAATTTAAAAAAACAGCATATTATCACATTTCTGGTCTTGGAGATTTCTAGTGAACTATTTTATGGTGGCGATTGTACTTGGCAGGACAGATCATGATACGGAAACATCTCCTAACATATGTTATTTTGAGACTGAAATTCAGAACATATTATCTCTTTACATCGATTTTCAGTCTTGGAAACCTCTGTTACATTTCGTTAGGGTGGTCTGAGTCAAATAATAGTGGTCCCGTACCCGTTATTTTTTTATCCTGTTCCACAATCTTTTTTCTTTTTTGGCTACAAACATTGTTTCTAGAACCATTTAACTTTGTTATCTTGAGTAAGCGTTGAGTATATCAAAAACTTTTCCTTTGCTTTTTGTGCAAAATAACCATATTCAACTTTTGCAGCATTTGATTCTACTTATTTTATATCAATTTTCAAATAAAAATTTAGCATTTTTTAAAACATTAGAACACATCAACAACATTGTTGAAAAAGGTAATTTATAGCCAGAATGTAAGGAAGTATTATTTTTATTATTTGGGGTAATTTTATATCTTAGTCATCAATAATATATTCAACTTTGTTTAAAAACATCATGCTTTAATTAGGTTCTATTAATGAAATTTAGATAACTTATTCTAAACAATAAAACTTGTAACATAAAATAAAATATAAAAATTGATTTTTTTTTTTTTAAATATATTAACTCTATGATGATATAAAATTATCTAGAAACTACTTTTTGCTCATTTACATACCTTTGTCCCATTAAACTTTTATTGTTGTAAGTTTCAAGATCCTCTCCAAAAATATGACTGTGCTTATGATTTAACCTTGTAAGCATTAGTTTTTCAGTTATTCTAAGTTCAAGCTTATAATAACTGAAAAGTTATTCTAAGCTTGATAGTATATAGTTGACTATAAGAAAGCATTTATCAGGTAAAATTTGTTTGACTTTTTCCTGAGTTCAAATTCTTGGAGGGTTAAAAAAAGAAAATTTTTGTTTACTAATGACTTAATCAAAGTTTCTTTAGTATTAAAAATTTGTTGGTTAACAAATATAAGTTTTATCCATTTTAATTTTAATAGTAATTGGAAATGGAGGAAACTAAATTGAAGTTAATGAGTAAAAACATGTCCACAAAGCATTTATGTGAGTTGTATGCAAAGTATTTGATATATAATGCTTATTTTGTAAATTTTAATATGTTTGTTTCAGAAAGAAATTTTACGTTTGCAGGATGAATTCACTCTTAAGAATTTAAAGAAATATTAAGTTTTTGTAAGTATAATAAATTTTTAAAAATTTCTGTTAAGGGATTATATGTAATCGTTAAAGCAAAAAAAAAAAAAAAAATGCAGGGGACCAATTAAAAATATAACAGTTTTCTGGGGTTCGTTATTATAATTGTATTGTTAAAAATATTTTTTCCTGATTTTTTGTGTATGTTCAGGACATCCAATTTTTATCAATACAAATGTTATTTTTTAAATAATATGTTTGAAAAATTAAAATGCTTGTGGAGTTTTTTATTTTCACAATTATTGATTAATCTCTTTAATTGAATTTTAAAAGTGATCGATTCCAATCATAATATAGTCATTCAATAATATCATCCAATAAATTACTTTTGGGCAAAAAAAAAAAATTTATGATTAACATATTCTTTATTTATTTTTCTTGACGTTATTGAAATCCTATTTTAAAATTATTTGATTTAAGAAGTCTTAAACCAAATTACAATTTCAAGTTAAATATGGTTATGAGGGAATTTCAAACAATTGATATATATATATATATTGATGCAACCGTACTAAATGTTTCCTTAATATTAATCTTGAACTAACTATTATTAGTTGTTCTGTTCCCTATTAATAAAATTGTACTGGAAACTGCTAATTCTCTCTGTTCTAAACAAATCTGAAATTTAAATTAGTGTATTTTATTATTACATTGCAATAAAATGTGTTTTTATTATAAATATTGCAACTTCTTTTTTTTTTTTTTTTGCCTTTTTTAAAAGTACATGTGTATATTCTTCCAAAAAATGTCCTGGTTTTTTTTCTATGCTCCATTGCGAGGCTGAGTATGTCAAAGTGATGAAATTTTTTTATTTTTTGTATCTCACTTTTATTCTAATCTCACTAACCACTTAGAATGTTAATATTTCCTTACACAGTTGAAATATCTGTTACATTGGTACTTATAAGGATACATTTAAAGTTAAATCCGGACAGATACTGCCTCTCTTTTCCCTTCATCATGAGAATCTACAAGGTGTAAATAAAAATATGTAGATTGTTATTTATCCATTTATATATATATAAATGTTTTTTTTTATTTTTTAGATAGTTATCTTCTGCAATGTCAGAGGTTATCAACCTAAGCTGTGATACTCCTATCATAAATGTTTTTGTTGTTGGATTTCATCATAAAAAAGGATGTGTAGTAAGTGATTTAATTTATATCTCATTGTGCACAATGCATATTATTTTACCTAATCTGTAGAATTTCTTCCTCATCTAGTTTTTTTTTGTTTTTTTTAAATTCAGCAATCATTGTTCGAAATGTTCTGTGAAAGATATAATCTGTTGTATTTTTCAATTGGTTTGAAATGTTTTAGCCATTGTAAAATTTTACATGAAATTAAGCAAATATCTTACATTAGTGAATTGCAATGATTAAATTAATAATAAAAATAATTTTTCTTACAATTCTTAATTTTTCTAACAATTAGCATGTTATAAAAATATTTCTCATAAGCATAAGGCTTGCATGTGTAGCAAGCTCTTGGTAACTACTTTAAAAATAGCCAAGTTTTCAATGTTATAATATTAAAATTAATCATATCAGTGAATTATTTCCTTGGTAAAATCTTCATTGGTTTCTATATAAATTTTATTAGTAAGTTTAAAAAAGTAATAGTCAAGTGGGTAATTATAATTATAATCTCAGCATAATTGTGACCAGAGCTATTTTTTAAAAACTCATCCACTGTAGGAATCTTTAAAAAAAATGTTTTATCAAGTTTTATATGTATGTTTTTTTTTCCAAGATTCTTTGAATAATTCTTAGATAGAAATGTCGAATGAATATTCAAATAATTTTAAGAAACTGTGCACATTATTGAAAAACAATTTCAATGCATGTTGATTCAAAGTGCTTTCAACCATTTAAAAAAAAGAAGAAATTTTTCTTATAATTATAAGTCAATTTATTACTGAGCACATAATGTTTTTTTTATCTACTTTTAATTATTATTTCCTAGTTACAATCTTTATTACCTATAAGTTTATGGTCATAATTACCATTCATTTTTTCCCCTGTTAACTCAAAATTGAATTCTACATAACAGAACATGACGTTTCATGTTCTGTTATGTAGAAATATTTAAAACATAAACAAAAGTAGAGCCTTCTCCTTACTCTCTAAAGAACCTGCAGGAAGCTGTTGCAATGTTAAGTAAGAAAAAACTGATTCTTCTAAAAGTTAAAAGAAAATATGGCACACCAGTATTCGTAATCTTACTGGGTTTCAGAAGAAATTAAAATATTTATTATTTAATTAAAATATTCTATTTTAATTCCTGAATTTTCAGTGCAACAAAATTTTTAATGTCTACTGTGAAGTTTGTGATATCAAGGTTTGACTGAAGTAACTTCATAGACTTACGCATTTCACATTTATCAAAAGTAATAAATTTTTTTAAAAACTTATTATCTATTCGGTATTTTTGTAAAAAAAAAAATATGATTTACTTATTGTACTTCCCAAACTTACCTAAAGCAGTTTGCTCTTTGATTGAGAAAAATCATTCTTAATCTGAATTTGTGGAAAATAGTAATTAGAAAACTTTTTCTTCATAGTTTTGCAAGCTAAAACTGTTCCTTTATTTTTGATGACACCAATTACATTATTGCAAAATTAAATTTAAAGTAGAATAAAAAAAATAATAAAGTAAAAAAGTGAAGAAAGCCTTAAATAAAATAAAAAATTTTTTTATATAGCTAGTTGTTTTAACTCTGGTCCTTTTTTTATGAACTCTCTCCCCCCCCCCCCAGTTTNCCCCCCCCCCCCCCAGTTTTTTAAGCATATTAAAGTGATTATCTTCCATATTGGATAAGATTGCTTTATTAAACATCAATAGTAATCATTGCATCTGTATAAGAAGGATGTGGTGACTCATTTATTATTTCTTTTTCAACATCCTTTTCTTCTTTAATGGTTTCATAAATTTCATCTACATCTCTTGAATCAGTTGTTGAAATATCGTCATCACTGTTGAAGAAATCCTCTAACCGAAAATCTTTATCAACACCATTACATCCGAACTTGAGCTAAAGATAAAAAAATTTCTTCCTTAAACAAAGATACAACCATCCTTAACTCGACATTTTTCTACTTTGAAGGAACTAGGGTTGCAAAATATCATTCTTAAATAAAGTCAAGTGTTAAGAAGAGCATTGTTGAACAGAGAGGCAACTGAAGGACTTTTTTAAATGATTGTATTCTCATAATTATCCACTAATAATCTTTTGATTTTTCTACGATTACGATGACAAATATGAAATAACACAATTATAATGTTTTTACGATTAATTAAATTAATGATTTTTCAGGTGGAATATTCATACCCTCCTCTTTTTGAGGGGGAAAATGTCAAAGGTAGTGATCTCCCAGAACCTTGGAAACACTTGCCGACTCTTGCTTTACCTGATGGGGCTCACAATTATGAAGAAGGTACTTGGAACTTTATTTTATACAATGGTTGCATTTTTGTAACTTGGGTCTGTAAAAATGGCCTCCAACTATTTAAAGTCATCCAATTGTAAAGTCTTCTGGTTATGTAGAAATTTAAATTAATCTGATTCAAATTTGATTATAGCAAATAGAGACCATCTCAAAATCAGTATTTTTTTAATCTTAATTCACTTTAATCTTGACTTATCAAATGTAACCTGAGTAATAATTAATTTTATCCTAATTTCAGACACCATATACTTTCACTTGCCATCACTGGAAAACCCTCAACAGACAGTTTTTGGAATCTCATGTTATCGCCAAATGAATGCGGAGGTAATATTATTTTTAAAATAAAATATTTTTAACTCTGAAAGACTTAAATTCGCTTTTTTCTTTTAAATGCAATAATTTGGATTAATTTGAAGAAAGAAAGAAAAAAAATTTAAAGTAACTATGTCTAATGAGAATCTATTGGTTTTTCTTTTTAAATCTAGAGCTATTGACTTTTAAATTTGAAGTGTTTTCTTTATGTGCAAGACATTAAAACCCAGAGTTTTAAAACTTAAGGTTCCGTAAATTTTACTTTGTTTAATTGATCGAAATTTTTTCAAACAAAGTGCTTGTTCAGTTCATTTTTAACAAAATTTAATAAATGCATTTTGTTCCAAAATTCTAGTTTTACTTTTGAAAAAAGCTTTGTGCAATTATTATTAAATTTAATGAGGTAAAAGGTTGATCATGCTTTTTTTTCCTTCTCTCATTTAAAGTTCGTAACTCTCTTTAGTTCCTCTTTCTGTATCAAAGTTAAATTTTGCAATAAATAACAAAATATAGGCTGTACGAAAACAATCCACTGTTACAAAAATCTTAAATTGAATATCCATTTTAAAATCATTTCGTTTAAAGAAATAATATTTTCATTTAGTTTAAAAAATAATTTTTCACTAATGAGCATCAGTAAAATAAAAATGTGCAAATTATAGCCAATTATAATTTTTTTTTTCATTATTGTCAACATCAGCATAAATATAATGTTATGCTGTAATTATAAAACTGCTGTCAAAGATATAGAATCTGTTTATAAAAATACAATGTAGAAACGCAGATGTTGAACTCTAGTTAATTCTACTTTGTGATATAGTAACACTGGTGGCTAGTTTAGGGGAGTCCACCTTTCATTAACAGTGTTTAGTAATTTGCTGTAAAGAAAAAAAAGTTTCATATTCAGTCATCGCAATAAGGTGAACATGTTCATTTGTTTGATCACCAAAATGAAATATTTTGGGGTGATTTGGCTTAATGGAGAATGGCAGTGAGAACCCTGTGTACAAGATTAAAAAGCACAGCAAATTATTGCAACTGATGTAGAGATATACAGAAGTGAAATAAAGAAAAAAACATAATAATGAAAGTCTTTATATATACTCTAAAAGTTAATTTTTACTATTATTCGGAAAACAGAATTTGTCAGAAATGCCATATTAGATTAATGTGATATTTGTGATTGAAATCAGTTACAGTCTGATACTCTGAAAGATTGAACTTGATCAGTAAATTACTGTTACAGAACACATTTAAAAACAAATTTCTATTACTTTTTTTTTTTAGGAATTCAATAAATTTAATACAGTTTTAGAGCCAAATCAAGGTATAGCCTACTTGTTGTTGGTTATACCTCCTTTCTTTAGTTAATATGATTTTTCTTAAAGTTTCTCATTAGATTGCAGCCACTTTCTATCTAAATAATGATCACTTTCTTGTTTCTACATTTAGAAATTACTCAGAAGAAGCTCTGATATCACAAGAGAAACTGTTCAAAAAAGTGTATGTGTTCTGAGTAAAGTTCCTTTGTATGGATTGATCCAAGCAAAATTAGAACTTATAACTCATGCATATTTCGATGAAAGAGATTTCAGTAAAGTGTCTCTGTTAGAAGAAACTTTTAAGAATTTAAATAGCTCTTTACCCAAAGATTTATCTGATGGCCATCAAACATTTTTAGGTAAGTTTTAAATACATTCATATTAGAAATAGCTTGTCTGAATGACCCATTTTCTAATGTTATTTGTATCTAACTATCTACAAAGCTAATTCTTTACATCATAAGGGGAAAAAAGAGTTCAAATTATCGATACATCTCACTTTATTTATTTTTATATAAATATATTTTATCAGACAGAACATTCTATAGTTTTAGTCATTCAACCTACAAGAAAATGTTGCTGCATAAAATTAATATTAATTATCATTATCATCTATTAATTTTTTTTTCTTTTCGAATTACACATGTTTTGTTGCTTACCTTAAACACCTATTATCCAGAAAAATCTATTTTCCGGTCTTCCTGAAGTCCCAATGATTCAAGATAACGAACTTTCCACTGTATTTAACTGTCAAATGAATTTTCAACATTTACGCTAAGCATAACATAGGTGTATGATGGCCAAATTAAATTTGCAGCTTGATCAAAGTGTAATTATGTTAAAATATCTAACAAATCAAACTGTAGCTATTTGTGAAGGGAGTCTCCTAAAAAAACTTTCAAAATCTATAATAATTTTACTATTAACTAATATTCATAATATTTTCTTAGATAGAAAAATATAGGAAACTGAAGCGTTTTACAAAATTTGATTAACGTAATATCCCAGTGTATACGCCGACCCTTTGTATAAGTAAATTCCCTATTTTTTATTACAAGACATCAGATTTCTGGTATGTAGGATGTATAAGTTAACCACTGAAGAACCAAATATTTCTGAAATTAAGAAACATGAACAAAAAATTAAGTCTACAAAATTTTTGCAAAATAAAATTATTTTACATTGTTCTTTCAAGAAATATCTGTCTGAAAATGTCTTGTGTCAAATGATACTAGATGTGTGGCAGACATTTGCTAATTCTATTTCAGTTTAATTTTCTTCTTCGAAATAGAAACGGCGACAAATTTCAGCACTTTACTGTGAGCTTAGGCTAAAAATAACCTACACATGCAGTATTTTAGAATATTTTCTGAATTTTCCAAACTGTATTTTTTTTGTTCTGTAGTTTTTTTTTTATTTGTAACTTTTTATTTGATGTGTTAGTTGCGTTTTAAAATATCTTCTTACATGATGTTATAGTTTCTTTTTATCTTGTTTACAATTTTGATACATCTCTTAGTTTTAATTTGAATTTTTCAGGTCTTTCTGTTCGAGACTTTGTTTTGAGGTTTAAACATAAAGCTCTACTTTTATTTAAGCTTTTGTTATTGGAAAGAAAGGTAAGATTCGTATCAACTTTCATAAATTTAATGTTAGATTTAGATTTTTATTAATGTTTTTGAATTGAAATCGAAATTTCGTTTTATGTGCTTCTTATTTTACAGTTGATATTTAATCAATTGTAAATTTTATTTTAGGTGTTATTCTACAAAGCTCCTGTAAAAAATTTATGCTCTTCTCTTCTTACTCTATGTTCATTAGTACCAGGTAAGGTGTAATAAATTTAATAATTGATTTGATTAAATCAAATTTAAGAATTTAATTATAACACTTCTATTATTCAAAGAAATAAGAGATATGTTGGTTAAAAGTCAATTATGTTAATTAAGTTTTTTAAAGCTCTTTATGTTAATATATCGTTTAGTAAAGCAAATGTTAGCAAATCGTTTAGTAATGTTCCAAATGTTTGAAACATTCTTCCTATTTAAAATAATGTAACAGACGAAATACATATCAAATTCTATCAAAATCAATTTATAAATTAATTTTGACTAAATATATATATACTAGGGGGCTAAGCCCCCTGTTCACTGCCGCTCACCAACTCCGATGATTGCTTCAAAATAATTGTCTTTTCTTGGTAGAAAACAGTTTTTCTACTAAAGTTAAAATTATTTCCTTAACATATATGTACTAAAAGGAATTCTATTTGCTTACACTTATGCCTCTACTTCCCACGTCCAAATATTATCTATCAATATTATAAACATTTAGATCTCTTGGTGAACAGAAGTGATTTTCGAAGTAATCATTTTTTAAAATAACATTTATCTTCTCATAACATTATACTGTTCAAACAAATTTGATGAGTTCACAACCATAATTTAATACTTTCAATATAGTTTCCATAATTTAGTACTTCTAGTAATAGCAGTACTGGAAAATAACTTCAAATTAGGGATACAAAAATATTTAAAGGAAAAAAGTACCTTTAGGACTTTTGTTAATTTTATGCTGATGACAACCAAAACAATATTGAAATAAATGAGGAAAAACTGGACCCTACCTCGTGATTTTTAGGCCAATGGAAATGCACGGACAACAATGGTAAAGTGTGACACCATCATTAGACGTAATCAAAATAAAATATGAATCGCCACTCAGCTTTAGCTGGTAAGTTTACTCGTAGCATTTTAGCAAGCAGCATTATTAAAAATTATTACCGTTTCACGCACATGCATTCTCAATTTTAATTGGTTGTTTTGTGCATTACTAACTGCAAGTCTTCTGTGGTTGGCTATTTATTATCATTTCACTCTCTTCTTATATTATATAAAGATATATATAAAATTATGCAACAGTGAATGTTTATCACTTATAAATAACACTTTAGTTTGTATTTCTTAAATACATTTGTTGCATAATTTAATTTATAGTTCTTTTCTTAAAAAATAAATAAAAATATTCCTAACCGTGTTTATTAATATGTAATAAAAAATTTATTTGAAAATTAAACTTTATGTAAGATTTAAATGTTATCTTTTGATTTGATCTTTAAAAAAAGTTTTGTATAATTAAAATAGATAGCTTTGAATGGTTTCATTTATCATGTTAAAAAAAAATTATTTCCGCAGTGTGAAGTAATTCATACATATTCCATAAATTAATATGCTATTTCTTCCGTTTTGATTTAGTTTATTGTGTGTTTTAAAATAAAATATTTCTTTTTTATAAGTTTTTTTCTTTCTTTAGGAATGATTGAAAAAGGTCTTACTGAATCAGCAACATTTTGCTCTGCTAGAACTACACCATTGTTAACAATCACAGACAAAGAAGATTATCTAGAAGTATCTTATAGAGATAATAACAATGATCTATGTGAAACTGGTGATGGCTCAGTATTGTCAAATGATAAAGAAGAATCTCTTAAATTTAAAAATGAACATGGGGAAAATTGTGTAGGAAGTAGTGATAAAAATTACGAAACTAAAACAGATAATCCAAATGAATTAAAGTGTGTTGCTTCTAGACCTAAGACACTCAATACTAAAAAGCTTGGGTTTGCTGACTCGGAAGCTTCTAGTAAAGGTTCCAGCCAGAACAGTAGTGATACAGAGGGAGATAGTTGGGTGAAAGTCAACCACCTGACCCCTGAAATCGGCTCAAGTGCCACCAGTATGACCTCTTCAACTTGTACAGAGACTAGGATAAATGAGGAGGACAAACTCGCCCGCTCCATTAGTCAGCTTCTGGATAGTGATGATAAAGCTAACTTAACAAATTCCTCTCTGAAGTTTCAAGATGATGTAAATGATTCGAATCCAGAAAATCAGGGGATACAAAATTTCATTCCTGCCATAAATGATGGCATATCAAACATTATGTCTTCATTAAGAGGTAGTAAATCATCTGTTTTACCTTCATCTGCTGCTGAACAAACAAATGAGAGTGAAACTAGGAGATGGAGTACTTCAAATTCTCAAAAGCAAGATTCAGTGGAATCTATGAAAAACAATACAAACTTTATTGATCTAGAGTTAGATGAATGTGGCTTGCCTCTCTCCATATTTACAAAGGTATTAATTTTATTTTGCTTTTCATAGTGATTATTTTAACATTACTTGGTTCAATGTTGCTTATGTTGCAGCAAATTGTAATTTATTAATGATTATATAATAATGATATTTTCTTTTATATAATTGATATAAAAATGCAACAGTTTTTCTTCGCATTAGAAATATGCTTGGACCCAGTGGGAAGTGAACTTGAAATAATTTAGCACTGTTAAGGGTTAAAAGAAAAAGTTCTTACAATAGAACTTGGATAATTTAAAGTTGACGGGACTTCAGAAATTTAACTAATCCATAACTATTAATTAGAATTTCTTTTACTTTTAAGTTGCACTAAATTCCTATATAAATTATTCTTTCATTATAAAAGAATAGCTTATTTAGTTTAACCTATCAGTAAATATTACTGAGAAAAAGTTGTAGTGCAAAAAGTTTAAAATTGTTACTACAAAGTGCTGTTTCATTCTACCACCACTACAGTAGTAATGTTGCAGTTCTGCACATGCACACTCGTTGTTTGTCTATCTACTGATATCATTACAACCAGATTGTTTTTCATTTACATGTGGTAGTAAGTATTCAAAATGATTGTTAATTATATTCAGGCAATTGTCGATCCTGCTGACTGAAGTGCATTCTGCATTTCATTTTTTGAATGCAAAAAATTTTAAGTCACCTGAAATTTATCATCAGCTTGAAGAGATTTATTGTGAAAATATAATGAGTGATAAAATGGCGAGTAAATGGTTTCAGCAAAACGGACTCTCCAATGTTCATAATGAAGCAAGGGGCAGCCCTTTGTTGTCAGTAATGGTTTGGTTGCAAAAGCAAATGAAAATATTCATGCAGACAAACAGTTCACAATAAGAATGTTTTGTGATGAATTTTCAGAGTTTCAAAAAATGACATTATCACAAATCAAGGAATATAAAAAACAGTGTTCAGCGATGGCTGTCACTGCTAACAGCATCTTTCTTTAAAGAGGGTCTGGATAAATCGGCTTCTGCTATGACAATGGTGGTAACAATGTAATAAAATAGATTCGGAAATGCTCTTACATGTAAAAAGAAATTTCGTTTGAAAAAAGAAATTTTTTATGTGAGGTTTTCAAAAACGGTACTATTTTTTCGGGAAGGCCTTGTACATTAACTAAATAGAAGTTGTTTCATGATTTGTTTTGTTTTTTTTAAAAACTCAGTTGATTTAAGTCTGTGAATCTTGAACCCTTCTTACATTTTATATGTAACAAAGTAACTACCTGATGTAATGCACTTCTATAATTAACTGTAAAAATTTCAGAAGTCCTCGTTTAAAATGTTCTTCAATTATGACGTTGTTAATGGCTTCAACATTTTTAAATCTTGTTTAAAATCTTATCTAGTTTTGGAAATAAGATGAATGATTTATCTGCACAGGTGAGTATGATGAATGATTCATCTGCACATGGTTAATCTCCATGAAATTAAAAAATTTGCTGAATGAACAATATTTAAGGAAAAACCTTGTGACTTTAGCAAATTGTTTGATATTCACGAGGTATTAGATCAGCTCTAGTATTAAATAGCCGAAGCTTATAGTTATAATAATCTCTGAATAATTTTTTCTTATTTTACAATCGTGATATTTTTGCAATGCTTAGTTAATAATTGTTGACTTACTCTGTTTTAGGGAATGCTTTGCCATCCATATTTGTCCTTGCCTTTTTTAGACCTTTTAAATGATCTCAGTGTTCGAGGCTGCCTAGTGGGAGCAACAAATATTCTATTTAAACAAAAGAAACATCTGTTTGATGTCATTGTGGAGGTAAGAGTTGTCTTGACATAAAGCCCTCTTTTTAACCAATCTTAAAAAAAATTATCTGTGTTGTCAAAGAAGCAATGTAAAAGAAATTTCAAACTTATGTTGTTTAGCAATATAAAAGTTTTAATATCTTTTGAAGAATAGTGGCTTATCTGTTTATCAAAGCGTGTGTCATAACTCTGTATAAAAATTACACGAAGTTACAAAAAGTCTGAAAAAGGGGGGTAATCTGTACACAGTTATTCTTTTAATTAAAACTCACATTTAAATATTGACTATTTTATATATAGTCATATGGATAGTCATATTGATGTTGGCTAAAGAGGCTTCAGCATTGCATCCACCTTCTCATCCAGTTCCTCATAGAAATGCAAGGCTGCTTCTTAAGAGCAAATTCAGACGCAGAACAATATCTGCTCTTAGGGACTTAGCTGATGGAAAATTCTTGGCTAGCCTTCTTGATGGCCAGCAGCGTCTTTCCCTCCTTCCCAGGGCCAAGGGAGTTGCTTGTCTTAGAATAATTACTGGACGTGACTACTTGCAGGCCCAACTATTTAAAATTAACCTGGTCAATTCACCTCTTTGTATGCTCTGTAACACTTCACCTATGACTGGGGAGCATCTATTTGATTGCACCTCGCTTATTGACATTCGCTCCTGTGACGACTTTCGTATCCTGTCACCTTCTGGAGCTACTTCATTGTTGTATTGGACTGCAAGACGCCTTATGGCTGAGAAGACGATAGCGGGCATAATTTTTAAAAAAAAGCACTTAAATCTAATTTTTTTTTATCACTGAGATAATTTTTACATACAAATCTTTAGTTGTATACAAAATTATGATAATCCTTTATACTTTCAATTAAAATGTAATTAAAATCTGTATAGAAAATTTTTGCTATTAAGGAAGATATAATACTTGTACTATCTTCACTTTATATATATGTGTTTTTAAATCTTTAAATGAAAGTATGTGTTCATCATTTAATTTAATCAATAAAATTTCCCCTGGTCAAATTAAAGTAAAATTATGATTATTCCTATTATTTTTAATAAACTCTCTTATCAAAATTCTTTTATAAAAAAAGATGTAGCATTAATAAGGAAACTTATATATCATAATTTCTTTTAATTTGATTTCAGTAGCTCAGTGATGAGTTTAATCATTTCAACCTAACTTAACTTATTTTTTTAAAAAGAAAGTTATCTTATGGATAACAATAATAATTATTAGTTATGAACAATAATTATTAGTTATAAAACTATGTTAACCATTATTTAATGTATATTTTCATAATAGTTAATAAAAATTTATTACCTATATTTTTATATTTATTATAATCATTTGGATTTTAAACACAGGTGGATGATGGTAAAGTTGAAATAGTTGATCCAGATTTAAAAAAGCAATTAAATTTGACAACTGAAGACTTAAGATTTGCTGATCATCTAGTTCGACATGTAATGGAAGATAAACATGATGTTTTCCTAGATGGTACTGGTATGTATACACAATAATAACAAATATTTACAAAATTTAGTAATTTTTAAATTTTAGATTAAAATTTCATTTTGGTCTATTGTCAAGTAAATTAGTGTTTTTGATATCTGCTTAATGTGTCCTAGGCTAATAAGATAATCTTGATATTTATTATTAAATTTTATTTTAGGATGGGAAGGTGGTGACGAATGGTTGAGATCACAGTTTAAATTATACCTTTTGAGTGTTATGAGAACATCAGAAATCGAAAGTATGTCACCATTTTTTTTCTCCAATTCTTACATTAATTACATTGCTAGTTTTTTTTTTTAAATTCTAGTAATTTAAATGAGCTTGAAAGTCTCTTTTTTATTATTATATAAGCAGGGGTGTGTCCAGACATTTTGTGAAAGGTCCTGTTTTTGTAAAATTGTGAAAAAACTACTCATAATTTGTGAATATAAAATAAACGTTAAGTCACATTCTTTCAACCAGGGACTTGCTTTTGTGAAAATAGGATCCTGTTATTGCAAAAATTGTTAAAAAAATTTTCAAGAAGTTTTTAAATTATAAATAGATCAGGGATGAGATTCTTCCGCGGATTCGCGGATTTCCGCTTTTTTTCAGATTTTTCCATTTTTCCCGCTAATTTCCGCTGAAATTTTTTTTNTTCTTAGAATACTGCATTTAGAATTTAAATTTAGGGAAACTTGGAAAACTTAGTTTGTTTTTTAGTCTTTCTCCCCCCCCCCTCCCCCGGGAAGGGTTTATTCGATTAACAAAACAATAATGAAGATAGACAAATTTGTGAAGGGTCCGATTAAAGGATAAAATATTTTGTAAAGGGTCCGTTTCTGTGGAATATTTTGTGAAGGATCCGTTAGCGAACCCAAATTTCTTCTAAACAGACCCCTGTTATAAGTAAGATCAGAAACAATAAATATCACTTGATATTGGCTTAAAGATCTAGTAATGAATAAATTAATTATTTCAAAAGTATTTAACAAATAAAAAAAAGTATTGCATCACGAGGATACCCTAATTATTAAGTTAGTAATAAGTTTTTGCTGTGAGAACAAATAATATTATTACATGTATCATATTAATACTTAAAAACAGATCTACAGATTCTCAATACATATTCAACGGAGCACGTAAAAATTATGGTTATTTTAGTATAATTTCACATAAAAGTAAAAATATGTTATTTTTGCCATTCTAAAACTTGCTGGCGAATGGAAATTTTACATTTTTATAGACCCTGCTTATAAGGTCTAATTAATTTGCATATTCTTTTAAAGGAAGGTAATATGCTATTCCTCTGAGTGTTCCTATTGCTGCTGTTATGCTTATTGTTTAAGTGTATGCTTATTTTCAAATTCAAAAACAGTTTTTTTTTTCTTAAACTAATAGCAACTGGAAAAGAAGGAGAGTCTTTCAACCTTTCTTTTATGAATGCTTGGAAATCCACTCATAATTACAAAATTTGGAATGCTAGCAATCATCTAGGAATTTTAGAATTGAATCCTGGGTAGTATTTGTAAAATATTTTCTATCTATTTATCTTATCATTTTTAATAACATATTTAAATTTTTTTTTAAAATACATTTTTAAAATATGTATATTTTAATAAAGATAAATATAAAATTATTTAATTTTTTTTTCTGAAATAAGTGTAAGATAATGTTATACTAATGCTATTTTTTCTAACTTATTTTTCAGTCACCCATTTCAAGGACAATTAAGCATGGCAGACATGAAACTAAAATTCTCCCAGTGAGTTGTTTGTGAATATTTTGCTAAAAGTGTGATTTATTTATATCATTGTCTAAGATATATAATGGTTTAAAATGGTGACTAATTAAGCAGTTAGTGTCTTAGTATTAAAATCTGAATTCAGCTACCTATCAAAATTATAACACCTGTTAACTTTACAGCTATGTCTGCAAACAATTAAAACTTCTAAGTATATTCATATCATTCAAGTGAATCAATAGTTTGATTTGTAATTATTTTAGACATTTGCATTGAAAATATTCTAAAAAAACTGATAGCTTAATAATTTTACTTTTAAAATTGTTAGAGCTATTGGTGTTTTACATGGATTAAAATTATTATTTTCTTCATTGTCTTTTATTTATGATTGTCTTGTTATTTTGTATTTTTATGAAAGCATTTATTCTTGTAATGTTGCGTATGTGTATAAAATATGTTGTCATGATATGTCATAATGCCTCCATAAATAGTTTTTTAATGCGCAGAATATTTCTGTTTCCTTCTACCCTACACTAACCAAGTTCAGATTTTAACTGCACTTTTCCTACTTTCCTTTTCTAATAGAATGCATTCAGGTACACTAAAAAATTTTATATTTTTCATTCTACAACATAATTAAATAATACAGACCTCTACTATTTTTTCTGAGATCCCCCTGGTGGTTTTGATGAAAATGGGTGCCCATGATCTATAGTTGTCCAATTGATCTTTTACCTGGTTTTTAACTCAGATATGGTTTATAACCCTACTCGGTCGACTTACCCAAAGTAATTATGTCAATTACATTTGGTGTAGTATATATCTCATTAAACTAAACTTTATCTAAAGAAGAAAGTTATAGGGTAATTTTAATTTATGATTAAGTCAAATCAAATGCAAAAAAGGAATAAAATCTGAAAAAAATTAATTTCAATAGGTATAATTGCTTAAAGAATTTTATTCATTACGACCTTTTATAATTTATAAAATTCAGTCAATTAAATTTTGAATAAAAGATTAAATTAATTAAAAATTAATTTAATCTTTGAGTTTTGATTTACAGCTAAAGCATTTATGAGAAAAGGTGTTAACAAATTACCTGAAATAGTACAAGCTAAAAATAAATAAATTAAAGCATTAGTTTTATTTCATTTTTATGCTTTTTGAAAAGTCAAATGCCAAACAACTGTCTGATTTACAAAAAATGAATTTCGGTTTATATGAATCAATTACTTTTTTAAAAAACAGTTGAAAAAGTTCATTAACTCTGTACATTGTAAACTTTTTAGATTTAATTAAACTTATGCATTTAATTTTATTACTATTTTATTCAAGCTTATCAAAAATACTTTAGAATTTTTCAATTATGATCTTAAACAATAAAAAATTAATGTTAAATAACGTTATCAATATTTCAAGTTAATTAATTTTATAACAAAAACCTGTAGGGAAAATATTATATTTTAATAATTTTCCTACAGCACCATGCAAAGTACAGAAAGAGGCCGACGCATTAATACTGCTGTGCTCAATACAGGAAAAGCTGTAGTTCAAACTGGGAAAGCTGTAGGTAAGGTTCGTGTACATTTCCTATTTTATTTGTACCCCTGTAATGATAAGAGGTTTTTGGTTGTATAACAACTGATTATTTGATAGTTTCACGCTTTTGGGTGACTTTCAAATAAAAGAATTTTTTTCACTTCCAACTTTTTTTTGCATTTTTTGAAATGAAATAGTTTTTATAAAATGCTATTAAAAATTCTGTGGCAGATAAAGTTACACATAGAAACTTATGTTTAATATTTGTTCTCTTAAATTATCTATACTTATACTTATTATAATTTCATTCTCTAGAATCATATTATGTACTCATTTTAATAAAAGAACTTCACACTGCTGATTTTTATTCTTAATAATTTCTGGCCTCACAAACGGCACACACTTTTTTAACCCTCTCAAGCTATTGCTTAAGTGTAGTTTGTAAACTTCTCTGTTACTTCTGGTCTCCAATGTTTTATTACTTCTGTTTTTACTCTTTTTCTTTTGCTTGGTATTAGAATTATATTTTTACTGCTCTAAGTTCATATATCAAAAATTTTGTGCTTTTTTAGTACTGTACACTGTTTATAGTAACCACATCTAGGAAAAAAGTTAATTTAAGATATATAAATTTCTTGTATTGAAAACATTTTTATTAAAAATATTTGTTACAAAAGTTGTAAACCTAACTTATTTTTCGTGTGTTTGAAACCATTCTTTTCTTCATAATTTTTTACATAGGTCCAAATTCTCTTTCTGTAATGATAGACATGAATGAAACTAAAATGTTTATTATTATTATGAAAAAATTGCATTATAAAGAAAAAGAAATTCATTTATTACCTATACTTTTGCACTTTATAACCAGCACTTAATGATTTTCTTTAAAATTTTAAAATAATACGACACATTATTGCATTTTAATTATTACATAATAATTTACACTTTAAGTGATACTCTTATTATTTTAAGTATGTTTACTAATTTAAATTTGTTTTGAATCATCTGTGTCACACTGTTATAATTTACATTTAAAAACGAAATGAAAAATAATAGTGTATTCATAACTCAGGTTTTACAGAGCTTATCTCTGTTGTTTTCCCACAATCTTTTTTTTTCCTGGCTAAATTTATTTAATGATATAGAAAAACTTTTCAAAATAAATAAACTATTTATCTAAAATCTTTCATTTAAAAATTTAGTGGATGAAATTAGTTAATATTGTTATGAGAAAAAGCCCTCTATCCTTTTTTGTAGCATGTTATTAAGTGTATTCTATCAGCACTTTAAATAATTATTGTACCTCATTTAAAGACTAAACCACACTCTATATGTTAACCTTCTAATATTATACATGCTTGGTTCCTCAAACTCATTTTTAGATATAAATATTGTATCACTAATTCCAATTTTGCATGTGGCACTGCAATTGTCGTGCATTCTAATACAAATAGGAATAGTCTGCAGAATATGAAAATGTGTGTGCAACTTTTTAATTTCTTAAAAACATTTTTTCTTCTGTTGATATAAAAAAATTTTTCTATGTTAATTTGATATTATTAAATTATTGTTAATTTGATTTTATCAAAGTCTCACTGCTACTGTCTTTTTTTCTTTTTGTTTAATTACTGATATTTAGTTATAATGTTTGTTTAGCAGACTATCCGTTTTATCTAAAAACTTAGTAGCCATTCCTTTAGGAAGTAAATTACGTCTGTTTTGGGGATTATTCTTTTCTAGTACTACGAAAAATGTAAAAAACCTCTTTTGTGAATTTTTTTAACGAAACAAAGTTCTACAAAAGGTACTTTATTATGTAAATAATGATTTTTCAATGATACTAAACAAAATGGTGGCTGTACAGCATTTTTTTTTTTTTCAATGGATCCTATCTTTTTAAATTGTATATGACTGAACTAACACCAATGGAATTATTAATGTGGGATAAAACAAAATTTTTCCTCTGAATTTATGTGCAAATAACAAGTATAAAAATTTTTGTGGAAAATAGGACATTAAAAAAATCAAAATTCCCTGAAGAAATAGCTAGTAATTAGTGTTTATAACAAAAAAACAAATAAATAAAGAGCTATGCAATAAAATAAAATTATCCTACTTATTTCTACTAGTATGGTATTTTTAAATGTTTATTTCAAAGGCATAGTTTAAATTTAAAGTTAATCAGTGAAAATTTACAGTTAAGAATACTTTAAATAAATTTTTAAATTAAAGTTTTCTGATATTTTTCTTGCTCATTTTGGGAATCAAAGTTTTAAAGTATATAAGTTCCCACCAAGCTGGAACAAAATGATTTTTCCAAATTAATATATTTTAAAAATTTTAATAGAAAATTAAAATTATTTAAAAAATGATTGTTATTTAAAAAAAATTACTAATTGATTTTGGAAATTTGTTAGCTTAAAATACGTTTTAATTAAAGTGTTTTTAATTTAATGCATTCATTAGGAAATCTTTATTTTGTTTAAACAGTTCAGTTTTTTAAATGAAATACGTCTATGAAAATTTTTTGTTTTAAGCTAATTACTAAATAGAATTTGCATTTGAACATCTAAATAATACCACATATGTTTTTTTAAGGGGAAATTGTCTGTCTGTCATTTTTAGATGCATGTTAGGTCTTTATTTACATATTTTGGTGCATTTATTTTTGTATAATTAACAAAAAGAAAAATAATTTTACCTACCTACTGTAGCAAAACGAAGAATGAAGTCTCTTTTTTTTCATTAGTAGAAAAATCTATTTTATTTTCCATAATACTCATATCAATTTCAAAGATTGAAAGAGTTGTTTATTTGTCTCAAGATTGCTTTTTTTGCTTGAGACTGTTTTGTAAGGGCTGTATCTTTTTTAATAACTATGAACTTAGGCTTACTTTATATTCTTATTTTTCTGCCTTCAATTAACCTATCTCTGACCTTATGTTCCCATCCTGCTTTTTAAAATTTTGACATAAAGTGATTGATTTTGTTTTAATTTCCTGCCCTTTTTATATTATTCCTTTGTTTATAAGATAAAGGTTATTCTTTTTTGTAGAAAAATATTAAGAAAATGCAATTTTTTAAGCAATGAATTTTTTAACTAATTAAGAACTTATAAAAGAAAACTTGAGCTTTTTATGATTTTTTTCATAACTTTATTTATCATAAATCTTAGATAAAATTTTGCATTTTTCTCGTGTTTACAACTAGTACTATTTTTTTTCAGATTTTTATTAATTTTTTTCTTGAATACAATAATTATTTCATTGCATTTGTTAACCACTGATATTTTCACTTGCTAACTTTTTAATGAAACTAAGTATGTAGCAAAGTATCGGTGTTTTTTAAATTATATGCGTCAATATTTTAAAATCAAGTTTTCTATTACCCGTACAAAACAGCTGTATATCTTTTAATTTACTGATTATATTTCCATGTCATACAATGCAATTTTTGTGTAAGTGAAATTTTTGTGTTCAAAAAGTTTTTTTTCTATAAATAGTTCCAGAAATATGTCAAACTATTCAAAAAGTAAATTCAAGCTTTAGGGGACCAAATTTCAATGCTCTCATGATTAAACTATTGGGGTCATATTTTTCTATTGCAGCCACCCCCATCCCCAGTTTGACGGTCAAGAATCCAATTCTGTTAAATATATATTCATTGAAAATAAATTTTTTTGACCTATGAAAGTTACAATTATCAGCATTAATTAATTAACAATATGTGAAAATTCAATCACCAGGTCAAAAATTTTACCAGATTTTTTATTTTGCACACTTCACATGTATTTTAATAAATGTTTATTATAAAACATATGAATGTCTAAACATATATGAGATTTGATAGTTTGCTTCACCTTTACTCTACTTAATTTTGTTTAAACTACTCTTTTTCATGAAGGTGGTGCGCTCACTAGTGCAAAGTCAGTGGTATCCTCCTGGTGGACTAGCCTTAACGTTCCAAACCCACAGGACAAGCGGAGTGAAGAAGAAATTGACCAAATTAGTCCAACACAGGAAGACAAAATACAATACAGGCTAGAAGAAATAAATGATTAGTTTTCATTTGAATTTTTTTATGTTCCTTTTATTATTGTATATATAATCTGTACAAGTCAAGTTTGTAAACTTAGTTCTACAGTATCTCTAAAACTCAAATCTACGTGTTCTCATGTCATAATTTATTTATAAAAAAGAATTCTCTTGTACAAAGATTTATTTGCTTTGCTGTTTTTACACTACATATTAGTAATGCTGCATTCCCCACACTTTTTTTCATATGTTATAAAATCTGAAAAATCTGCTTATAACAGTTTTGAAATTAAAAACCTAAGATTCAATTTAACTTTCTGTATACTGTGTAGATTTATGAATGTAATATAGAACTAATTTGGTTCAGATCAGAGTCAGTAAAATTTTGCTTCAGATCCTTCCATAGGAATGCTATTGGTGATGGTGGTAGTGAGTGAAGAAATCCAAATATTTCATAGAGAACTTCTAATGTTATTTAGAAATAGATTAGAAATTGCTTTGTTTATTTCATTTTAGAATCAGTATTATTTGTGAGTGTCCTTGATCATATTAATTGTTATGTAAGAAAATGTTTCCATGCTCAACAACGAAGAAATAAATGCTTCTTATGAATTATTTATGTTGCTTAAGTTTACGGCATATGGCCATTTAAAAATTGCTTTCATTGTATCATTTTGTTCTAAACCAGTTAATAGATGGATGGTTTAAGCAATAGTTGAGTTTAAACAATAACAAGTTTCGAAAACCATAACAGAATCTTGGAAATTTATGGTGTAAATTGGCTTAATATTCTAGGAAATAGCTGCAAACACTGTAGATTATCTGCCATCTATGAAGAAAAAAAAACTGCTACCGAGACAGTGTCTGCAGAAGTTTCCAAAAAAATGTTAATATTTTTCAGCGAAATTTCTACCGGGATTTCGCAATAATTTGTCTGCAAAAGAACTCTGCAGTGATAACTCAGAAAATTGTCTTCAAAAGAACTTAAATTCTTTCAAAATCTTTGCAGAAAACTTGCAATATTAAAGAATATTCTGTAGTTAATTTTCACGGAATGATATGCATATTTAAGCTGCCAGAGTCAGTAGCTATCAGCGGCTATTGAAACAACTAGGACAATACTACTCTAAAAAAATGTAGCTGGATATGTGTCTTTATACCGGTTGTAATCATCAAAATAAAAATTTTAATTGCTGTCTTGTTACTTAAATGTTTTAGATAAACAGATATACTCCTTTTTACTTTTTAAGTACAGTTTGATGTGTTTAAATTTAAATAACATGCATTTAAATTTTTATCTATTTTAAATTTGCAAACTAAAATTTTGTTAGGAGTATGTTTGATTAAGCCTTATTTTTGCAATTATAATCTCTATTTGATTGTGTTTGGGTTGCAGACAAATTTTGATTTATGAAGAGGATTCTACAGATTGGCTCAGTAAATTTCTGCTCCTGGGAGTGCAAGTGTTACCATGTTTTGAATGACATCTTCTGTTTTATTTTTAATGTTTTCAGCTATAGTTAAGTGAATTTACAAATTGAATCATAAATAACATGAGTCAATAGACAAAACAATTATAGTATAGGATGGTGTGTTTTTTAAACTTAAACATAAGAAAGAATCAGATGTAATAATACATAATACTTATTATGAATTTTAACCACTAGTTCAACACTTATATTTAGCTTTATGTGATGAACTATTCATACAGATGAGTTACTGAGAATTAGGAATATTTCTGTACTCTAAAGAATTATCGAAGTTTTCAGGCCCATATGGTACTATAAATTTACTATTAATTGTTAAAAAATACAAATTGTTAAAAACAAATTAAACTGAACAGTTAAGAGATTCTGTGCACACTTTTTTAAAAAAACATTTTGTATGCTTCAAAAATTGTTGAAAATATTTCAGTGTGACCATTGTATAATTTTTATTTAAATCTTCTAAAGAGTGGTTCAAGTTACATTGTTTATACAATATTCTTTATTTAATTAATGCAATATATATATTAAGTCTCTAAATAGATTGATATAGAAATAAATTTCACAAGAGAACTAAAATTATCAATTTCTATTTAAATATAGCTAAACAAAAAGAATTTACATTTAACAAAAGAAATTATAGCTCAGCCTTCGCTTTGATTTATTTCATCGTTTTGAGTTACTTGAATTAGTAAAGTATGTTATCAAAATAATGTTTTAAAAAAATGTTTGTTTTTGCAACATATATCTATATACATGTATGAAGTCTGTATAAATACAAAGAGGTTGGATTGGAGCAATCTAATGATAAAACTCCATTTTTTAATAGTTCGAGAAAACATTATTGACAAGCACAATGTTCATGTAATAAGATGTTTCTATGTGTTGTGCTGTTATCTAATGAAAACTCTGAAAACATGTCTTATCTAAAAGCAATTATAAATTAACAGTAAAAATGTCAACTTTGTCCCCGGCAATTGTCTAATTACCGCTTTTTTTGCTCCTGAGCACAGCTTTAAAGAATAGCTGAAAATGTGATTTTTACTTTGAAATATGTATCTTTAAGAATAAAAAAAACATAAATGCTATAAAATATTTTTGTTTAAAGTTTAATAAACTTTTTTAGTTATATTTTAATTGCATAAAATTTTAATCTTCTGCATATTGTAGGATATTTTTATTGTGCATTTCCTTTACGCTTACTTAAAACAGAATCAACTAGACTCAAATAAGAGAAATTAGTATCTAAATTTAAGCTTCTAAAATGCTATTTCAATCGAATTCCTTTCTTTTCTTATGATATTTCATTGTAAATTAAAACTCCTACTATAGTTGTACACTGTCAGTCATTTTGTTAAGGCATGCAAACAGAGAAATTCAATCTTAAACTTTAAAGTGATAAAATTGTACCAAATGCTGTCCGATATTTTGGATGCCGGTTTTAAGGGGATATTGTGTCGATTTCTTTAATTTTCTCAATATTAATTTATTTCAAAAATTTTAACTGTTTTCCAATGTCAATATAGTGGCATCTACCAAGAAATATTTAAAATATAATAAAAAAAAGTTAATGTTGATTTTTTGTGCACATAAGTTTTTTTAAAAATTAAAAATTGACATATTTCATCTAAAAAGCAGACTATGTTGTAATGTGGAGGAGGGGTACAATTAAATATGATGATGTAATCACTAATCTAATACCCATGTCTAAGACCTTCCTTTGTAAAGGAAATGTTTTAATTTTTAAAACACTTATGCTTAGTAGATACAACCTCACAGGAGTAATTTTTACTTGTCAGAATATTTTATTACAAGCCCAACTATGAGCAATCCTTTTATAAACTTTGATAAATACAGTCAAGATTAAATTATAATATACATTTTCATTCATCACATTTTGTTCTTTTTCTTTTTAGTTCCATTTGGCACATAACCTTTCAAAGATCGTGTTGTTTTAGATAAGAGTATGTTGATATCATGCATTCCAATCATTTCAATTAAAATTGTGCATTCATTACTTAACAAATTTAATAATTGGTGCTTTTGGGAATTTGTATGAAATAGTGTGAGTGTTTTGTATGGAATGTTTCATTGTCTTCGTACAGCTATAGAGTGTGAGCGTTCTTATTTTTCGTAGCTTCGAACTAATTTGCATACTAATTATAACAGAAGTAAAATTGTGTCATTTTTAAAGTTTCACAGGCTTTAAGTAGTATTTAGGAATTAAGGATTTTAGCCAACATGTAATGGAAATATAAACACATCTGTGAGTTTAACTTGTCAATACTGAATAATTGAGCACTAGATTTTAAGTATCGCATTCATCAAATTATGAAGAAAAAATTAATTTAAAAAAAGTCATTAAATTACTAGTGAGATTTTATGTAAAGTTCTCTAAACTCTAATAATTTTTAAATTTAAAATTGTTATTTCCTATTGTATCTGTATTGGTATTCTAATGATAAAAAGCATGTAGAGCCAATATTTTTTTGTATAACTCTATGTGGATATTATATAAAGAAAAAGCACAATACTCCAATTATGATTACATAAACTTTCAAAGTACTCAAATTAGCAGATTTTAAATAATATTTTAGCAAAAATTTTATAAAAATATCACTTAAATCGGAAACAATTTCTAAATCTGAAGATGCCAATTAACCTCATCTTACTTCCTGCCTGTAGTCATTAGTACTTTTGTGAAACTGTAAAAAGGTACTAAAATGTAAAATTTTCCATAATAAATCTTAAAATATTTAAATGATTTGGTTTTAAAAAACAGATCAGCCAATTTTTTTTAACCCTCCAAGCATTGAGCCTGTGTACAAAATTGTACTGAAATTTCCCTCCCATTTCTACTTTCCTATATTTAATAACATGAATAAAACCAATTTTGATGCAGAAAACCTGCAGCTGTAAATTTGGAAATAGCTGTGTTTATTGCTCATGGGATAATTTAAGCATATTAACCCATAAATTTGGGTTCATTTAAACTGTTTCTTCAACAACTCAGATTGTTAAGATATGTCAAAACCAATTGTCGCATTTCCCTTTTATTTCTCCATTGTTTTGGAGTACTTAACTTAATGTACCATGACATAAAATGAGTTTTCTATTTATGATTGTTTTATTGAAGCATATATTTGTATATTTCACTGTCATGTTCAATGGTGCAATTATTGTTTCCAAATGCTGGTCATTTGTTTTATAATAAATAGTTTGCTTTACAAATTGTTTCATGATCATTTCTTCAAAAAACACATTTTTGTGAAGCTTTGATAAATTTTATTATGCAATCAATAGTAGAACTATTATTATCTGACTCATTGAGGAACCTTGGTTTTTTAACTTTTAGTTGTTGAAAAGTTACATAGAATTAAGCTGTAAGAAGTTACATTTTAATTGAATTAAAGCAAATTAGTTTTAAAGTTGAAATAATGACCTTTTTTAAAATTACACCAAATATTTTTATTATATTTGTGAAGATATAACCAGAGTTGCTAACTATTCTGACATGTAATTATTACAATTTCGTAATACAAAATTACAGTCTTGCAGATGAGCAATAAAAATTAACGTTTTTTGGAATTTTCGTAATTATCTGTTTAAGAAAAATAGCTTAACCTAAATAAATCCTATTTAAGCCATACCTCTTACTATTAAAAAATTTATGTTTTTTATTCTAGTGGAATATTTGCAGGAAAAAAATGCAGAAATTGATTAAGTTAATTGAAGATTTACTAATAGGAAATATATAAACATTAACATATGGTTTATAAAATTAATGATTCTAAGTCTTTTCTAGTTTTGGCTTTATGATTTATTTTACATAACAATGCTGCTTCAAAAAGAGATCTCAAGTTGGGTGTGGAAAAATACCCATGTTTTCCCAACTTAAAGGAACAAAACGTTATCTTATCTTTTAAAGCAAATAACTCATCCAAACTGCTGTAAGCTAAATGAGTCAAATGAAAGGTGCTAAAAAGGTAGTAATAGCTAGCTCTAAATTAACCAAAAATAACCAAGTCATTGATTCCAAGCAATGAATTCAGTTTCATCATTTTGTAATGATTTATAAAATTTCAGTTTTGTATGTTTTTTCATCTAATACCTTTATCTAAGTGTTACTTTTTTCCTTTAACTGTAAATTAGTGTGTAATTTTATTAATTATTATATATCTAGACAGAAGTAAATAGTATATACACTTTAAAATTGCACTAATTTGAACTTCGTAAATACTATCTCTTCTTTTCCTGTGTTATTGTACCTTTGATAATTAGTTGGTGTTAAACGCAATTCTGATACATATGGTTTACAAGAACAAATGGAACATCTTAAATAATTTTCAAGTAACTATGTTACGCTTTACATGATAGGGTATAATATTAATTTATGCTTACCATCAATATGAAGTTGGATATTAATATTAACTGAATATGACATACTGATTACATGCACCCTTAGTTTTATTAAATAAAATACAAAGAAAAATTATGTAATATAAATGTAACAGATTAAAAAGTATGGAAGCTAATTTATTATAAATTTTATCTAAAAGTAGTAATAACTAAAAACAACGTCCCATCTATTTCCACTTAATAATGATATTTATTTATCCTACATTTTATTTCTTAAAATTTTTATAAGAATGTTTAACTATTTTGTATAGACAGACATGTATAAACAGACTAATATATAAGACATGTATAAACAGACTAGAATGTATAAACAGACTAATACAACTGATGCTTCACAACTTTTTATTGAACAAGAAACTGCACACAAAGATTTGATTGTTCATGCTTTAAACTGAGCTAATGTTTTACAAATATTGCATTGTTTGAAATATGTCTTTTTTTTTTTCTAAAGCAATACTAAATGCAGATCAATAGAGAGAAACCTTGGCAATTTTTAAAGGAAATAAAGCAAGAAATTTTTTAAAGATAAAAATTTTTTACAACTACTTAGATTTTCTAATTTAAAAATAGATTAAGATTCCAAAGTTTTAATAAATGAACTACAGTAGAATATAGCGTCTTGTACGTGACGTCTTGGATTTTTATTTTTTAAACATGATCAAAATAATTAGTTGAAAGTCTAATAAATAGTATTAGATAGGTTTAAGGAAGCCTGTAAAGATTTAAAAAGTTGCAATTTAAAAGTCTATTCGCCTTAATTTTCATTCTTATAGTGACAATAAATGCGAGCTTTAACGTTTTGCTCATAATTAAATAGTGAAACAATGAGTATAGAGTTAATGGATTTTTCTTTTCAATTTTGAATCAAGATATTACATGTTTTAAACTTGCAATCCCTTTATTTAGGTAGACCTAACATTTCCTAAACTTAAAACTACAATAGTCATTCAAATTTTCTGATTTTTTTCACAGAACCAATTTTTTCTACAAAATAATTCAACTAATTAAATTTTATACAGTGATAAATTTAATAATTAATTTTCCCTAGTTATACTTAGAACAAACGTATATAATATAGAACAAGATCTTTAAAATTTCATTAATATGAATAATTGTTATTTAACAATTCATTAAACATGTCTTATAATCCCACATTAAAATTTCTTTAAAAAAAATATAACCGTAATTATTTACATTTATAATTATACTATCATATTTTATACAGAATAAAAACTTGAAATAAATAACTACTAATTTTAAAACTTCATATTTTAAGTTTTCATTTGTTATAACAAAGCATAATTTTTGTATCTTTACTAATGTTTCATGATAATAAAATGCTTCTAATTGTTAACAATATTGTGACATGCTGCACATTTAAATGGGGAAAAAAAACATTAAAATTTTTACTCCTGAAAATAAGACAGCTAATAACATACAGGCTAGTAAGGCTACAATGATAACAAATTAATCCAATGAATATTCAAAATTTAAAAAGTAAAAACTAAAAATATAATCTCATTAGCATAATCACAAGCTTTTGTTATTTCCAATTTAAGTTTTTGACATCATGAGCTTAAAACATCCACAGTTGCATTTAGTTATTTCTTCCTTATAAAAAGGATTTAATTCATAGTAAAAAAGAGCATTTATAGAGGCTAAGGCAAACCACATTTAAAAATCGATAAAGGTTTTTTTAAAGAATTTTTGGTCAAAAATGCAATTTTCCATGTAAATAATAAGATGTTTCTGTGCATTGTGCACTTATTTAATGGAAACTTTTTAGAATTCCTATTTGGAAACAATACAAAGACACATTTTGATATTTTTTTTTAAAATTACTTTTGGAAAAAGGGTGGATAAATGCATTGCTCTAAGCCCCTCAAATTGTATCCAAAAATTACTTTAATTAAAAACATATAATGAGGACATAAATATAGGCCAAAAAACATACAGCAAAAATAATACATCTACGTACATAATCTCACTTCTTCACATTATTCTATTTTAAAAATGAAGCTATTTTAGCTTTTCATTGATACGAATAATTTAACCAAAAAAACTATCAAAACTTCTCAATGCTAGCATTTTTTGAATTTGACATTTAAAATTAAACTTTTTTTAAAATTCATCAATATTCATAGTAATGAATGAGTTTAAATATGATTTTTGAATCATTTTCTAGAATCTACATAAAAATCGAATTTTTTAATAGAAATTCATAAATTTGTAGATTGAAAAAGGGATCAAAATGCTGAAAAGGATTTTTTTTTGAAAAGTTTAAGAAAAGTGTTTATTAAAAATAGTAGACAAAAGCAAGCATTTGTTTTTAAGTAAAAGCAACTATTTTTGCTTCCACAGCTTTAATTTTTAAAGCCAAAAATGACTAGATGTCTAACTAGAAGAAGCTGAATGTATTTATTATCATAAAAACTATATTTAGATAGAATCTAATAGTATTGTATAGTTACATACACAGTTAAGTAACTAAGCAACTATATGATAACATTACTTGACTTAAAGGAAATAAAATAATTAACTCCTGATTATCCAAATATGTATTATTCAAACTTTACTTCAGTTGTTTTAAAAAACAAATTTGTTTTTTTAAAAAAATGGCTTTATTTCCACAAACTAAAGGATACCATACAAGTGAAGTAAAAACCACTTTTTACATATAAAATTTTCAATATTATTACACTTCTTGTGTGTTTCACCTTATCTCAGGAACTATTTGAAATTCTTAGCACACAATTATAAAAGTGGTTTATCTAAGGATAATTCCCAGCAAAATACAGATTTCCATAATTATTTATTATTACTAAATTCAGTAAAGAACAAAAACATTTTGAGTATTAAAGCATACAAATTTTCACATTGTTTTGAAGTATATATATATATTTTCTAATGAAAAAACTTGAGCAAAACTGCTGAATAATGAAATTTCTAAAAAGCGCGTTTTTAAAGTTTAATTCCTTAACAATTAAGGTACCCAAGCTTTTGTCTGCTCTCCTGGCGAAGCAATTCAGATTGTGGCTATAACCCTCCTGTTATATTTTGAGGGTCAAGAATCCAAATCTGTAGAAAAAAGATATGTTTATTCAAAGAAAGCACATTTTTGTGTCGGATTACATAGCAAATTAATTTGTAACAAATTTTTTTCGCAAATTCATTAGCACATTTACAAAAATCTACAAAATAAAATTGCATTATAGTATGTGATGATAATTCAATCATTATATTAAAAGTTATTATGGTGTTTCACTTTTGATTCTGCGTACTGAACATAATTGAACTAAGGAAAAATAAAAAGTAACATTTTTTCTGGAATTTTTGCAGTGTGTTCCTCTCTAATTTTTATTCATCATACTTTTCGGTATTTAGTTATCCATAACATTACATTTCAATGATTTCATATGCAAAAAATGGTTTTGGACCAACTATTTTTCAAGGCAGCCTTCCTAATGATTTGCACTAATCATCATATAAATTTTGCAAAGAATAGTTAAATAATAAAACAAAAAACTTACTTAAAAAATAAACTTGAAATAAAATTTTACTATTCTTTACAAAATTTGATAAAAATAAATACATTTACATCATATTAACCTCAGAATATTCACACTATATGTAAAACACTTAAATTGGCATCAATATTTTAAAATTTTGTTTCCCGTAAAAATTACAATAATTATTTTGAAGTTTCTCATATTTGCAATTTTATTTTAAATTAAAATGAAATGTATCAAAAGTTTGATTTTGCAAAACTGACAAACAAAACTTTTTAAGTGAGTTGCAAGCTACTAAATATTAAAATACAAAAATATAAAAAACTTAAAAGAAACTCTTCATTTTTAATATATCAACTCTTTATAACAATTACCCGTGATGCACAGTCAGCAAATTTTTCACAGTTCTATCAACTAAGTTAATGATTTATTACTGTCTTTCTTCCTAAAGCAATTTGTCATACTTAAAACTAAAACTTCATTTCAACGTAAAATAATTTTTATTGGCATAAACTAAAGCAAACATTTGCAAGAAGTTTTAAAAAATTATACACCATGATCGAAAATAATCAGATAAAATGCTAAATCTACTAGTTAGATTATAACCAAATTTTTTTGCACAAAGAGTGTACTATAACAATCACAAAAAACAATTACGAAACAACTTGTAAACTTACATAAGCACAGGTTTTGATAAAAAGAATAATATTATAATTCATAAATGTAAATGTCACTGCTTCTAAAACTAACTAAAAAGTAAAACTGAACAAAAAAGTGTTAGGCAGTTTATCAGATTTGACAATTATTCAACAATTTATCAGATAAACTTAATAATAATACAGTATTTTGATAGTTAACAGTAGAAAACGAATAAAAAATTTTTAATTAACATTAACTATTTAAATGTATTTTCATATCTAGAAATAATAATATTTTAAATACCTTTTGTAAGGTAAGAAAACAGAAAACAATTCTAACAGGGCAAGATAATAGAATTTTAACAAGAATTTACAATTAACTTATAGCTCTAAAGCTAAAAAAGAAATAAAAACAAACTTTAGTTTCTTTGAATTTGCACACATTTAGTATCAAAAGTATAAAATTTACTCACAACTTACAGTACATGAACAAGTAAACAAAGCAAAGTAATGTAAGAACGACTAGTCATAAATTGAAAGACTTACTTTCAAAATATATTTACTTACTAATCAACAAACCTACAATTCAAACAGCATTTTCTTAAGGAAATATTCATAATATTAAAAAGAAGAGATATTAAGGAATTCAATTTAAACATATTATGGAAGAAAATTAATGTCCATTTTTAAACACCCTTTTTTTACAGTCAGTCAGTGAGTTAAATAAGATATCCCCTTAAATAACTTTTGTTTTAATGATCAGAATTTCATGTGCCAAGTGTCAATAAAGATTGAACAGAATAACAATAAAGAATAACAATTAAGGTTGGCTTGAAATATGTGAATTAAACAGTTAAAATATTACTTAGGTTATGAATTAATTCAGATTCAGACACAAAAATATATAAATTCTGAACAAACATACCTTTTTTTAAAAGGATTTAGAGTTTTGAATTTTAAAATATTAAGGGGGTTAGTCCCAATAATTTAGTTAGAAGAGTGTTTGAAAGTTTGAACTCCTATTGTTAATTTCACTTTTTGAACATAATTAGAAAACTTATTAATCCAAAAATAATTTAATGTCAAAAATAATTTTTATCCTTATTAATTATTTTTTATTAATTAGTTTAATAATGGCCAAAAAGTTTTTTTTTAACTATGTACTTAGTTTTTAATTATGTGAAAAGTTTTATACACTATAATTCAAAATATTTTCAGCCATTTTTAATTAAAAAATAATAAATAATTACAAAACTTTTTTTTTAACATATCATTATTTTTGGATAAATGAAGTTTATAATTGTTTAAAAAAGCATATGATTTGCTTAACAGTTACAGAGAGGATATAGAGAAATACAATAAATTTTAATTTCTCATTACTGGATCTAATTATTTGATCGCTCTTCTGACAAATATAAAGGGACTTTAATTCCAGATTTCAGTTACTGAAATCTAAATCTGTGAAAAAGAATGTTATTTATTCACAGAAACTAGATTTTTGTATGTAATTCTTCAAATTTGATTCAGGACTAATTAATTAGTCAATTAGATATCAGGTTTTAAGATTGGCACTGAGTACATGAAAATTAGGTTCTTTTTTTCTCACTGCACAACTATAGTTTTTTATCAAAAGAAAAAAAAAATATTCACATACACACATTGAACAGTAATTTACCTTAAACATTTTACACATTTAGGAACACACTCATTTGAAACATTTATTGCTCATAGTTATGATATGCTTTTCTTTTTGATTAATTTTTGCAAGACCAGCACAACCCTAGCAGAATGAAGCACTCAGTAATAAATATTTTATGTGTAACAAACAATAAAGTATTATATCACATGGATGCAAATAAAAGCATCTTAAATGCAGACATCAATAACAATATTAATAAACTTTGAGGTTCAACAAGAATAATTAGTAAAACTAATTTTAAAAAAACCAACACCAAGCATTACTTTACAAACACAATACAATTTAGTTATAATGAAGTTAATTATCTTTAATGAATATATATCTATAACATTTTTCCAAAATGGGACCCTATTTGACTGATTACACAGAAATTTTGAAAGCCAAGTAAATTAAAAATAAATTTTGCTATTTTTAAAAATTCCCAAAATCAAAAAGCATTGTCTTTCAGACTAAAATTTCCATTATGTAAACAGAAATCACAAAAACATAATTTTAACAATTTATATAATTCACAAAAAATAATGATTATATAAATTCATCAAAAAAGAAATCTTAAAACAAAGTTTCAAAAAAAATTTTTATAGTTATTCAACAAAATTAATATTTAGCACTTTTAACCCTAAGTTGATTCTTCTCCTCACATACTAGCTAAGCAACTTTCCTATCATCTTTCACATTGTATTGCTTTTCTTTCCCGTCAGACAAACAGTCATCAGTCAAAAATCTAAAAAATAAATCATAAAATTAAATTTACTAACAAATTGGTATAGACAATTATTTTAAAAACCGTTAAGTAAATGTACAAGAAAATTAAATATCTTATATCTGCGATATGGTGGAAAGGGGGGGGGGACTGGTGGGTGTCTTTTTACACACACACACTTACACTATGATAGTTTATGATTATAAAACATAAACTGTTAAAATGGAGTGAAAAATAACCACATCCTAGATACAAGAGCAAAAAATCACAATTTTAGCCTTAAATAAAATAATATAGAGCACTGAAAATAACTACCTTATTTGTAGGGAATTACACATTTGTTAGATTCCATTTCACATAAAAGGTAAGTATTTTATAAAATTTTATATCTGTAAAAATTTTAATTAAATATATTAAAAATATCAGTAATACTTACCTATACCAAAGTAAAGGCACTGGTATTGTTCCTAAATGCCAAAGCGCATGAGCATCTATAATAAATCTCCATGGTGGAAAATCACAAAGCTCTAACAATAACAGTATATTAACAATTATCACTGATACAGCACACTTCCAAACATATGACTTATGGCGATACTTGTAACACCACATAATCCAACCACATGAATTAATAAGACCTAAAATAAATGATTTTTAAGCATTAAAGCAGCTTTGGATTAATAAAATTAAAATGGGACCAACAACTTTTCAGAGTAATGAAAAGCAAATAGTATATCACATAAAAAACACTTTTCAGAAACAAAAGTTGTATGTTTTGTAAGCAAATTGCAAAAGTATAGGTATTTTTTTTAATAATAGTAATTGCAGATGACATAAAAGTCTAATATTAAACTAAACACAAATTGATATTATGCTTATAAACTAATTATGTAACATACTAAAATTATACTATACAGAAATAATTAGTTATAGATTTAAAATTACAATAAAATGGATACATAAACATCATTTCAGAATTTGATTTGAAGGTAAAATAATTCTTAACACAATTCCAATAATAATTCTTTTTAAAAAAAATTAATAAATTTGTAAAATAATATGGCCTCATAAAAATTATAAACAGCTATTATAAACAGTATCTATAAACACATTAAAAATTAATTATTTCATTAAAGCAGCAGTTCCCACTTTTTTTCAGCTATGGAACCCTAAGTGATCAACTTTCTTTCGACGAAACCCAACTTTTTAAATAAAGTATATAAAGATAATTGTGAACTTTTACTACTTTATTTTTAAAATATTTAATTTTGGGAAGAAATTTTTTTCATTGTTTTATCATAAGTAATATCATATAAAATTTTAAGTGCAATATTAAATTTGCAATCCTATAGTAATGAATCTATGTCTAATAATGAAATTATTTTTGATGTGTATACATAAGCTGAAAACTATTAATATAAGACATATCATGGTTTTCTTTACCAGTTGGCGACAATTGTCGCCTAATGTTCCACAAATGTTGCTAGAATTATACCACTGGGTGACAAATTTGTCACCTTGAAATATGTTTGAAATTTACAAAATAGTAACAAAAAATATTTTATTGTGTTGAATTCCATGCATTTAAAAAAAAAAATTTGTCCTAATTTTATAGTTCTAAGTGTAATATGGAACTGAAATGTGCGATATTCAAATGGAATAACTGAAAGTGTCTGGTAGAAACATTTTTTAATTTAAATGTTAAAAATTCAAATTTATAAGTCAATAAAATAATATTTTTTACTCTTTTAGAATAGACTTTATTTGAAATTTCATACTCTTTAGATAAGTCATTTTAATATAATATTTTGATAGTTCTTAGTTTCTCTGCTTTCCTCATTTATTTATTTATTTGGATCATTTTTTTACTCATTTTGATCTCTATGTTGAATCTATCTACAAATATTATTTTGGCTTTTTTCACTTAATTTTAACAAATACTAATCTACAATCAGTATGGAGTAATGCACCTGATTCATTTTAGTGTAATATAGATGGCAATTAATGATTTTTGATGTGTACCACAATATGAATTATGTATTTGCAAAGTATGATTTTTTTTCTTTAGTTGCTCTCCTCTAGTTTTTGAACCACTAAATAAATACCTAGGTGGTCTTATTAGACTGCTAAATTTCACTGCTGTTGTCAACCCTAGTTTTCTCTGAAATGAAAACTAAAAAGCTGCTATAAACATTGAAAATGGTAATTGGGGAAACATATTTCTTTATTAGCGAATTTAGTTACTTTATTTGAAGAGCTTGACAGGAAATAATAATGCAATTTTTTATAAATGTATATCCTTTCAATAAATTATTCGATATCAATAATATTAGAAAAATTATTTTAAAAGAAAATTAACATATTTTACATCAGAATTTTTTTTTTAAATTTCATAAAGACAATCGAAATATTAAAGAAATAATGGGTTATTGATTGGATTTAATCAAAATCATGACGACGGGTCAAAAAGAAAGTCCTAACACTTGGAAACCCTACAACTCTTTCACGCAAGTCTAAGTTTCTACGGAATACCCTTTGGGAACTGCTCCATTGTCATGTTAAAAAATTACATTTAAAGTTATATGTTAGAACATTTTAAGATAACATCTTTTTCCAGATTAGAGGAATTTATGAACAGAAGAAAACAATTTTTCCTATATTTTAGTCATTTAAAACTTCAACATTTTTTATAGAAAGATACGTAAATGTTTTCTATTTCATCATTTACCTAGCTAACCCTTCAATTACGACTAATTATTTACAAATAAGAATTTGAGCACACAACTTTTTAAACTTTTTTCAAGAGAACACATGACTAAAAATAAACACAAAATTTTACCCACTCTACTTGCCACTTAGAATAAAGTAAGAGTAACCACTCAAGAATTACTAAACTAATTACTGTGATGTTTAGGAAAGGAGAGTGGGAAAAAGTCCCTCTGCATATTCAACTTTTGTAATTTGAGGATAAATAACTTTTCTATTAAAATATTAGAAATGAAAAAAGTCCTTTCAAATTTCAAAGTAAAACTAGTTTGTAAGTCTTTACAAACAACAGTATTACTGATTAAATGTAAATAAGTACATACCGATTGCAATGTTGGCTTTTAAATTATATCCATAATCAAATCTCACATAAGTCAAGTAATGTATGTGGTAGCAAAAGAAAGATAAAAATGGCACAGCTAGAGCAATTGGCATCCATAAGTTTGTATTTGAGCATATCCTAACAGGGAAAAAATTATATACTTCAAATAAAATACAATATATAACTGATTAACTAAAAAATGTGGTGCATAATAGATTAACATGAAATTTGAATAAGCAATTGATTAAAAAAGAGTTTTAATAAATCAAATAGAAAAATAAACAAATTTAGTAATATCTAAAAAAGATTACTAACAATAAGCAACTATGTATTTAGCAATGAACAAAAAACAAGATAAAATACAGTCTTTTGTTAAGGATAAAAAAAAATTAAAAATGTATTAATTACTCTCTCATAAGGTATTTACCTCTTGAAAGAGACAAGTTCAAACAAGAGGTTAAGGAACAGTAACTTTCATTGTAAATATTTTTTAAATACTATAACTAGTCTTAAACTAATGTAGTGCTCTGAATTTCAATTCATTAATATAAAATTTAATTTAATAAAATAATGAAAAATATTAAAAAAATACAACATTTTTAACACATTCTTAATACTAATATTTTATTTAATAAAAATATTTATATTTTATGAACATTTGAGCAGCGATTTATAGAAAAATTTACAGATCAATTTAAATCATTGGAGCTTGTCGGAAAAAAATAAACAGAGATAATTTTATGTTTAATGCAATAAATTCTTATGGGTTTTGTTCAGAGAAGTTTATCTGGTATATTAATTTAGTTGACACATTATTTCAGAAAATATTTTCCAGATAAATATTTTTGTCAAAATCTTAATTAGTTATAACTTCATCATTTTATAAAAAGAAAAAAAAATTCCTTCTACTTAAAAATTAAAAATGATATTTATGATAAAAGTAACTTACCTTACACATAAGGAATAAAATGAGTATAAGACCATGGAAAATGCACAGAAATAGTCAAGTTTCTGAAAAAGTGTGAAAAAAATCTTTTATTCACCTAGTTAAATGATTTAAAATAATATAAATTATAATATTTGTATAATATTTATTTAAAATATGTATATAATAATTATAATTGTCAGGTGTTTAAAAATATTAATGAGATCCTCATATTTAAATTATGGGTCATAAAGTCAAAAGGCTTTCACACATGGTGAAAGCTTTGGAAACTAACTTAAATTTCAGGATCATGAACATTTAGAAATATTTTCGGTTCAGTTTTCACTAATGACATAATTTCATTCAGGCAATTCTTTAAAGACCAGAATCTTACACCATATGTAGTAAAACCTAGTGCAACATATTCCTAACGATATAACATTTCAGCCTGTCGCATTTTATTCATTCCACCACTACAGTTAGTTATCTTTCTTAATTTCCTTTTCTAGTTCTGACTAAATTTTTAGTAACGGCTTTTTATAAAAATTTCTGTATTTTTACTTAATTAGAAGAACATGCAATTTTTACTAAATAATTTTTAATTTTTCTATTGAAATTTTCTTTCATTTTTATCCATATTAAAAAATTTCTTTGTTACATAATAGAAGAATATAATCTACTGCTGTGAAATTAAGTGGGTGGGGAGAGGGAGAGATCTACATTAAATTAAAATCATTTAAAAACAAAAATTTACCATTTATTAAAAATTATATTTAATTAAAAATTTACCATTAAAAAGTTCAAAAGTCAAATGAGGTCCAACAGGAAAAAGATATTAGTTATAATATAATACAGGGATAATTTAAAGGCAAATTATTTAAAAATAAGCATTTTTTAACAATAAGTACAAAAAAACGAACTTCAAAATTACAAATTACACATAAAATAAAAATGTAACATAAAACTCACTTCAGTAAAAGGAGTATCTCTCGCATGGAAAACTGCTGACCAGAACCATGCATTTATAGATAGCTGTAAAGTAATCATAATGAATAACTTCAAAAGAGGCAGGAAATTAAATTTACTTTTACTGAAAAAAGAAGCTTTCACAATAAAACAAATAAAATCATAAATAAACCACAAAATATAACTCTTTGCACTGAATTATGTTTACCAAAGCATCTATGAATATTAATTAAAATCTCTGTATTAATAGCCCACATTCAATAAACATTTTTAAGTTTTAGCTCATGTTAGCAAAAATGCTTACTAAATGGTAGCCATTCAGATTCAGTTGGGATTCAGATATAATAACGAGACCTTGCTAATTCAAGTATAAGGTGTATTAATGAAGATTGACTACTTTAATCAATCAAATACAATTAATTGTAAATACTGTACAAAATTATTATTAACTTTGACACAGGCAATACATAATGCAATTAAACTAAAATTCCTTGGAGAGAAAAGGGTACTTTTTTATGGCAAAATCATTATATACGGAAAACAAAATTGCAATTCATTATTTTCTCCTTTTTAAATGAATTTTTCTTACTTTTGAATGAATTTTTTTTCATTACATTTAAAAATTATGTTTAAAGTTTTTTTGCAATTTTTTTAATTTATTTTTTACTTTATAAAACCATGAAAGTTTTTTGTAATTTTTCTTTATTATTTAGTAATTGCAATTTTTTTCCTTTAAAAAACGTTTCTACCTCAGGATTTTCAAAATTATTAATAGTAAGATAAATATGCTTTAAGCATGAGTTACATTTATATTGTTGTTTAAACACACTGCAAAAATTAAATTAAAATTTTACAATTTCTAATTGAACAATTAAAATTTTAGTTCCAAAAACTATAAATAATAATTACTTTTTAAAAAGGTTTTACAATCAAATGAAATAATAAGATAAAATAAAGTATCGAAAACGATTTGAGAAGAGCATTTACAGAAAGAATAAAATCCATAATACTACTACATATTTGTTTACTACAATTTTCTCGTTACATACATATATATACTATTACTTTATCACTTGTACCAGTTCTAATATAAGTTTTGGAACTCCATTATTGTATCAGATTTTTAAATATCCTAACTAAAGGTTAAAAAAATTTTTTTATAAAAGAAGTGAAATAAGTAACATTGTTTTTCATAAATATGTCAGTCGAACTACTTTTGAAAAATTATTTTAAGTCAAAATTTTGCGAAGAACCTATGTTATTTTTGTACACTAAAAGCAATAAGTAACAAAGAAAAGGCAATGCGGAAAAAGGAGCAAAGGGTTGAGCCATACATTTGGAGTTGAAAATTATTGGGAGAAAAAAAGTAATGTGCAGTTACATTATTCTCAAAGTCATATTAATTGTTACATTAAATTATTTTATGCAATACAACTTTATTATAAAATTATTATTTTTACCACTGCTTGAATATTCCAGACTGTATTGTAAGGTCCTTTAGGAACAGATTTTCTAAATTTCTGCCATGTGAAGTAATGAACACATCCATTTAAAATGGAGAACAAAACTGAAGCTGGTTCTTGCAGACCCCAAAAACGATAGAAAGGCCACTGAAATTAAATATAAAATATTTAAGGAACATGCACTCAATTTTAAATTAACATAGTTATTAATAGGTTAGCAAGTAGCAGAAAACTTCCAGCACAACTCCAGGTTATTTTTTTATTTTTCAGTTCTCTTTTTAAAAAGCAAACAAGCAAATCAGGTAAAATTGTTAAAACTCTCTTTTAAAATATTCCTGCTACTTGCTTGGAATAAAAATTAAAAAGTTAAATTAAGAGATCACTGTAAACAAAGAGAAAGGATTTTTTTTTCCTTCTGTGACTTGATTACAGGCTAAACTACATAGAGATAAATTAAATTTCTTTTAGTAGGATTTGTTAAATTTTAATTTAAATTTAAACAACATAAAGTTTTCAGCATAATATTTAAGGACTAATGTGCAAATTTTGCTACATGCATGTTAGATTAAACTGAATAATTATAATAATCGTCGACTGCATTGAGGTTGCAGACAGATTTGGATTCATGAAGATAGTGCAGCAAATACACTCTGTAAATTATGCTACTGACTTGGGTTAGATAAATTTCACCGTTTATAGACATATCTCAAGAAGTTGAGCGATAATATAGCTTTTATTTCAAAAATAAATGTGAATTAAGACTTTAAGACAAAATGAATGAACACAACATATTACTACTATATAGAACTATTTTCTCATGTTGTTTGTGTTTTGGGGACAAACTGTGAAACTACACAATATAATTCTTTAAATTTTATTGAAAGAAACAGAAAAAAATACTTATTGGAATTGTACAACATACAAAGCTCTTTTTTTTATCTCCCTCACTCACATTCTGGTGATAAAGACAAGAATAAAGAAAATAATAAATTTCCAATTAAAAGAGGTTTAACTGAAATGCAGGAGATTCAACCGAAATTAAATCTTGTCATAGCAAGACTTTTTTCTTTTTTATTTAAAGTTAAACAGCATCACTGAACGGCCTGCTATTGATTAACTAAGTGGTTTACTTTAATGTATTTGTAAGGAATTGGGAATTTTTTATTAAAAATGTCATGTTCTAGAGGACAAAATTTAAATATTCTTTATTGCTCCATGGGGCACATTTAGAAAATATGTATGCAGGTTTTCACTACAGTGCGAGAACGCGAGAATCTTGAATATTTTTTTCTTTTCACGCAATAAAAAATTATTAACGCGAGAAGTTCGCGCACTCTATTAATCAACTTCAAAATGCGCGAATTTTGGAAAAAGTTTCATCTTTTGCCATTTTGAATAAAATCTGTTTCATTTTTCTTCCTTGATCTTTCATTATTTTGAACATCTGTCCTTGTTATTTAGCTTCCCTATTTACCAGTATTGTTCAGAACGGGTGCGAACAGCAGAACACCCCCCCCCCCCCGAACCACNTCCCCCCGAACCACGGAACCCCTTTCAGAACACATTTCTCTGCAATGTGTTCACCGTAGGTAAGGTTTCTTCATGTAAGACATTTACATTTTTTGTGCATAAATGTAAGATGGACAAATACCTTGTTAAGGCGTCATCTTCTACTCCGTAACGGACAAATGAAACAAATGTCGGTAGAAACGGTCAAAACGAAACAAATACGGATATTTTTCAGTCAAATAAATATAATAACTGATGAAAAAGTAGGTATGGAATATTTTCCATATGATGACGCAGCAAAAATATTCAATTAGAAGATGTTAAAAATTCATTATAATTAAAGAAATAATTATTTTTTAAGTCTATTTGTGCTTTTTTAATTTTTAGAAACCTCGCCTAACTTTTTGAAATCTCACCCTGTTTTTGAGAAAGGGTGAGAAATTCTCTCCCATTCTTTTCTGTAATAAAAACACCGTGTATGTAAAAGAAAATGCTTATTAATAAAATTATTTATAAGAAATCCCTAACATGAACTATTAAAAAAATTAATTTTAAAACTAAGAAGTATTTTTAACACACATATTTAAGAACAACAAAATTTCCTAACAGGAAAACTCAAATTAACAAAATAATATTTAATTAAGGAAATTATAAGCACAAAGTTTATTTTGTGCATAAAAATCATACTTTTCCATGAAATTGAGGTACAGACTGGCCACTACTTTGGAAGAGTTTAACAGCATGCCACATACAAAAATGTTCACATTCATCCCAGCATTCCCATTGCAGAAAGGATAAATACCAAGGTCTCTTAGCTTCAAATTCTGCTAAGCGAGTGGAGTTAGAGCAATTGTTTGCACTACACCACTGCAAACACTTCTTATAAATAGGAGAACGATCACCATAGGAACAATCTGCACATTGTGTAAATACTACAATCAAACATACAATAAAAAGTCTTCTTCCACTTATTTTATTGAGGATGAATTTTTCCGGCATACAAAGTCATTTAAATTTCAATTGCAGACAGAAATAATTGCACCTGCAAGACAATATTGGTTTTATTTTTAAAACATAATGTGATGAAATTTTAATACTAATTTAGAACTGAAATAATTTTTAATTACTTTTCCTATTGCAATTAATTACTGCTCTAATAAAAAATATTTGGAACTGAAAATTTACAAATCTATGTATTGGTAATAATTTTCTGTAATTTCTTAAACAAAAATGAATTCATTAGTATATATAGTGAAACATATTGAAAGAAAATTAAAAGCTTTTGTTATTTTGAAAATAAAAGGCAGACATTTTTAATACAGATTGATTAATACAGATTTCAGACTCAAGAGTGTTACATAATCTATTAATTTTAGTCTTCATTACCTTATAATTTAATACTATGTTTCAGTTTTTGCACAGTTATCATATTTGAAATTGAAATAGATTCAAATTAAATAGAAAATTTTGTGCTATTACTACCAAAATAAAAGAAAGTTTGAATATAATAAACTAGTGGGTATATTTAAACTTTAAACGCAACAACTACCTATTTCAGAAATCAAATTAAGCTTACTAAAACATGAAGAAAAAGGGGAAGATTTCTGAATCGATACCTGTTCCAAAATAATCAGCAATTTTTGGCACAAGCTAGGCAGTGGCACAAGAGAAACTTTAAAAAAAGGGAACAATTGGAAATGTATAATTCATAGCCAGACTTCAGCAAACCACAATTTTTTTATTTTTTTTAAAATTTTGTTAGATAAAAAATTTTTTTAGTTCCTTTGAAATGGTAATTGACCTGATCAGAAATATTATATACATATCCTGAAAAAATATATATAATGAATAAATAAGAGTAAATTCTTCACTACGTCTTTCTGATAATCTCAACTATTTATTTTCAAAATTATTCACATGCATACTAAAAAAAGGAAGGTACAAAAGTTTTCAGGGAGATTTCCGTATCGTGATCTTCTGCAGAATAATCGCCAAGTCTTACCAGCTTTCCGGCAGTCGCCTGCAAGAAACATCACAGGAATGGAACAACTCAAAAGGTATAACTCATAGCCACCCCATAGAAAACATCAACATATTTTCTTTAAAAAGGTTTCGCAAGCTTAAAAAACTATTTAGCAAATCGGCGCGACAGATCATGATACGTAAATATTCCTGCGTTTTCAAACACTAGATCTCTTTTAATGAGTAAAATTTCACATAAACTTTAAGAAGATGCAGGAAATTAAAAGTTTGCTTTAGCTAAATTAAAGAAAAAGCAACTATTTTACCATTGCAAACAATAAACAAACTTAGTAATGTTGGTAAATCAAATATTACATCATTTATAATAAGTATACAGATAAATTATTATGAATATAAAACAATTTCTCAAAAACAATATTTGGACTCAATAGATCACTGTTATAAATCTGTAACAAGCTAGACTGTTACCATATAATAACTACAAATACGACTTTCATTTATGATGTTTTCTTTGCATATTAAACGTTCATAACGTTAAAAAAATACTAAAACAATTCTGACAACAGCAAAGATTACATTTTGCACACATATATAGGGTGGGACTGGTTAGAATTACCAATTTGTTGGGACAAGTTGTTTCCTTAATCATTATTATTAAATAAGTTATACAACCAAATTAGTTCATTAAAATAAAGTTAGATGATTAAGGAATTTGACAAATTATAGTCATTAATATAAATCAAAATTAGAGAGAAAAAATCAAATACTTACTTTCTATCAAAACACTAGCAGAACACTTCTTACGAAATTTCAATTTCCTCTTAATTTAAACAAATACTCTCTTCAGTTCAGCTCTCCTAATGCATTTTTCATTTGAAAGTCAAATTAAATAATTTTTTTGTTTGACCTTTCGCTAATTAATGATACTTTTTCATCTTTACATCATTAACCTAAACTTCAAATTTAAATATCATTCCTATTATTATCTCTTTTTTCTTTAATCATTATTATTACTTTTCAAATTTACGATCGCAACACTTGAGTACTCCCCCTAGCGGAGAGTATATTTTCAGGCTTCTATCATAATCATTTGTAGAGTTGGACATCATTTTTTTTTAGCAGCAAATAAGAAGCAAAATTTCCCTAAGGAAAAGGTAGAAGAACTTGAAAAAAATACCCAGATTATTAGTAAATCTTTCGGGTATGATAGGGTTTCAATTTTCGTTCATCATTCATTTTATTTGACTTTTCATTGAATAGGCACTTCAAAATCCATGCGATCACTATTCAATTTCTTTTCATAACAATTTATGAAAGATAAAAGATTCTTTCATCAAAATGTTGTGCGAGTAACTTTTAAAAGTGGAGTTTGTGTAGTCACAGTTAATTTTCCAAGTATTATAGTAATTTTATATCAAGTTTATCTTGAAGTGAGTTGCGAAAATTTCCGTTAAATTTTTTTTATGGAAATCAGAGAAAAAGTCGGTGATTTTCGAAACATTAAATAAATCATATAATAATTTGTAATTTTTAAAATGAACAACATTGAATATGAATATTCTGATTCTGAAAAACCATTTAAAAGTTTATTAAAAAACGCTGAAAAGTATGCATCGCTTGAGATGTTTTAAGAAATATTCTGAAATGTTTTCAATTTATGTATTTCTCAATCCCTCCCTTCATTTTTGCTAGTTAAATGTTATGAAACTCCAGTTTTATAATAAGCGGAGGAAATCTCTTTTTTGACAATTACCGGAAAATGCACTATTATCAAAATTGATAGTTATGTATGAATGAAATGTGTTTTAAACAAACATAATTATTTGATAAAATACGTGATCATTAAATATAGCAGTTTAATGATAAATAAATACAATAGTAAAAATTAATAATAAAAACAATTGTAAAACAAATATGGAAAATTAAAATGAGTTGAACAAATTCTTTCAAAGAGATATGTTATAAAAAAATCTGTAAAAAATATAAATGCGTAATTAACTTTTGGCGCCCTCTCTAAATTTTCAGATGCCAGCGCAGATTTGTAGGATTAGTGCGAAATAAAAGTGGCGGCAGCTAAGATCGCTCTAAAATTAATTCATTGCAAGTTGGCAACTGTGCCATTACTGTCTGTGTGTATCAGTTTCATTTTTTCACCGTTTACAATTTTCATGAAACTTTTCCGTTGATAATATTTAATTGTTATAAAAATGAGAGAAATAAAATTGACTCGAAATTTTTTTCTCTGGTGTATGTCTGTTGTCTACCTATCAGCATTTAGTTCTTTATATGTGCAAATACCAGGTTTGTGGTTAATATTTTTTATTCACTGTATATCTTACATTTTGTTATATGCTATAGTTAGATTTTATAATGTTTGCGTACATTATATGCATCCTAACGAAGAATGTAAAAATATTCTATATTATAAGTTTCAAAAAATTATCTAAATAAACTACATAAATAAATTTCTTATTGTCAAAATATAATTTTGCAATACCGGTGAACTTAAAAAGTACTGATCAGCAGTTTTCTAATTAATTGTAAGTGATCCAAAGTGAAGTTTTTCATATATAATCGCCAAGTATATAACCACTTGAATAACTATGAATATAATCTCTTATATTTATATTTTTTTGGAAGTCGGAAAGTCTTACAGAAACATTTTAAAAAAATTCAAGTTACAGGAGTCTGAAATGAATAACAAAATAAAAAGCTAATAAATATTTTATAAAAATTACGTAGAAATGCTTTAAATGCATGTTTTCTACAAATATGTAATTTATTAATTTTATTTACAAAAATTATACTGAACTAAGTTTATTTACTTAAAATAATATTAAATTTGTCAAAAACATTGTTTCGTTATGTTTGTACCATTTTTTAATTGGAAGAAAATTCAGAAATTATTTTTGGACAAAAAAGAAAATATAAACAGAATATTTTGTAATCACTCATAGAAAGGACTATAGTAATTAGTGTATATAATATACTGAGTATTTTAATTTTAAAAAAATACATTCTTTATAAGGAGTTATTACTAAAAATTAAAATTTTTCAGGCATAAGGTTTTGAGATTAGGTTTGTACGTTTTTTATGTCTTAGTGTGAATTAAATTTGAGTATAATGGTAATAAGAATATTTTATATATGCAGCAAATGTCTAACAATAATGATGTATGAAAATATAATTCTTAATTTTATTGAATTTTATTCGGGATTTTTATTCAAATTTTTTTATTGCACAGCTATTTTATGTCTATTTATAACTTTAATTTGCTATGAATTATTTTAAATAATGACAAGTTTGACTATACAAAATCAATTAAGTACCAAAAATTTTTTACTAATAAAGTTTAATAAACAATTGTGTTTTGTAAGAATTATTTTTTTACATATAAAAACAGGTATTTTATTAATCTTTAAAATAGATTTTAAATGTGAAAGAATATAATGCAATTAATATTTTACCTAAAAGCATTTTTGCAATGTGGATCAATGTGCTAAGCATTTTTTTATGTGTTTAAAAGTGTGGACCAAGATACCCTTTCTGAGTATAAGTCACATTGGTGCATTTTTGTTGGTAGTTGGTCCAGTTATTTGTTTGACGGAAATTGTTCGTTGCAGTTTTTGTGAAGATTTTGATAGTAGTAGTAATGATTTTTGGTACATTGTGCTTCCTACAACATAGGGATTTTTTCCAGAGAATTTAATAAAATTTTTGAAGGAAAATAATTGTTGCTTTTTTTTTAGAAATATTATAAGATACATTATAGCCATTAAGATATCAAAATCATAAAATATAAAGATTCTTCATTAAAGGGATGTAGAGATGCATTATCTCTAACATGAAGATTTTTGTTAAGTTCATTAACGATCGGACCGAGGCATGAAACATAACGCCAAGAATTCAAAATCAAAAGTTATTGAATTGTTCCCAACAGACGGATAGGAACATGGTAAGAGATCCGTAGTTGGTGATTTATTGAAAAATAAAATTTCGAAAAACAGTGGCAATGAAAATTATTAAATTAATTTTGAAAAAATTTGGCTATCGTTTAATCGCCATAACGACTGTGAGAGTTAATATAACACTGTAACTAGTGTAACTGGAACCTTTTTGTGGTTAGAGAAAGATAGTAACCTAAATATAAAAATAGATTTTGGAGTAAAGAGCTAATAGGAATAAGAGTAAAGTTTTGGAGTAAAGAGTTAGGAATAAAGAGTTAAAAATAGATTTTGATGTTCAATTTAGTGGTGACAGTGAACTAATAAGTTTTACATTTGTATTGAATTAAAAAGTTAGTGTTAAAAAGAGAATAAAATATTTATATTAGCTTTGTAAAAAATAAAATAAAAAATTGAATAATTGGTTTAATTTAATTAAAATTAAGTTAAGAATGATTAAAAAAAATTTAAGAAATTAGAGAAAAAAAATCAAACTATATGGTTAATTTTTTAATAAGATAAAGAATAATAACTAAAAAATAGACCAGCAAATTCTAGTTCTCCCATTACAATATAGTCAATTTTTTTAATAATCAATCAATAGACAAAATACATTTTTTTTTCTTCCATTATGCACTTCTTAGAAACCAATGTTTTTCTAATTGTTATTGGTTTTTCATCCTACTTTTAATTTAATGACTGACAAGTAAATGTGTTATTTACACAATTAATTTTTATAATTTTTTGTAGGTCTTTTTGGAGATAAGGGAATTTTACCTGCTAGAGGTATTATCTCGATTGGTAAGTGTTTTTCTTTCCATGTGTTTAATTAGTATGTACATTACATAATTTTCAAACCTGCACAAACTTTTAAATATTATTTTACTTTATTGATGATTTTTTTTTATTGAGTTGTGATAATACTAGTTTTTTGTCAAATTTTTCGAAAAGAATTCCTATTTAAATTTTTTACTGTGTACAATTTTTAAGAATCTAAAAAAATTTTAAAAATGTACGTTTTTGACTATGCAGAAAAGTCAAGAGTTTAATATAAATTACATAAAAATATATCTTACTGTTATTTATATTACCATTATAAAAAGTTTTTTTAGGGTGTTTGTCATGACAATTAGTAGAATAATATACTTAGTTAGCATGATCAATTTTTTTTCCTTCATGACTTTAGAACCAGTCAGTGTGGCTTTTCAGTGTCTTTTTTTTCTTCTTTCCCCGGGTTATCAGCCGGATACGGATTTTCGCAGTTCTATTTTTATTTCTAAATTGTTACAAATTTTGGAAGTGAGTAATCACTTTTAAGGATTATTTGTGCTGATTTCGAAGTAAATCCAAATAAATTTTTGGCAGTTATTACTAAGGATATCCATTCAGTGATAGGTCAAAAACAAAATGGGCAGGTTCAGTGTCTGTTAAGTTTTCAGATTGTGTGCCATCCTAACTTATAAAAGAAATAATCTATTGTAAATGTTTTTTAAATCAATTTCTAAAATTTTCCTAATTTTCAAGAATTTAGACTATGAGATATATGGAAAATTAAACACTGATATAAATATATTAGAATTTGTCTGTCGGCATCAGGACAGTGCATAAATTTAAGTGATTTATCTGGTTAACTCTCCGTGTTTGGCTCAGTTTTTATACTCTCCAGTCCTGAAATACAGGGCGGCGATTTTTAAGTTACTTTTAGTTTAGTATTTTTCATTTTAAGTAATTTTTTCACCACTAAATATCAGAAATTATAAGTATGATATAAAATGCAATGTTAAAGCATCAATCTACTGGTTACTATATTAAAAAGTAGGCGTTACTCTCTTCCTTCAACGAATTTTTCTATATAATTTGCGAAATTCCCGAACCCTCTAGTGCCACCTAATAGCGAAAATAAGCATAAGATGATGGTTTTGGATGATGGTCGTACACGGGGAAATGGTGGAATCCATATTGAAATCAGGGGGGAAATTTCTTCGCCCGCGATTTTCACGTGACACGTAGTGGGGGACGAAACAGATACCCTGCTGAAATCGCGGGAGCCGTACGCGGAGGCTTAACTGGAGTCCTTCGAATAACTATAAAAAATATATGTTCTTGATTTCTTAAAAACAAGATCTATGTTATCTTGGCTTCTTTTTTTCTTCACTTTTATGTGTATATTTGTAACTTTAACTTCACTTTTTAAAGCAAATATTTATTTTAGAATCTGGAGCTGAAGTTATTAAAAAGAAAGCTGAGCAAGTTCCAACCCTTCTATGGCTGGCTCCAGCTCTTGGTATAGATGTGCATCTTATGATGGACCTCATTGCATTGCTAGGTATGGTTATATCATTTGGAAGCATGGTATGGGGTAGAATGAGAGATATATGCAACTTTACCCTTTTGTGGATTTTGTATTTCTCACTATTTCAAGTAAGTGAATATTTGTGATTCTGAAACCACTTTTCTTTAAAAAAAATCTATTAATTCTGAAGTATTATTCTTTTACAGATTGGGCAAACTTTTTTGTGGTTCCAATGGTAAATAAAATTTTATATAGTTTATTTTTTTCATACAATAGTAAAAAAATTGCTGATTTGATTCCCCTGATTTTATAATTAAATACAGATATAGAAAATCTGGTTTGTCATACCGCAGAAAATGTTCATAATTATATTGAAATTCTTATCAATAAATTCTTAAATAGTTTGCTTTTGTCTACTATAACATATTTAGAGAATATTGAGACACAATGGCTCAGTGGTAAAGGGAGCTTAAATCAGGGTTTGATAATCAGTGGTAAGCTAAAGACCAGTAACTAAAAACTATTACTAGTATGCAGTCATTTTACTGGTTTATTTACTCTATTAGAATTTTGTTTAAAAAAAAACTAAAAAGGATAAAGCAAATTTAAAAATAATGATATAGCAATTGTGTATGTTCACATTTGGGAAGAAATATGCTATTTTGTTACAAAAACTGACCTAAATATAAAATCGAAAAACCAAATTAACAAACCATCATTTTAGAGCGGTTGGAAATGTCTTAGTGTTTTGAAATGCCATTTGCAAAAATATTATGGATAATAATAATAATAAAAACTGTTCGTTACAAGGTTCGTTTAAAAATTGTGGTATATTTGTTATCTGATATCTAAATTTGTTATTTTGATCCCTGTAATGTGTTTGTTTGCATGATTGACTGCTGTTATTGTTGTTTAATTTCTTAACCTGTGAGGTAATTTACATAAATATGGCCTTTTATGTTTATGGAAATAGACATATATTATAATAGATTGGTGTTAAACATTCTTCCTGCATTTCTACATGATTTAAAATCGTTAAAAAAAAGTTATTTTATTTTGTGCTATATCTAAAGTTTTATATTGTTACTTCTTTTTTTAGGGATACTTTACTACTTGAGGTTGGTTTCTTGGCTATTTTGGTAGCACCTCTAGGATTTTTACAAAGCTCTATAAAGACTGGATTCTTTTCATCTTTACCGAATCGACCTCATGATATCATATCAATGTGGATGGTTAAATGGTTACTATTTAGATTTATGTTTGCATCTGGTATTGTCAAACTAACTAGTATGTGTCCAACATGGTGGGATTTATCTGGCAAGTATGGCCTTCAAGGCATCCATAATTGTTTTTTTTTTCTTCCCTTTTTATATCTGAGTTTTAATTTACAAGTAAAATCTACTTTCAGTGTATGCTACTGATATACGCTTTTCAATGGTAATGGTGACTGTCACTAATTCAATTTTAAAACAAAAAATATTTTTAATTCATAAAGGATTTTTTTTTAATTTGAATTTTTATACTATTTTTGTGATTATTGAATAATTATATACTACAATGCATATCTAAATTTAAAATGAGTGGATATATTTTTATTGAATTTCAAATAGTTTAAAAGAATCAAATAGAATACTGTAACATATAAATTTCATTTCTGACTGTATGATTCTTTCTCCCTTTAGCTTTGTATCATCATTTTGAGAGTCAGTGTATCCCAACTCCTCTAGCTTGGTATGCTCATCATCTCCCTCAATGGCTCTTGAAATTAGGAGTTGTGGGAACGTTTGTCATTGAAATACCTCTCCCATTCCTCTTCTTTGCTCCCATCCGTTCTCTCCGGATCTTTAGTTTCTATGCTCAAGTGAGTAGGGGATGATAATAAAATAAACAGACTAGAAATTCTTTCTCATTACCATGATTTCTCACTCATACTGAAAAATATTGTTATTTTTGGTTACATTTTTCAGGGTGCGTAGTGTCTTTAAATAGTGCTTAAAGGTGCTTATTTTAAATTTTCGTTTTTTTAAAGTTCTTAAAGGTGCTTTTTTCATGGAGTGTTTTTAAAAAGTGCTTAATTTTCCCTTTTTCAAGATGAGAATTTTCCTTTGCAATGTTGATTTTCACTTCGAATTAATATAAAAGGCAGAGTTCACATTGTTCTATTCAACGTTTTCACAATTACTTCAACCCCAATCTATATCAGTGTATTGTCAGTCCGTAGCATATGAAAACGCCATTTGTTTTACGTGATTTTTGACAATTGTCAAAAAGAATGCCAAAAGGTTGTTTTTTTTTTTGTTGGACATTACGGTTAAAACGAGATAAAACCGTCAATTGTCAAAAACTTTGCAACCCTGTCTAATTATGATATTTTTTTTAATTGCTTAAAAATATTTTTTGAGTGCTTGAAAAATGTTTAAAAGGTGCTTATTTTTTGTTGAATAATTTGGCTAAGCACCCTGTTTTTGTAGATTTTGAAAATAGCCACACTGCCAAACATTTTCTATCGCACACTTTTCAATATGCATAAAAATTAATCAAATAAAACTTACAATTTATAGATGCATAAAGATTGAGGTCAAGTGCTGCTAATTTAGATTTTTCTTTGTGACCTAATAGGGAATCATTCATTAATTAAATTGTGTAAGTCATAAGTTTTGTGAATTTGGTTTCCATGGTCTTTTTTGCTATCTAATTCTTTTCCATCTTTGTATTATAAGTTTTATGTTGATGGTGTTGTATCTTTGTATATTGTTGATAGTGATAAGTTTTATTTTTATGTTGATAGATAAACCCCATGTATAACAAGCCGGAATTTAACAAAATTCTGAATTTAAAATGCAAAACAAAAAGTTTTGAATGGTTCAATGTTAGTAATATATTGGAATGCACTCTTTATATGAGTAATTTTTTCACTTTTTCTCAAATTTAAAAAAGAAAATAATTTTTTAAACTGAAGAAGAAGAAAAATTCTAAAACCATAAAAAAAATTACCCAGTACACTATCAATTGTTTAAAGTTATCAAAGGTATTTTGTCACATTATTGTGAGGTATGTATGAGTGTCATTTAGAAATATTTGAATCAATTTTCTGAGTTATAGACAGGATGGACCTTCAGAGAGAAAAAGGAAAAATCAGCCCATTGTCTCGTTTCTAGAAGATTAGAGATTTTTTTAAAGGGGCTGTTGGAAAATTTATAGAACTTTTAAATAAAGTTTCTTGAGTAGGATGTTTTTTATATTAAGTTTTTGTACTTAGAGGGCTTAATTTTTTGTACAACTGTGCAAAATATTTTCTAGAGTAGTAGACTGCTAAAACTAAATCTTACAGAATGTTTGGTAGTTTTGCTAATATTTTAAAAGTCTCACCACAAACAAACAAAATGTCGTTTCTTATGAATTTTTGAATAATTTATGTGTAGCTGTGCGAAAATGATTTTGAATCAAATTTACAAAGCAAAGATTCATATACTAAAGCATAAATTTACCTACCACTAGATGAAATTTTCCTGAAAAAGTAGAAAGTTGGCAACCGTGCACTAACTTTGAATTCAGCAAATATGGCAATAAGGAAAATAATAAAAAGAGGAAAAAATTATTCTCACCAATAACCCTAGTGAGAGGTATGGAGTCTCCTCAGTATAGATTTAAAGGAAGTGATACACTTTGATACAGTTTTTCTTTTAATTCACACCATAACAATGTTCCATATTTTTCTTTTCAAGCACTTCACATAACTTTCGATTTAAAATTTTATAGCTCGTAACAAATAATCACACATTGCCCAATAATTTATTTTATTTAATTTTTTAAATATTTCATTTCATCTTCTTATTTCTCCACTTTTCACTGCACTTTCGTGTCTTCAGAGAATCTTGGTCTGTTTTGGTTGGTTTATTAGCCAACCATCTTAAATATCTTCCCCGTCTAAGTATAAGTCATTGGTGAGAACCAAGACCCCCCCCCCTCAACTCTAATGCATTGAAAGGTACAGAGTGATAAAAAAAAAACTGTCATCATCCCTAACTGGCAACACTTTAATTATTTGCAGAGACTTCCCATTCTTGCTACCTTACCTGTAATAATGACATAAGTTAATTAGGAATGCAAACATTTATAAACCTCAAAAAATTAATGAAGTTTAAATAGAAACAATGTTGCACCATTTTTCTTGCCAAAAGTTTTTTTAAAGAAAAAAAAAACATGCTGTTGCTGTAGGTTATTATTGCATAGCAATTCTTTTGAATAAATTTGCGGCCCCAAGATTAGTTTTTAATTTCTTTTCTGTTTTTTTAAACCTGCTTCCTAATTGTTTTTAAATTAAATCTTTTAATTTTATTTTACATGCTTTTCTTTTTAACTTAAACAAATTTAAAAAAAAAAATTTATTTTATCTTTTAGATTTTCTTTCAAATACTTATTATTCTAACTGGAAATTTTAATTTCTTCAACATACTCACCATTGTCATGTGCTTGTCTTTGGTTGATGATGATTTTCTTTTGAGCCTTGTTGGTCGCCCGACTCCAAGTAAGTTGTATTTTTATATGTGTTTTCAAAATATAATATGTTGCATAAATCATTGTATTTTTAACTTCTTTTTTTTTTTGTAGCTTCTAAATCATCTAGTGGTGCAGCTCTTCGGTGGACTAGGAAAATTCTGACCTTAGCTATAGAAAATATTGTTATTTTATGTATTGTATATGGCACAATTAAATACTTCTCTCTGAAATTTCAACCTAGTTGGACTATTGATAGTAAAATTGGTAGGTTATTTGTGAATTTTTAGTTTTGGTTGTAGTAATCCTGTTTATGTTCTTAAAGTTGGCTGCCCAATTTAACTTACCTATCTTTACTATTATTGTTACATTAAATCAGCTCTGTGAAATATTTTTTTTCATAACATTTATTCTTTTCTTTTGAAGCATTTTATTTTATTTTCAATTATAAAAAATGTAATTAAATTTTTTTTACATTAATCTGTTTTTTTTTTTTTTTTTAAATACTTAATTGCATATGTTAATCTAGAAAATCAGTCTGCAAAAAGTTTTTAAAGAAAAACTTATTTTTTTATTTAAATTGCTATGCTGTATTCAAAATGAACCTTTTCCAAATCATTAAATAATGCACCTGTTCAAGGGTTTCAACAAACAATTAGGTGTACTTATTATTACATTTGTTTTAAAGTGTTCTGGGGGAAAATTATATTTTCCCTATGAAATAAAAAAAAGGCCACTTTCATGTAATTGTGAAATAGAATTCCATGAATAATCAATAATATTTGTAAAAAAAAGTGCATTATTTATTTGATGTAACTAAAATATTTTATTGCATATTTAGATTTCTTTCATTTTGGCATAACAATAGTGAATAAAGTAATCTTCAATGAATTAGATACAGTCAATAAAAAACATGTCAAAGGCTATTTCATTTATTTATAATGAAACTCAAAAGCATTATTCACAATTCTTCAGGCATTTGTGACCCTAATCTCCCATGTGTGTTATGTGGTATTCAAACACAAATTTAGCCTTCTTAACTAATATTTACTCATATTTTTGTATGTTTTATAATTATAGGATTCCGGTTATATCTAGATTATCAAAATAAAATTAGTAAGTATGAGCATATTAGTTGTTAGGATATACCAAAAAATGAAAGTCATTAAAACTTGTATCAATCAAGTTTTAAAAAAAAGTTTTAAAGCTACAATTTATATCACTTAAATCTCTAAATTCATGCAGTCAAAGTTAGAGAATCTTTTAAATGTTTTAAGTCTTAGAATCTGATGAAAAATCTCTGTAAATTTCCTTGCTAAGTTATTACTATTTGCTTTTATCTTATAGGTTTGATTGAAAGTGGCACTGCAGTTATTTTAACTGTTTTTGCATTTTTTATACATGAGAATATTTTATGCCTAGATTATATTAAATTAGAGATGCACAACTTTTTTCAGAATATGGCATCGCGTGAAAGAAAGAAAAAATCTGATTTTCAAGTGTTGGAATTAGAGTCGAGTAATTAAAATTATAATAGAGTAGTTTTTTTTTGTGCTTTCTATCTAGATATCCTTTTTTAAAAATATTTGCTTTTATCAACACTTTAATATTATGGCAGGGCAAATAACAGGGTTTCTATTAGACTTTATTCTACTCTTTTTTTAAAAAAAATATGATAGTTGGAAAACTGAGATGTTTAGCTTTAAAATTTTCTTTCAAAAATTAAATTCGATTTTTGTTTTGCTTTTGTATATATATTATTTTTTATAGGTGTCTTATCATTCCACTGTATATTTATAGATCATGTCTCTTTTAACGTTTTGTGGGTAATTTTTTCTCGAAAAATATTATTTTTGGCATAGAATTTTATTTTAAAAATTAAGATAGTATTTTTTTTATTTCTGTTTATATTTTTTTAACTTCACCACTTTATTTATTTAAAAAGCGGTTACACAGTTTTTTTAAAATTTATCTTAAATATTTCTTATCTTAATATCGAATTATCCTTGTTATCTTAAATATTTTTATAATAGTTTTATTTTTCTTCCTTTACCTCATACCTATAGCATAGCTAAGTTTTAATATTTTTCTATAATGACTAAATTTATTTATATGTAAAACTATTTATACATATTTATATATATGAAAAATCATTAATGATATTTATTATTGATTTTTTAAAGTAAAAAATGTTGCCATTCGAGCATCGAGTATTTGATGTTCGGCCAAATCACTATACATTACATCCCTATTTTTTAAACTCTAATCATTAATATTTTTGCATTTTCAGGTGTGGTAAAATTATTTAAATTTTTTACTAGAGTTTTTGTATTTGTTTAATTTTGTAAAAAAAAGTATGTATTTATAATTTTTGTGGTGATCTCAGTTCACCGCAGTGTCATCAATCAAATGCAAATACATTTACTTGGTCCTGTATAAACTGTATTAATTTTAAAATACATACATGCAACTTTAGGCAATTTATAATACATACCTCATAATCATTTGCCTTGTTTACATCTAAAACTTTTAAACTCAGTTGGCTGGTAAAATTTAATAGAAAACTCTCAAGAATTTCTGTTTTTAGAATTTATCATTAGGAAAAAAAAATGAAGAAATTTATCATCGAAATTAAATTCTTTCAAATTATAAACATTGTGAAAGTTAGCAAACAGAAATTTCTTTATTGATTATTTTAAGATGTGAAATGCTTAATTACAATAAGAAACCATTTTAGTTTTCAATAAAATTCAGAATCAGCATGGGTAACCTATCAAAAGTTATATTAACAGAATTTTTTTTATTGTGAATTAAAAAATTTCTATTAATTTTCTTTCAAAGATTTTTATTTCTATTCGATTCTTTTGTGTGTTGAATAGTTAAGGTTTTTATTTATAATAGTTAATATTTTTATTTATACATCATTTTATAATTAATTACTTTTTCAGAACCCCTGAAATGTTCATCTGTTACTTATTTTACTTTTAGGTTTTTCTGCAGCTGAATTTAGAAATACACTATCAGAAGTTATGCCAGCAACTGTTTTCATTGGTGCTTTTGCTCTGTGTGCTAACATTCTACTTGCTGTTTATAAGTAATTTTATTTATCATTTTAGCTAGCCCTTTCTTTCTTATGTAGGAATTTCATTTTTTGCTACATATCATGTTTTTTTAGATTACAATCATGTTTACCTAATATTTATAGAGAGAAGGGGTATGTTTTTGTCACCCCTCTCTCTAACTAATTCAGTGTTACAGTGAAACCTCCAGGAAGGATTACCTTTATGTAGCGACCTCCTCTATTTACTATCACTTTTGGGAGGCACAGAATTTTTTTCCTATAGACTTTGTGTTGAAGAAAACCTTAAGGAAAGACCATTAAAAACTCTCCCAGTGATGGGGCAAAACCTCTGCACCAAGTGTGGGAAAGGTTAGATTATGAAACATGAAAAAATATCAAAACAAAAAAAATTGTCAAACAAATATATAGATTAAAATGTGTTCAAAATATTTTTGACTGGTTTTTATTTAGAGAGATCTTTTTGACGTTATCTGAAAGAGATCTACAACCTTATGTTGCAGTCGAAGTGCATTAAAGACTATCCTCAATGATCTATTTTTGGAGTTGAAAGTTAAATTAAAAAAAAAACTAAGCATCTCAAACAAACTACTTCTCATCTTTAAAAGCTAACTAATTTTTATGGTATAAAATTAAATGCAAATGGAAACAAAAAAACATAATTGTTTATTTAAAATGGCTCTATCATTCATAATTTGTAAAAAGATTTTTTACACATAATTATAACAGTAGCTATCATTTTTATTGATGCTAATTTTTATTCATCAATCTTGTTTTATAATTGATTATACTTTTTAAATTTTAGTTCAATTACTGAGCCTGGAATTTTCAAAAAATTGTATGCACTCATTGGAACAGCTTTTGTATCAGTTGCTGCTCTGTGGCTTTTTACCATTAGTGTGGTATGCAATTTTTATTTACTAATTTAAAAAATTGTCAGTTCCTATTCATTACTGTGAATCCTATTAATTACTGTTAATAAAATATTGTCTTAAAATATTGGAGGAAGTACTGTATATTGTGTATTTTAATTGAAAGCAACTCAAAATGACCAAACAAACTTCATTCAAAATTGTAATTTATAAAATCTGTTGTTTGACCAAATGTCTAAATTTCGAATTTGTGTTAAAATATTATTTTTTTAATCTAATAACTTATGTTTTATGTGATTGGCAAAAAGCTGATGATGGAACTTAATTAAAAATTATAACTTCAGTTTCAATTTTTATCACAGAAATATTGTCAGAAATAAAAAATTTATAATTATGGCTATTTTTTTATATCTAATATTTAATAATTGAAAATGAAACTGATAAAAAAATTAAGATAAGTTTCAAAAGTATCAAAAAATTCTTACTAATTTACTTTTATTTCTGATATGTTTTTTGTTATTTTAATTTTAAATATGTTTTTATAAAATAGTGTACTGGAGCCTATCAAACTGACTGCCAAATCAGTTATTATTCTATAAAAAGCTAGTTTTTTAATCAATTATCTACATGTACTATATTTTTAATAATATTTTCATTTGCTTAGATTTTTTTCATTTTAATTTAAGGATTTTATTTAATATGTTAAATTGTGTCTAATCACCTTTCATGTAATCTTTTAATAACAGAGATGCTACTCTGGTTAATGTTAAAATTTCGAAAATGTGACTTGTTAAAAGTAGAGGAAGCATTCAAAAATTAAAAGTAATTGAAGTCATAATTTTAGGTAATTTTAAAAAGATAAAGAAAATTTTGATTAAATCAAAAAAATCATTTAATTTTTAAAAGATCCATTTACTTATTTATAATTTTATAAAGATGTGGTAATGAATCTAATCTTGTATGCTAGATCTAAGTTATTTCAAACATTTTTAATTCATTTCTTTTGTGCAGTTCTTTTGAATCCTAAAAATAATTTAATAATTTTCTAAATTGTAACCTAGACATTGTTTATTAAATCATTTTTTATGCAAATGTTTAACTTCATTTAAAACTGTTGAAACACTTCTTTACTTTAAAACATTAAGATCTGGTTAAGAAGTATTGAACCCACTTACAATTTTTAATTAAATATTAAATCTTCACTTTGACAATTCCAATTAACAGTTGAGGAAAAATAAAAATTTCAAAACAGTTAACAGCAAAGTCATTTATTTTTGTTATAATTTTGTTTCAGCATAACTTCCCTTCTGTATACAAGTTACCTGTATCAAGTCAATGTATTAAATAGTATATTCAATAAATATAACATCTGAAAAATTAAAAATATACTACAAATATCTACAACTAAACATTGTAACGTAAGAGTAACTAAAATCATACAGGACTAGATGGCTATGACACGTATATCAATGTAAAGATTTAGATGCCACCAAAACACTAACATGTTAAACAGTTTAGTCACCATAATAAATGACTTGTTTTAAAAATTAAAGAGCATATAATCTTATTTATTGTTATTATTTTAGAGAAGAGTATCTTAGAGTTATTGAAATAGATAGATGGTGAAAATTTTCCTCAAATTCCTCGCTCTGCTTAGAGGAAGCTAACTGAGAATGCCTTATTCTGCACTTAGCTGTAATGTCGATGAGACCCAGAAATTCTTAATAAATGTTTGATCTACTGCTGCAAGATCTTATTAAATAAATTTTTTGAATTAACTTAGAGACACTGTTCAATACTTAAGGTACTGTTTTAAAGATACCATGCCTGCTAATAATTGTGCAACTTTAATTTTTGAAGTTAGTTTTTTTTTTTCTTCTTCCTGTTAAAGAGTTTTAACATTATCTTTTAAAAAATTTTCTTAGAATAAAATCTAAGCAGTTCTATTTTTTATGTTTTTTTAGGTCCCTCATGGTGCTTTAGACGTTCAATTCCGCAACAATTTGTGGCCTATAGTTCACAGGTGGCATAAACGTGTTGAAGAATTCCACATATCTAATTCATACGGTCTTTTTAGAAGGTGAGATTACTGTATAAGTCAACTTTTCAAACTTCAAATGTTCTACGAAAATTAGCAGATGAACTTAACTATGCACCTGCAATCATGAAATATTGATGCATTAAAAAATGAGATAGATATGAATGACTCCCTATCAATTAATCCCTTTCAAAGGCTATTTTTAGTATGTCATATGCAATTAATTTTGCATTTTCTCTTATATTTAATTTGCATATAAAGATTTTTTTTAGGTTACATGCATACTTGTAATTGCATACATAATGATAGAATAAGAAATGTTCAGATAATTTATTTAAAAGTATGTAAGAAAATATATCACAATGAAAACTTTTAAAACATACCATAATGCTACAAATTTGTATATTCCATAACATCTGTGTTATTCTGGTCTCACTCATTAATGAATTCTACTACATCCTCAGTCTCACAAGAATTGATCTTCACCTTTGCACACTTTTTGAAAGATTTTACAGTAACTTTTAAATTTTCTTTTGCGAGCGAATGTATCACATCCAGAGTGAATAAGGTGAAATATTTTTGAGGTGCAAAAAATTTTGTAGTTCTAATAATTTATATATATTTTGATTTTGAAAATTTTCGTGTTCGATTTCTTTTCCCAGTCAACTTAAACCCCCAAACAAAATTTTTCTGCCTGTAATCAAAAGTAGGGGATAGACTTTTACGCTGAGATAAACAGTATATGTTATCACTATTTCAAATGTTTAAAAGAGACCAGCAAACACAGAAGGATTTCAGATTTATGGTCCTATATAATCAAGCTGGATACATTTTTAAATAAAATTGAAATATATTTCTGGAAAACAAAACAATGTATTTATTATATACCCTTATACTCTTAAGTTCAAACTTACATACTAAAGCTTACTTGCATACAAAATTTACTGCTTTCAGACTGACAATGCGGTTACGCCAGAAACTTTTGTTTTTTTTTACGACAGCAATATTTGATTGATTGAAAATGCTAAAATTAAATTCTGATGAAATTAAAAAAATTCTACTCGCTTCATTTGAACAATATTTAAATTATCTGCAATTTATAACTGTTGCTGATGTGGAAATTTTTTTAAATTTTTTTTTATTTATAGAATGACTGGTGTAGATGGCAGACCTGAAATAGTTATTGAAGGCAGTAACTCTTTGACAGCTGGATGGAAAGAATACCACTTTCTATATAAACCTGGTGAACTATCCCAACGCCCTCCTGTTTTAAGTAAGAAATCTTTTGTTTCATGTTCTAATTTTTATATAGTACATTTTAAATTTTGTTGTTTCAATTCTATTGTTTTATTTATTTTTTTCAAAATTTATCATTATATTATCAATTTTAAATTTATCAAAATCAGAGGGTTTAATTTTTTTTTTTAAATATTTCTGCGTACCTAACAAACACCTATTTTTCTTGAATTAAAAAAAAAAAAATTTAAACCCTCTGATTTTGATTTTAAAAAAAAAAAATTTTGTAGCCTCTGATAAACACTTACATTAACTTCTAGTTGACAAATATTTTGCTATAAAATAATTTAACCTAATAAAAAATAAATTGCATTATAAAAAAAGGGAATCTGAATTTTTTTTTTTTTTTTTTAAGAACAACTTTTTTTAGACATTATGATAGTTTCCTTTATGATTGAGAAATACGTTTATAAATTCCCGGACCCATTTTGATGTTTAATAACTCATAAAATAATGAAGATATAAACAAACTTAAGGCATTTATTGATGGAATAACTCATATGTTTTCCTTTTCAGATTTGAATATCTTTACTTTTGTAAATATCGTATGCACGTGTGGTTAGTTTCAGATAATTTCATTTTCCAGTCTAAATATCGTCTGCTTATTGATTGCATATTTCTCTCTTTTATTTTTGGCGACAATTGCAATGTTATGTTTACTTTTGATGTGTTTGTTCTATGTAGTACTTTTCTATGTCATGTTTTATTTCGAGGGGGTATTAAGGAGAATGCATACACCACAAGAGAAAGCACAGATTTTATGGTGGCTCATAGAAACGAAATCGATAGTGCAAGCACAGAGAAATTGCAGAAAAATGAACCAAAAAGATCCTCCATCCAAAAGCAGCATCTTGCGGTGGAAAGAGAATTTTCTAGACACTGGAAGTATCGCAGATAAGAAATGTTCCGGACTTCTATAGTGATGACCTAAAAGCCAGAATTACAACCGCAATAGCCTCTGTGGATGCCGACATGCTTGCTGCTACCTGGCGTGGAATTGACTATCAACTTGATATTCTCCATTCGACTAAGTGGGCACACATGGAAGTTCATTGACAAGGGTCATGAAACTTTTTGAGTCTATCTAACCATTTATGTTATTAATTTTAATCTATCTTTATTATTTTATGAGTTATTAAACATCAAAATGGGTCCGGGACTTTATAAACACCCTGTGTATTGAAGATTATGTTATAAAATTTGCAAGTGGTAAGATTTTTATTACCATCATGTTTTACCTATAAAAAAAATCCATTTTTATTCTATTTTTTTACACTTGTATAAAAAATTTGCCTTGATCTTTCACTTTGCTCTTTGTTTGCCATTTGAAAAAATCAGAAGGAAGCATAAGATTTTTTTCATATATATTTAAGTGCTGTAATTTATTTTGTACCTGTTACTATGTAATTTTTTCAATTGACTATTAATTATTAAAATACTTTATGTAAATTTTTTATTTAAAAAAAATTACGTTCATCAAAGTCAACTAACCCTTTGTAAAATATCTTATGTTTTATCCTACTTTTATTACAAATATTGGTACAAATTTAGGTCAATGATTATCTTCATGCGTAGATCAATGTCTATCTTCATGTGTCACTATTTGCCCATGTCTCAATAAAAACAGACACTAATTGACTCAAATTTTTTAATTGTATTTAGAAGTTTGACATTGTGGCTTTTTTTCATTCATATTAATAACTTTGATTCTATAGTTCCCCATCAACCACGTCTGGATTGGCAATTATGGTTCGCTGCTCTTGGAACATATGAACACAATCCCTGGTTTGTCAGCTTAATGTATCGTCTGCTAGATGGAGAAAAAGATGGTTAGTATTTTTTTTTTTTTTTAGATATGCCTTTAAATATAAGTATAATGGTATAAAATTTCTAATGTTAGATCTGTAGTTTTTGACAATTATTTTTCATTTGGAAGGTAGGGCGAGAAAGCACATGGATCATTTAATGCTCATTTAGTCCTTAAGTTACAAGTTATGCACACCCCATTTATTGATTAATGTAAAAATTATTCTAGATGATACCCATTTTTTATTAGTTTTAAATTTTTTCATGCAAGAAATATTTTTTTCTTTAATTTATAAATTTTTGCAGTATATGTTTTACTTAATCTACTGAATTTTACAAAAATTTACTTCTAATCACTATTACAAATTTATAACAAAGAGCAATATTGCTATAATTTCTTTTGTTTTCAAATAATTTAATGAGTTGGAAAATTATTAAGACTAATATTTTGGTCTAAAATTTAATGCTCATAAAATTAAACTGTTTCAATAAGAAGATATTCTATAATAATGTGTCTTTGTTTTTTCTGTTAGTCTTAAAACTCTTGGATACTGAAAGACTACCATTCCCACCAAGCAAACCACCGAAATATATACGTGCTATACTGTATAAATATAGTTTTACTTCCCCCAGTGGTTCATCCAAGTAAGCATTTTTATTATTGTATTTTTCTTTCTTACTATTATAAATTTTTCATGTAAAATTTTTATTTTCAATTTAGAAAACCCAGCGATTGGTGGACTAGACGTAAAGTACGTGAATATTTTAGCAGTGCTAATATGGATGAAAAGCAAATGAGTGAATTCTTAGATGCAGCTAGCATTCCTATGGTAAAAATATTCTTTGTTTTCTTATTATGCTAGTCTACTGAGCAATGCACAACTTTTATATAAATATGCTGTGTCTCTATAAATAACCAACAGTCCTTAATTTATCATAAAGCCTTAGAGCACCAGACCTAGGACTCCCTCATTTTTGGAAACCCCTTAAATGCTGCTTTTTTTTTTTTTTTTTTTTTTTTTTTTTTTTTTTTTTTTTTTTTTTTTTTANTTTTTTTTTTTTTTTTTTTTTTTTTTTTTGCTTGTTTGCTTAAGAATTGTTTATTAGAACTATGTGTTAACCTTAAGATAGAAATTGATATAAGCTCAAATTTATGTCCGACTTAGGTTCAAACTTTTTAAAAATTATTCAGTATAAATTCAATTTTTAACAAACAGGTAAATTATGTCCAAAGTAACGACCAGGAAGCCTCTGACATTTCTATGCCTAGATCCTTCGCATTTCCATATTAGGCCATGAATACCAGCTGTCCTTAACGATAAACATGTGCAAGTACATTAACAAAATAAGGTTATTATTCATTGGTATGGTGTGCCCCAAGTTGATTTAAGGCTTCCGTCTAAATGAAATGATCAGTTAAAAGTTAAACATTTTGGTTAAGTGAAATACAATGAATCTTCATCTTTCAAAAACCAATTTTTTTTCAACTCATGACAAGAAAAAATTTGCTTAATCAATTTTAAGCTAGAAGGCTTGTGGCGAATTGTGGAAGCTGCTTAGACACAAAAGTGTGTTAGAGGAATTTTTTTTTTCTTCTCCAATTTGTCAAGGAATTTTATTTTGCCTTGAAAAAGGGGGAAAAAGTGCTTTTTTTTAAAAAAACAGGTAAAAACTGTAAAATAATCAGTCTTAGAATTGTCAGTAACAGTAATCAATTATTGAGATTTGAGTTATATAATTCTAACATCTAATAATATTCTTTGTTTTTAAAATTCCACATTTTAGTGTAACTTTTCCATGTTCATTTTTCCATGTTTTCATTCTTTTACTCACAAATTAATATTTAACTTCACAAATTAAAATGTCATAGTTGTCCAATAAGAAATAATGTAATATGTTCAATAAGAAATTGCATGGTATAGATAAAACAAGATCTCAGTTTACATTAAAGTTTTCCTGAGACACCTGGAAAAGTTAGGTTTTCTGAAATTAAGTGGGAACCCTGATTTCTTCATGTTTTAAATTTCGCATGTCATAAAAACTTAGCTAGTAAAGTAATAGGACTTCGGTAAAATAAACTGTGTTTGTAACTATGGTTGGTAAAATAAGATATGTAAATTATCACAATAACTTCCATACAAGAGATTAAAAACCACAAGAATTTATGATGTAATCTCACTTGGCAAATTTTTTTAGTGTTTTCATTGTTAATAAAAAATATGTGATATAATAAAATATAAAATGAAATAAATATCCTCATGTATTAACTGTTAACTGTATAAATTACCATTAAAGTGCAAGTATTGAACTTACATAAGTTTCATTATTTACTAAAATAAAATACAAATCGAAGTTTGCTGATAAGCAACATAACTGAATTAAACTTATGTAGCTGCAGGTTTTAAAAAGAAAAACACATATTTATGCTGCATCTTGTATTTTGTGCAATGCATTTTTGCAGAATAAAATTTGTGTTTTATGTATTTTGTGTTTTAAATATTAGGCTATTTTAGAAGTACAATTTTAACTTCTTTTCCTAAGTTAGCATTGTATTCTTTGTAATAGCATATTCTGTATTTCTGATAGTTTTTGTGCTATTTTTCCAGGAAAAAACACGCTACCTGCGAGTTACAAATGCGTTTCTAAAGAAAAGTTTGATCCAGATAAGAGATTACATTACATCAGTTCAACCTACAACTTTTATATGGTCTTTAATTGGTACTGGTTTCTGCATCAATTTCATTGCTCCAATTTTGAGGCTGTAAATTTTTTTTGTAACACTGGCTTGTTGGAGTAAAAAAAGGACTTTTTTTCTAGAATTTTTCTTATTCTCTAACATTGGATGCCTTGTGTGAAATGGAATCCAGAATTTTTCACCTTATTAACTAAGGAAGAAAAGCATATTTTAAGGCTTTCAGATAAATAAAATGCACAATGCAAATTTCACATTTCTGTATGAATTGTACCAAAACATATTTTTTTGCATATGTTAATAACTTAATGAACATTTAGAGCTTAGGTTTTATATGTTAAAAAGCCTTAAATAATTAACTCAAAATGCATGTTGCCTTCAGATTCATTTGCCTTTTTCATAATATCTCATGATTTCTTAAAGCAAGAAATATTAAGGATTGTTTAAAAATCCTTAGCTTATACTACTGATATTTTCCATTTGACTTTCTATTTTTGTTAGACTTTTAATCATTTTTAATATTTAGTTTTTGGGATAGTTAAAATCTATGAATATGAAATGGGGTTGAAATATTTATTTTTAATTATCAATTTATTGTTTTTTTTCTGTAATTGATAAAATTTTATTTTTTTAAATCGAATCTCTTACAAATGAACTAACACAATGTTTTATACCTTCAGATTTAAATTACTAAATAGCTTTTGAAGTAGGATAACTTTGAAGGGAAAGAAATTTTTCATATATAATTAAATTGAACACTGTTACTAAAATTGTATTTCTTCAACTCATCTGATAAGTAAAAAAGTCTTACTATTTTGTGAACTCATTATTATAAATGCAATGTAGTACTAAATATGTGTATGCCATGTTAACAAATAAGTTGCATTTTTTTTCTCATGTTATGTAACATAATTACTTTGCTCAATATCATCCAGTTATTGGTGAATTTTAAAGATTGTTTAATCATGAAGCAAAAAATTATCCTATTATTTTGATTTGTAATATGTAAATAATAAATACGTATTTTGTTTTTATAAATTAAATATACTTTAATTTCTAAAACCTTTGTCAAAAAAAAATTTATATTAAAGCTTTTTATAGTCACTCAGTTTCAATTGTCTCTGCTTATATATTTTTATGATTTTGAAGTATTAATTTTTGATAAAATGAAATTATATTGTCTGGTGATCTGAAATGTATCTAGCTGATAATAAAGATAATTTTCTATTACCATTTGACAAATTATGTCTTTTACGGAAACATGATAAAATGAAAAAGGAATATGTACTTTTGTATTTCCTGAGCTAAATTTTTTTTTATTAAAAACAATAGGTGCCAAATTTTTCCGTTTTATTTATAAATGAATTTTAAATTTCTTAAAACTAAAATTGATTTTAATCTTTAATGCCATTATACATGATACTTTCAAATTTTTGTGAGAATTTCTTTACCTTCTAACTTTTGATTTAAGAACATATGGTGAAATATTTTCTTTCATGAAAAATTAGTTTTCAATGATGCAACTAAACTTAATGTTCAATTCAGTTTGCTGCTGCAACTTAGATTCCTGAACTAAGTTGTGTCAATTAAGCAAAAATCTATATTTTTTTGTTTACCAATGGCGAAATTCATCTCAATATGCAAGCAAAACTTAATTCCTCAAACCTCCCAAATGAGGGTTTCAGCATTTATGAACTATTTTTCTAAACGTTTTTAAGGGAAACAATATGTTAAGTAGCGGTAATTTTTTTCATGTCTTTAATCAAAAGTTATTAGGTAAAAAAACTCAAGTGTTTTAGAGACATACTGCCTATTTTTATTTCAATCATTTTAACTTAGTAATCATTTATTACTCAATTTTGATTGCTTTCTCATTTTTATATCGTTGAAAACTTAAATTATGTTTTTATTCATTATATATTAAAGAAACTTTTTTTTTAGCTTTTGTTAAAGAAATTTAAAACATTTATTATATTGACTAATACTACAATTAAATCCTTTTTAATATAATTAAATATTAGAAGAAATATCAGGCTTTGTGATGTTTTTTTGTAATCTAATCATTATTATGTCTTAATTTATTGTATTTTTTTGTACTGCTCTTTCTTGCCTTTATTAAATTTTTAATATATTATGATTTTAAAAAATAATTTGATAATTTTCTGGCTACTTTAATCATCAAGAATTTTTAACTCTTATTTTATATAATTTTTAACAAATAACTAAACTATTGATTCAAATCTGACTGGTATAAATTTCAATTTGTTTAGAAATAGAAAATAAATAGTGCTCAAAATCTTTAATTTTACTTTTTTGTAAATATGTGAATATTTGATACTACAGCTCATTTCTTGTTGTCTGCTTTCAATTGCTGTGAAATTGCCATTGTACTATTCACTGATAGTATTTTCTTTACATTTCTAAATAAATGAATTTTCTTTTATTTACTATGTCTTAAAATTGTATGCTGTAGCACGATTTTGTGATACTGTTTACTGCATTCAATTATAAATTATTGCATATTCTCAAATGTAAAAAAATAATTTTGTACTTTAAAAATTTTTTAAATCTTTTGTCTATTTATAATACTGGCTAACATTTAAATTATGTTGAATAGTAATTTATTTAGTGATAAATTTATTTTTTTAAATGAATGCTATTTTGATACCTACTTTTACGTTTGTTTCATTTTTTTCTGTTAAAGTTTGTAACCTACCATTCCTTTCTTTGTTTTAAAGATTATTTGGTAACATAATAAATGGATTCCCTTTTCATTTTCTTATGCTCATTTTTTGTGCTGTCTACTTTTTTTTTAAAAAAGAAAAAGCTCATTTTTTTGATGATTTGACTAAGAAGTTTATAACTGAACAATAGTCCTGCTTTGTACTTTATTCTGGTTTATAAATAATTAAATTTTAATAAGATTCTGTGAAGCTAGAATAGTAGGTTTAGGAACAGTGAATATTGTTTATTAAGTGATTTCTGATGATTCTAAGAGAGAAAAACTGATATATTTTATAATTGAATCATTTCTATAAACAGCCTTGGTTTGCAACAGGCTGTAGAGCCACAGAAGACGGCTAATCACTTTTAACAATAATTTAGAATTAAATGAAAGCTTATTTAGTAGACTTTCTTTACTGTGGATGTGCAATAATCGAAATATTAAATAATACTATTCAGCAAATTTTCAAATTTCAGTTTTGCATGCATAGGGAATGAATAACATGGAAGACAGTCTACGGTCTTATGCTAGTTATTGGTTACGTTTACAATGGATCGTTTTATCCTTAACTGGTGATCAACACCCAGTTCTCGTATTTGCATGAAAGGGGTTCGGACAGTCACCATTCGCTCATAGGTATGGTTCAATTCTGTCAACCACTCTGGTACTTTTGTGAGGGACAGGCTTCATGCTTCGTTTGCGAACGGAATCCTTCCGTTTTTCTGTTCGTGTGTAACGCTTAAGGTATTCCCGTCTACGTTCTTTGGCTTTTCCAGCCTCGGTAAGTTTTGGCCTTGGCATCGTTTTTTTCTCGCTTCAACTCTAACTTTTGGGACCGTGTCAATCAGTTTGGACATTCTTTATTCGTGATATTAGTATTGAAAATGATCCAGTTTGAACTGTAGGTTAGAATTTCTAATTCTTAATAAAAACAAAAATATCGTTCAAATGATGAAATTCTCTTTTATTCACAACTCAAGAAATATTTATTTGGTCCCATGTCTCAAAAATAAATTCACGAACTTGATGTATAACAAAATTAAAAGTGAAAAAAAGAATTCTAAAAAAAATTATCTAACAGCAGCGGTCGCCATAGCAACGCATGCACATTGCCTGCTATTATTCTTGATTATTGTAAGTAGTAGAAAAGTGCGGATGCCATGTAATCCAAACCAAGACCCATTTTGCCATTGGGTAATAAGCTATGTTCTAAAAAGCCAAGCTCATGAAAGAAAGATTCAAGAGTGGCGCTAGATTTAGCCCGACAGGGGGTCAGCAATGCCCCGACAGGGGGGCTAAGATAATTTTGAAAATAAGCAATAATTTTTAATATACGAAAAATAATTAATATGACATAGACATATTTGTTCTGATAAAAAATTTATCATGATTCAAATATTAACAAAGAAAAAATATAAAAGTGATATCTGAATAAATAAACAATTTATGCACATCCATCATAAGATTCTACAGTGTTCTCAATTAAATATTCTACTCAAACAATGCAACTCAAACAATAAAAAATTTATGCACAACTAGAAAAAATTCCAAAAATTCGAGCTTACTACTACTAATGTTTAATTCCGTAGCCTTGTAATTTTGAACCTAATCCAGCAGACAAGAGAACTCCAGGATCAAGTAGTGGAAGAAATTTTTGCATTCGTGGAGGACGTTTTGATAGCCCGCATTTGAGTTACATGGAGAGGAAAACCACGAAATCCTCCTACGGTTAGTCTGATACCAAGGGAACTCTAAGAAATGATCCGCTTACCACTGAGGATATTTCACGTCAGCAC